TTTTGAGTTGAGATTTCCTTTCAGCAAACTGCTGTATTTGGAGCTTGCTTGCAAGTGTTTGCTTACACATTTCTCCTATATCTCTTTGGATATCTGATGAGCCAAGGCTTCTTCAGCCGACTATTGCCAAGTTTTGTGCATGTTTGGGGGATTATCAGTGGGTGATCTGTGGTCTCCATTACAAGGGGAATTTAACCTTTGTAAAACTTGCACAAGGATACATTTAGAATAAAACACTCAGCTTTGGAAACTCAACGTGTGTTGGTGCTTTGGGGCAGATTTCTCAAAGAGCACCTGGTCACCTTCTTTTGAACAAGAATTTGATTTTGTGCTTCTTGATAAATATGTGTTGTTTTGTACGTATGAAGGTTAACTAGAAACTGATAATACAGTAATGCAAGTCCATTGAAGAGTATCCAAACCAGACATATAGGCCAACCACTGTACACTTGGAAATTTCCATGTGCCTGGAAGAGAATGCACACTCTCTTTGGCATGCACTCAGAGAGTTTTAGAATTTGAGAAATAACACAGCAGCAAACAACAAATCAAATTTATAGAGCTATTTCAGGTCGGGAGGACTTCCCAAGGCATTGAAGAATTGGGCCAAGAACATCTGTTTTCTGTTTAAAAAACGTGTTTTAGGAAATGTACTGTAGAATTTGTATCCCTTTATTGTTGTAATTGTTCTTTTTGTTGTGGTTAGCAAGTGCCTATTATTGGGAAACTGCATTGTTTTAGCTGCTTATATCTCAGTCAGCAGTGGTCTCAAACAGATTTTAAGGTCTTTATTATGATTATTATTAATGTTTCCCCCGTACATACGTGCATGTGTATCTTCCCTCCTCTTCTCCCCTCCACTCAGAGGACTGATTGCGTACTCTAGAGTTTGCAGACAGAAACTCTGCTTCTGTGAATTTTCAATAGCAGAATTCTATACCGTAAACTACTGGATGATAGCATCTCTGAAAAACGTTTTGGGATCAAGCTAGCCGTGACAATAACTGTGTGTTTTCGTATATTTGCATTTTGTCTTACACACAATTATTGCTATGGCACTGTGTTAGCTATTTAAGAACAACAACTTGCCCTTATATCGCCCTTCACCCGGGTCAGCGTCTCGGAGTGCTTAACATGGCAGAACCTGACGCCGAGCTGTGGGAAGAAGAAAACGAGAGACAAGCAGGTGGTCAGAGCCAGCTGAGCAGCGGCAACGAGTAGTGGCGTGGGGAGAAAGTAGGTCAGAAAGGTGAGGAGGTACCAAGGCATAAAATGATTCGTAGACAAGAGAGAGGATCTTGAAATCGAACATAACTTGTAGAGTGATTTATGAAAGAATGAATAAAGATTTGAGTAAATCTTTATTAATAAATGAATCAGCGTAGAGTTGAGAGCTATACACTTAATGCTATAATGGTGTCTTATTTATCTGTCATGATGGAGTGACCGTCCCCATCCTGTGAATAAGTGAATTTGGTGGATCATCAAGCTCTTCTAAATGACTTGCTGCTTAAACACAGAAAGCGATCTTTTAATATTTTGCTATCATTGCTGATTGCATGTCATATGTTGTGAAAATTGCATACCTTTAATGCAGAAAAAAAATTGATTTCTAAGTTTACCAATTGAAAAATTAACTATATAACCTCTCTATCTGAGCTCAGACACATAATATAAAATAAGGATGGTGAAAAGATAAAAATTAAATGTATTAAAAGTTGACATACTTTTTAATCTCGATTAATCAATTCAACGGCATCCAAAAGTATATTTTAAAAGCTACCCACTAACTAACGTAACTTAACAATAAATGAGAATTGACTTGTTACAAGCTGCTGAAATGTTGTTTCTAAAGAACTCAATCTGCAGGGCGGTTTGGTATATGAAGCTGTTACGGTGAGTAGGATATGAAAATGTCAAAAATTCTTTTTGCCAATTAACAATTCATTGTAATCTTTGTAAAATAGTGTTTTAAAACTGTTTTGAAAAGCTGTAGTCAGAATCTTACAGCATCATAGAATCTTACAGCAAAGAAGGAGGCTATTCAGCATACCGGGTCTTTGAAAGAGCTATCCACTGCCCCATTTTTCTTTTCAAGTATATATCCAATTCCCTTTTGAAAGTTATTATTCACTCTGTTTCCAACATCCTTTAATGCAGTGCATTCTAAATCATAACCACTCACTGCGTTACATTTTTTTTCTCCTCATCTCCCCTCTGGTTCTTTTGCCAATTATCTTAAATCTGTGTCCTTTGGTTACCGACCACCTGCCAGTAGGGACATTTTCTCTTATTTACTCTATCAAATTCCATCATAATTTTGAACACCTCTTTTAAATCTCCCCTTAACTTTCTCTGCTCTAATGATTTAAGAATTCTATTTTCCCCAGGTGCACAGTGTTGAGATGAATTGAAGAACTGTGAAGGAAATGTGTTGGAGCTGGATTATTCCAGGCAGGGCGAAACCTTGGGCAAGTTTCCTTACTTCACACGCCTAATAATAGTCCCTCCAAAACCAAAAACAATAATAAATTGGTCATTTCCCCCACGACTGTTTGTGGGACATTGCTGTGCGCAATTGGCTGCCGCGTTCGCCCACAAATATACAGTCAATTCACTTTATAGTGTGTTCTGTGAAGCGCTTTGGGACGTCCTCCCGACGTGAAAAGCGCTATATCAAATGCAAGGATTATTATTATCCTCCCTTCCAAAAAAAGGTTGCCCTGTGGTTTATTTCATTTAACACAAATTAAATAAGAGACCATCACACCATTTCTCAAGCAAGACTTGAATTGAAGAAGGTTCATTGTGGTGGAACTTTTATACTACCAGGAACAGCAGTAGCTCAACATAGCCTTATGTTGGTTTAACAGAAATGCCATCTCCATTCAGTTTTATCATGGCACATACCATTTGCCAGGCAGAGAGATTGAATTCCAAGCTTTGGGGCGTAGTAACTAAAGGCTTGCCTGCCAATGGTAGAGTAGAGAGGTCAGGAGACACGCAGAAGGCCCGATCGGGAAGAGCAAAGGTTGCAGGTAGAGGAGTTGTGAGCAGGTTGCAGAGATGGGAAGATATTTGGGCATGGAGCAATTTGTAGTTGAGTTTTGAATCTTGAAATTGACCTGTAATAGGGAGCCAATGGAGTCAGCCGTCATAATGGGGTATGATTGCCAGGCTACACTTCTGCATTCAGTGGGTATGAACGCAGAAAGACGACCAGCTCCATCAGCATTTCAGAAGCCTAATCGGTTGCCAAAATTCCCAACTTCTAGGTAATCTGGTTGCTGCTGAAGTCGCTTTGAGTGCTCATGTGCAGAGTGCAGAAAGTGACAGTGGTGGCTTGATGGCCGTAAAGTTGGCATTTTGGTTCCCATGCACTGGCTGAAGTTTTGAAGAGCCGATGGCACATGATTTTGGAGGTAAATAAATGTCAGGCTCCACATCTTAATTACTCTTTAAGGGAACACACTTTATTATGAAGAGCTTTATGGCGGGTTTCTATAGCACATAATTTCATTTGTCTGAGACAAATAGTGACTTTGCTGGAAACAGTGGAATGTGTTCCATTAATAGCTCCACTGATGCACAGGTGCATTCAGTATTTGAGACATTCCTTGTATCTAATCTAGGGTTAGAGTTAGGTAGAATGTTTCTTACATTTTGACTTAATAGCTGAAAGAACATGTTTTCATATTGCTTTTTATGTTGAAACATATGATCAGCAGAGTGGAGTGATTTTTTTTGTAGTCAAACTATTGAATGTTAACAGGGCAGTTATTCGGCAAGAGAGAAATAACTTTTTGGTGAGTCAGGTTTGCTCTTTTCGACTTTGCTCTTCAGCATGTTAATTTTGAAATTGACATTGATGACACTTTTGCATCAAGCTTGACACTTCGGTGTCGCTCTGTCAATATTAATAATAATAATCCTTGCATTTGATATAGCGCTTTTCAAGTCTTCTAGACATCTCAAAGCGCTTCACAGAATAGATTGTAAAGTGAATTGACTGTATATTTGTGGGTGAAACGCGGCAGCCAATTGTGCACAGCAGTGGCCCTCAAACAGTCGTGCATTGGAGTGACCAAATTGTTTTTTCTTGAGGGATTATTATCAGGTGTGTAGAGTAAGGAAACTTGCCCAAGGTTTCACCCTGCTGGGAATCGAATCCAGGTATCGCTTGCAAGGCTAGTGCTCTAACCCCTGAGCTACACAACTCCACAGTCCTGGTTACATCCAACACATTTGAGACTGGTTCCTCTAATCACTGGATATAAAGCACCTATTGAATGAATTAAGCAAAACCAAACCATTTTGTGTGAAGGGTGCTATATAAATGCAAGTTGTTATTGCTGTTAACCGATTTGCTTCCCCCTCCCCACTCCAACATTCCTGCCTCCGCTTGGCCAAACTCCGGCCTGCAGTTTGTCCCTCGACCCCTCCACTCCACCATTGGCAGCTGTGCTTTCAACCACTGTGCCCCAAAGCTCTGAAACTCCCTCAATCCCTCCGCCTTGCACCCACCCTCCCCACTTTCAAATCCCATCTAAAAACCTTCTTTTTCGATTATGCTTATGGTTACCTTCCCTCTCCCCCTGGCTCGGGGTCAGACTCTGCAACTGTCAAGCGCTCCGGGACTCTACCCCACATGGGCAATATTTAAATGCATGTTGTTGTTATTGTTGTTCACTGAAATGTTGTTGAGACATAAGCCGAGACCCTCTGCCTGTTCAGGTGGATATTAAAGATCCCATGACACTATTCAAAAAGAGAAAGGAGTTTCTCCTTGTATTCTGGCCAATTGTCCCCCAAATGAAAATGGTTATTCACTTCATGGAACATTGCTGTGTGCTGATTAGGTACCCCATTTTCTTACAAAACTCACCGTCTACTGTATATCCTGTGTAGCGCTTTGGGAAGTCCTCCAGACGTGAAAGACATTATGCCAAATGTAAGGATTCTTATCATGTATTGATGTTTTTTATTTGCCTTTGATTTAGCTTGCCTTTACTCGAGATGGACTCTGTGGACTATGGAATGAAATGGTCAAAGATGGAGAAATTGTTTACACAGGTCCTGAAACAATGCAAAATCTCAATGACTCGCTGACATCAAAAGGTACAATTCTATTTAAAATGCGTTTCACAAAATATTGTATGGTGTCTTTCTGTACGGTTGATGGAATTATTTTGAATCATCCAAACCTAGATGATTATCCTGATGCAGTTAAATAAAGTCTATAATGTCTTAAGAAATATACAACAGGCATGTTGTGCTTATTTTATAGTAGCTTTTAATTCCCCAAAGCATTTGTTTAAAGAGTGCTGTCCTAAACCTATTGTTGACTGATGATCGATCACATGGTATGCACTTTACGGAGGTACTGGGCACAATCAGTAGCAGGGATTCTGCTAGGACTCTCGCTTTCTTTCAGTTGGGTTTTAATATCTGCTCCTGGGAAGTTTCTCCATTGAATTGGACTTGTCTATAAACTGTGTCCAGCCATCATATTTGAGGAATGGCTGCTAGGATTGAGCAGAGAACTACTGGTGCCTGTTAATCTGTACTCCCCTCCCTTTAGGAATGAAAGGGAGAAAATTGGGATGAAAAAAAATGGGATTAAAACCTGAACTACACCATAGCAATTGAAATTGTCCTGATATTATAACAGTGCAATTTCACTAAAGAAAATCTGAGGTCAATGTCCAGCAAGTTGATCTGGGGTTTTATTTTGACCTCAGCGCTATTGGAGTACTTTAAGAGATGGTTGATGAACCAACTGATCCAATGTTCCTGCTTGCTCCCCATACCTTTTTCAACATCTACCTTATTCGTTTGAAAATATTTTATTTACTCTTGTCTATGCTGTGGTTAGTGGAAGAATTCCACATTTTAACCACCGTCTATGTGAACATTTTTTTCCCACTTTTTTTTACAAATTTAACTTTGTGCCCATTTATTGACGATCAGTGGAAATATCAGTATTAACCATAATAATCCTTCATAATCCTCAAAGTACTATACTGGATCAACCCTTAGCTTTCTCATTTAATTTCTAAAGAGCTACAAGCAGTTTGGGGCAAATTAATAATTTGCCCTTGATTTTTTTCTCTTCCTCCTTTCCCACTCTTCCTGCCCGCTCTACTTATACTTATGGAAAGTGCCTGGCTACTCTGCGCCACTGTAATGGCAGCCCTGAGATTGGGAACCCTAATGATGGGTGATTGAAGGTAAATTTCAACTGCTACAGGAACAAGAGAAAACCATTCACCCTATCAAGCCCATATCTCCATGTCCTGCATTGGCACTGAGCGCCGGCATTTCTCCTGTTTCTACTTTGCTTGATTCAGTCTATTCAAATTCAGCTTGTATAATAGTACATCGCTTATTCCAAAATAAAAGCTTGAATCAATGTGCCTTGGACCTTAGATTTTATGAAAGAGGGAGTTTCTCCTGGTCTCCAAGCCTGCCAAACAATCCTCCAGATAAAACTGGACAATTACTTTATTGCTATTTTGGACATATCCTAAGTATTCAGGAGGTTTTTTTGCCATCCCAATATATGCACAGATTGTTTGGCGCCTAAGAATTAATAATAAAATAATCCTTGCATTTAATATAACATCTTATCACGTCTTTGAGACGTTTTAAACCACTTCACAGAATATACTGTAAAAATTCTGTTGTATCCCATTCTTGTTCTATTTGGTGAACCAGGTATGATCTGTGGTGCTGTTATTCTTTTCTCCCAGATGATACCAGTGAATCGCAGACTAACACAAAAAAAGATGACCAGAATGATAAAGAGAAAAAGGATGAAGAAGAGATACCAGCATCCATTCATCGAGCCAAGCCAGTCATTGAATCATGGGTGTGGGGCAGACAGCCAGGTAATACAAGTCTGATGTTTCCAACTGAGTAGTAATATGTTCTGAATTATGATAGCATGGCTTGGTGCTGTAGCGTTTGTGCTTTTGTGTTGACATTCATTTTAAAGGGAAAAATTAAGTCTAATATACGAAATGTATTTGATTGAAATGTTACGGAGGAAAAAAGAACAAAATTATAGCTATAATTCTGCTATACTATTGTAATTGGAATCTTCCTCTCATTCCATGCCTTGAACTTCTTCCTGTGCAAATGTGTAATAGCAGATTTAACTCTTGATCCCATTGGGAGATAGATAATAATATAAAGATATCTGTACTTTTCAGTTTGGATTCCTTTGGAATGGCCGTAAGCTTGTTTATTTCTACTCATCTGTTTTGAGAAGTCATCATGCAGATATCTTTGGCTTAAAGGGGAAAATAAAATGATATCTTGGGATACAGTATATAGTTTAGGCCACAACATGTCAAGTGACTGCCAGAATGATGGGAGGCGAACTAGATGAACCTTCTTTTGCCAGCAAATTCTTATGTTATAATAAATAATAATAATCCTTGCATTTGATATTGCGCTTTTCACGTCTTCGAGACGTCTCAAAGTGCTTCACATAATATTACTGTAAAATGAATTGACTGTATATTTGTGGGTGAAATGCGACAGGCAATCGTGCACAGCAGTGTTCCACAAACAGTCGTGGATTGAGTGACCAAATTATTTGACCAGAATGCTAAAGAGAAAAAGGATGAAGAAGAGATACCAGCATCCTTTTTTTAAGGATTATTATCCCCAGAAAAGCGATCCGCCAATCGACTAACAACTAGGTTCCTACTTACTGCTACGTAAACAGAGGCATGTGGAGTAAGGAAACTTGCCCTACATTTCACCCTGCCGGGAATCAAACCCAGGTCTCTTGCTTGCAAGGCAAGTGCTCTAACCATTGAGTTACACATATTCTTGGGCTTCACTTATTGTTTTTTCTTTGCAGTTCAACTTATTGTTTTTGTAACCAGTTAATTTCCTGTTTTTCACTCATTTATACTAGACATCAGCACTTTACCAGGGATAATTTCCCCTTGAGTGCTTTCTCAGGTCTTCAGCTGTTTAACTCTCCAAATTCTTTCATCTCATTAGCTTTCAGTTCCTTCCATTTTGTTAGGTTTGTTTTTGTGATAGTTTGTAATGGTTTCCAAACTAATGGCTTGGTTTGAGAAATCTATGGCACAGCACAGTTGGATACATATACAAGTACTACAGTAAGTACTGTGAACTGTTTTGGGCATTCGACTTGAAAGATGTTATTATCCTACACCATGAACCCCCTACTCGGCCCGTCCCACAATCGCCCTCACCCTAAGGAACTCCATCCTACATTCCGTTCGCCTCGCTCCCTCCCTTGCCTCCTTCAAGGCGTGTCTCACAACCCTCCTCTTTAACCAAGCCTTTGGCCACTCTCCTATCCTCCCTGCCCTCCATGCTACGCGATCCCGACCCCTAGCTCAGGTCCAAATCCCTGTCTGTCCAGCGCCTTGGGACAGCCTCTCAATTGTTGCATTTGTTTTGGCGCCTTTCATGTCACGATATCTCAAAGCACTGGATATACTGTAAAGTGTTAGTGACTGTATATTTCTAGGCGATCGAGGCAGCATATTTGCGCACAGTTGTATCCCACAAACAGCCATGAGGGAATGACCAATTTTATTTGGGAGATTGTTGGCCATGACACTGGCGAAACTCCCTTCTCTTTTCGAATAGTACTAAGTCCACATGAATAAGCAGATGGGATCTTGGTTTAATGTCTCATCTGAAACACGATACCTCAAACAATGCAACCCCACCCCAGTTCTTCATTGCAATGTCATCCTAGATGGTGTGAGTTCAAAATCCTGATGTAGGGAGGGGGGGGGGGGGGGGAGGAGAGAAAGAGATTACCTTTTATTACACAGTTTTAATATGGAAGCGAGATTTCTGCAATTCTTTCATAATCTTAAATTATGAAACAATAGTCTTGAGTTTGAAATCATGTGAAATTTCCAGCCTTGGGTTTCTTACCTCAACCATTTTTATCACCATTGAAATCTATAATAATCCTTGCATTTGATATAGCGCTTTTCACGTCGGGAAGACGTCGCAAAGGGCTTCACAGAATACACTCTAAAGTGAATTGACTGTATATTTGTGGGCGAACGCGGCAGCCAATTGCACACAGCAATGTCCCACAAACAGTCGTAGATTGAAAATGACCAATTTTATTATTGTTTTATTTTTGGAGGGATTAATCTGTGACTATAGTACAGTTGGACGCTGTTATAACAATACGTTTGGGTTCATAAAACCAAGACTACTTTATGGGATGGTACTGCTCAGCACTGCCGTCAGGTTACACCCCTGACATTGCCGAGCTATGCTGCACTGAGGAAACCTGTTGATGAGCGACGATCGCTCTTGTGAGCATTTCCAACGATTGCTAGGATCTCACTGATTGCGGTAAGGCAGTCAATCGGTGCCCAAAGTATACTTCCGAGTCCATACACCCATGTTGTACAAGAACCTGTGATTTACCAAAGCGTAGTATAACTGGATTTCACTGTTAATACCGGTTTGCGCCTCAAATTAAGCCATCTACTTGAATCCCAATTGCCTTCTCTTCTTAGTGTCTTAATATCTTTTTCTGCATGTAGTTAGCTAATCCCTTTTTAAATGGACCCCTTGACAAATTATTCCATATTCTGTTAAACCCTCTGGAACAACACAACAACAACAAAATTACATTTATAGAGCGCCTTTCATGTCGGGATGACATCCCAAAAAACATCTTCCTAACTTATTTCATGCTCTTAGTTATACTTTTAAATTCATATCCTTGAATCATCTACCAGTGAAATAGGTTCCTCACCATTTATCCTCTCAAACTCTATCATTGCCTTTTTCCCCCCCTTTTGCTTGTTTTATTGATTGCAAAGATAAGCTGAAAAAATACTGAAAAGTCACATGTTACAAATGTCAGAGGGAAAAATAAACCAAGTGGAGTAGCTTCTTTTTTAAACACAGTTCCATGAGAGGCAGCTACTTGTAACTCATCGCGGTTTGTAGGACACTAAGGTGAGTTACTGGCAGGTCTGAACTGCGACCTTCTGATTTGGTCAGGAGCCAAAAGTCAACTGCAGGGTTGATCTAAATTACTGCATTTGCAAAGCCATGACGTGTTTAGTGTATGAAAATAATTGAGCGCTTGGAGACACAAAGTATAAGACCTACCAGGACATGTAAAGCAGCTGCTGAATATGTCGTTAGAGCGGTCACAAGACTGACCTGAGAGATCTGTTAAAAGAACATTGCCACGTGACTCTTCCCCATCGCAGCTGCCAGCATACCAGGACTGTATAAACTTGTGGAGAAAATCAAACTTAGTTAACATTTTACAAATTGTTGTGTAAAGCAATTGAAGTAAAATATCAGTTAATGTAAGTCATTAACATTTTCATTTAGCTCTGCTTTAAAAAGACGTAGGCCAACTAGTACAACGGCTTACTTTTTGGATTCTGTCATTTAGTATTTCTTTTTAAATTGACTTTTGATAAATCTGAAGGTGAAGATGAATTTATTTTCTTTTATGAGGTTTGCTGGTCAGGGAAAACAATATATTCTAAGGTAAACTATTTGCTCCAAACCATTAGCTACTTTAAATAACCTGTTTTGATCCAAAGTCGAAGAGTAGATGGGTATTAATTGTCATAAAAGTTTGTTCTTGGAAACAGTCTTTCTCGGAAGCCAGGGTTGTTTGGCTCAGATACCACTGATTGATTGCAGCATTGGTCAGCTCCATACTTGTCTGCATCAGGGTAATGATCAGGCAATGAGGCATTCATTGGACACAACTATAAAATAAAAAAAGCTCTAAACTTCTTAATCAATGATTTCATTTGTCCTCAAAATAATTTAACGTACGCTTTTGAAATTTATATTCAGAATCTTTTATATGTAGGTATTTTCACATGTTGGTGCTGTACTTACAAGGGAAATATTTATAAGTGTGTATATACTGTTCTGAAAACAATTTATATTTTTCCAAAATTAAGTTTCAAAGTTGTAACAATGCTTATATTCACGAACTAACTAAAACCGGTTGAAAAATCATGAAGCACAATGTGATGGCATTGACAACATGGAGAATACTAAATTGCCAGTGTTTTAGAAGTTGGAAAATGTGTTATTGGGTTAATTTTAGTGATCTGTGATACTGTATTTTGTATAATTTTAAAATAATATCACTGCTCTATAACTATCATATTTCACTTTTTCTTTCCCACCCAATATAAGTGAAAGGGGGTCTCACTTATACTGTAGTGTATCTTTATACAGTACGGTCGGGTTGGATTTTATTGTCAGCTACCAGTTGGGATCTATAAAATCCCAACCAACCTTTTTCACGACCGTGTGTGTGATGCACCCATCGTGTCTGGTAATGTCACTGCACATCTGCACAAATGGCCAGCCAGCCTCTGATACTTTAAAAAAAAGTCTGTCTGAATCGTTAGGTTGCTGCTGCTGTTGCTTTCCTGCATGCTGTGCATTAGTGCAGAAAGCCCCTAGCCTTGCAGTGTGCAATCAAACTTATTATTGCGAGTAATCATAATAATTTGTAATATTGTAATAATCAGAATTCACTCATTTGTTTTCTATTTACCTTGTCAATTCCATTTATTATTTAAATGCCTTTTTCAGATCAACCCTTAATCTCATTAGCTTTAAGGACCATAAACCAAGTTTATATTTAAGTTTACCCATTCATCGTAATATAAAAGGCAAGATATGTTGCAATATTCTAAAATAATATACATTTCTCTCATCCTTTATGTGAACAGATCCCTTTTTTCCTCTATGTTCTAGAATTAAAAAATATTCAAGAAATAATAAAATTTCAATCATTCAATCCATGACTGTTGGCAGCCGCGTTTCGCCCACAATACGTAGTCAACTTCACAGTGTATTCTATGGAGTGCTTTGAGATGGCTCAATAAGGTGCTACATCAAATGCAAGGATTATTATTTTAAAAATCTTACTAAAGAGGAGATGGATATGATCACGTTATGGCAACCACATTGATGTCGTCCTAAAGTTAAACTATTACACTCTTCGGGGAGTGAAATTAGACCTAACAGTTTTGGAATTTTAATTCTAGATGCGAATGAGTTAAAAGAATGTCTCCAAGTACTTGTGAAAGAACAGCAGGCGTTTGCTGCACAAGCTGCAACCACCACTCTCTCCGGAATAAGACTGAAGCAGAGACTTGCTGTCCTTGAACGGTACTTTATTGCCTTGAGCAGAAGTGTACTCCTGGAACATATCAATATCAAATGGAAGAGCAATAACGTTTCTATCTCTATGGCTGACAAGAAAAGGTATGTTTTAAAAGAATAACACAGATCTAATCTCAAATGTGTTCTTTGATTTAGTAAAGTAAGAAAATTGTGTAGATACCATGTGCTGTTTACCTGATGCTCCTCACTTCAGGCGCTGACAGCATCACCATCCATGGTTGCACACTCCACCTTGCTAAGCCAGTCCGGAACCTTGGGGTCTTGTTTGGCCCTTAATTATCCTTTCTACCCCACATCTGCGCCATGGCCGGCTCTGCCTTCCCCGCCTCCGCATTGACGCCCAGCTCTGACACTCTCACGCCGCAGGCCGCCGAAACCTCATACATGCCTTCATTACATCGAGGCTCGACTACGCAAACTCACTGCTTGTCGGCCTCCCCAACTCCTCCCTCCACAGGCTGCAGATCATCCAGAAATCTGCACCCCATGTCCTCCAGCACTAGGCTCCGCGATCCTATCACCCCCATCCTTGCCCAACTCCACTGGCTTCCCATCACACAGAGGATACAATTCAAGATCCTGGTCCTCACCTTCAAAGCCCTCAACGGTCTTTCTCCCCCCTACCTCTCCGACTTCCTAACCCCTACCACCTTGTTTGCTTCCTCCGCTCAGTGAGCTCCGGCCTGCTTCATGTCCCCCGAATTGCCCGCCCCACTATTGGTGGGTGGCCCTTCTGCCACTCTGCATCCATCCTCTGGAACTCCATCCCGCAGTCCCTCAGTCTCGCCCCCTCCCCTGCCACCTTCAAAACCCACTTCAAAACCCTTCTCTTCAACCGTGCTTTCGAACTCCCTGCTTCCCCCACTGCCCTCCCATCCCCTGATTCCCAGCTAGGGTCCATAACTCTGTCTGTCCAGTGCCCTGGGACGTCCTCCCGACATGAAAGGCGCTATACAAATGTAATTTTGTTGTTGTTGCTTCTCTGGGGGTTACTATGAGTCTCTGCTGAAGTGTTTTTTGCTCTCTGAAACTCAATGGGGATCGAAGAAAGAATATTCAAAAAATGGAACCCCACAATTGACACAATATTCATTTACATAGCACCCTTCACACGGGTAGCTCCTGGAGCGCTTCACAGTGGTGGAGTCTGACCCTGAGCAGGGGGAAAGGAGAAGTGACCATAAGCACGATTAAAAAGGAAGGTCTTTAGGCAGGATTTGAAGATGCGGAGGGAGAGGGCAAGGTGGAGGGATCGAAGAAGAGCATTTCAGAGTTTCAGGGCGTAGTGGGCTGAAGGCACGGCCACCAATGTTGGAGCAGAGGCTGGAGCCAGCCGAGTGGAAGCAGCGAGTGGTGGAGTGGGTGGTAATCAGGTTGGATAGGTAGGGAGGTATGAGGGAATTAAGCAATTTGAAAACGAGTGAGAGGACCTTGAAGTCGATCCGTTTGGTAATTGGAGCCAGTGGATCTTGGCAAGGACTGGTGTGATGGGGGTATGGAGTTTCATGCTGGTGAGTATCCGGGCAGCAGAATTTTGAATTAATTTGATTTTGTGTATGGTGGAGCTGGGGAGACCAGTGAGGAGGGCATCAGCATAGTCCAGCTGGGAAGTGTCGAAGGCATGGATAAGGGTTTCAGCTGCATTGGTTGTGAGGTATGGACGGAGGCAAGTAATGTGACAGAGGTGGAAAAAAGCGATTCTTGTCAGTGAACGGATGTGGGGGAGAAAGGAAGCTGCGGATCGATGGTCTACAACCTGATGAAAACCTGATGCTTAAGTTGCGCGCCTTTTTGGAGAGTCTAAGGGAGAACCCGGGGAGGTTGAGGAGTTCAGACCTGCAGGAGAGAAGACTTTGATGGGAGCCAAAGAATCTGGCTTCTGTCTTGCCAACAATCAGCTGCAGGAAACTTGCCCAAGGAAAATTGAAAAATTGTCCTACACTGTATAATCCTGATGTTCAGCTTTTTGCCTTGTAACGTTCAAAAAAAAAATGTAAGCGTCTTATCCAATCCCTTTTAAAAGAGATGTTGAACTCTGGCTCAATAATGGAAAGCAACAGCTGAATCAGGAAATTAAAATCTTTAAAGTTTAATAATGTTTATATAATTTATAATTCTATATTTTATAATTATATTTGTGTTCAAAGATATTTATCCGGTTTGTTTTGATCCCTAATGAATCGGCGTTTATCTAGCACTGGCATTTCTTAACCTATGTGTATTTCAGTTCTAGGCCTGTTGGGAAAGGTGTTGAAGGACTTGCCAGAGTTGGATCCAGAGCAGCACTTTCTTTTGCCTTTGCGTTCCTTCGCAGAGCTTGGAGGTCGGGTAAGATACCATGCACTGTGAAGCGTTTTTAAGCATATATAATTTTAGTACTGAACACGTGATGGTTTCACCTGTGTGTGTGTGTGTGTTCTGTGGATACATTTTTGTCTATCTGTTGGTCTGAAGGTGAAGATGCAGACTTGTGCAGTGAATTGCTACAAGAATCTCTCGATGCCCTTCGAGCTCTCCCGGAGGCGTCGTTGTTTGATGAAGGCACAGTATCCAGCGTGTGGCTTGAAGTTGTGGAGAGAGCAACAAAATTTCTCAGGTCTGTTGTTACAGGGTAAGTGGGTATTAGGAGGCCAAATTATGTTTGAAGTATTGTGGTACTTCTGGAGTGGCTCTATATCACATCGGAGCCAGTGCTTGGCAACGGAATATTGGAATTGAGGCAGCCCTCTGTGGCGGTCTCGATAGTCCATTCCTGAGCCAGGCGGGTCCACAGGATTCCAGGGCACTGCTGATGACCACACTGCCAGCCTGGCTCATCAGCAGGGCCTGGAAGGGTAGACCAGTCATTGGGGACAGGGAGTCCTCTCACTCTGCTCCTGTTAACCCTGTAAACCAGAGCCCTAACGGATAGGGTGGTCCTAGCTGGACAAGCAGTGGGAAAGCTTTCCAGACAGGATATCAATGGCAAGCTGTGTGCTTTTGGTTGGTTAGACTTCAACAGTTACCCCGCCTTGGCTCTTGCCAAGTTGCACCTGGTACTTTCCGGAGTTATGTAAGCAGGATGAATTCCTCCAGGGAGAGAGTGCACATTCCATTCCAACAATCTATCCCTGGAATTTCCATGTGTAGGTGGATGCATTGGAAATCTCAGTTTGGTTTGGATACTCTTTAAGCATGATGATATGGGTTTCAGCATATATCAGACACCCGACTGACCAAAAAAAAGGAGTGGAAAAGACACGGCAATCTCTGGTAGCTGATGACCGTTTGAAATTGTATTTTGCAGTGATCTTCACGGTGCATCAAGCTCGAAGGGGCCAGGGAACATTCCACTGCAAGACCAGCATTTAGCTCTTGCAATACTACTGGAACTGGCTGTGCAAAGGGGAACACTTAGGTAAGCAATACAGAGCGGCGGACGCACTAATTGTGCTACACAAAATCTTGCAGCCAAACTGTTTTATGTCCAAGTGAGCGAATAATGGAAGGGGATGGAAGATACTAAATCACACAAGGTCCAAGCTAAAAGGCTCACAAAACCTGGTGTGGGTTACAGTTCTCGATGGTCTACAACTGCATCTATGTAAGGAGGAGCTGGGGAATCCAGCCAGCGGAGTGTTGGAATAACTGAGCTGCTGGCTGGCTTAATTCTTGGTATTCAACTATATGGGGAAAGGGTCTTGGCGATTGATCTGTCCATAACATTTTGCCTAGTATTGGCAAAATAATGCAGAAGCAATTAAAACTATCCCTCTTTTTATTACACCAAATATTACCCATAGGCATGCTTTTAATGCCATCTGTGTGGTCTTGGGGGTTTGTTTGTATTTAATCCCTTTGATAATTTTATTGCATTGCAATCATTCCTGATTATTCTGTATTAAATCAAACTTCATACGTCTTGGTGTCATTTTCCTTTGTGAAAAATTGTTTACTTGGAAGCCTTGTGTAATTTCTTGTGCATCCCACTGATACATCATCAGTGGTTAGAGCACTCGCTTTGCAAGCGAGAGACCTGAGCTCAATTCCAGGCAGAGGGCGAAACCTTGGACAAGTTTCCTTACTCCACACAGAGCCTAATAATAATCCCTCCAAAAACAATAATAAATTGGTCATTTTCAATCCATGACTGTTTGTGAGACATTGCAGTGTTCCCAGCGACTTCTGTTTTTGTTTCAGATTTCCAGCATCTGCAGTATTTTGTCAACAACATTACATTTGTAAAGCTGGTCTTATGCCTATAAAGCATTGGTTATTAATGGAACCCGGCTTCTAGTTTACTACTTGGAACAAATGCACAACTTGCATTTATATAGCGCCCTTCACGCAGGGTAGCGTCCCAGAGCGCTTGACAGTGGCAGAGCACGATGCCGAGCCAGAGGTAGGGGGATATGACTGTAGGCACGGTCAAAGAGGAAGATCTTCAGGCGCAACCTGAAGATGGGAAAGGAGGAGAAAGAATGTTCCAGAGTTTTGGGATGTAGTGGTTGAAAGCACGGAAGCCAATGATGGAATGGGGATCACTACATACAGTTGTGATCCATATGGAGGAGCAATCAAAGATTACTTTGAAGTAAATAACAGTGGCATTTAAATCGCTATAATTTGTAGTTGTATGACATTTAGAACTTGATTGTTTTGTTCCTGTTTGTCCTTTTCATGATATTTGAGAGAGGGTGGAGCATTGGCTCAAGAGTGGGCAACAATCCATGCCACATTTAGCTGTTCACCAGAAGGTGTGCCACAGAAACTTATTAAAGAGTCTTCTGATCCTGGGGTGGGGGGGGGTTACAAAGCTTTGCAACAAGGCTGCTCAACAGAACAGATAGTGCTTCAAAATAGGGTTCTTAAATTATATACGATAAACTCCTAACAACAAGACCTTGGCTTAACTTGTCACTACCACTAACGTAGCTATGCTATCATTATCCTGGTTGCTTCCATGCACTCCGGATAACACAACTCATCACATTCTAGAAATTCTTGCGGATACTTTGGATAACTAGTCCTATAAGATGGCGTCCTGCATCACAGAGGCCTCAACTTTATCCGGTGACTGGTGTGGATGATCGGTGGAGGTTGGGTGTGGATGATCATGGAGTCCTGTAGCTCAGTGGTTAGAGCACTCGCTTTGCAAGTGAGAGACCTGAGTTCAATTCCAGGCAGAGGGCGAAACCTTGGGCAAGTTTCCTTACCCCACACAGAGCCTAATAATAATCCCTCCAAAACCAAAAACAATAATAAATTGGTCATTTTCAATCTACGACTGTTTTTGGGACATTGCTGGGCTCAGTTGGCTGCTGCGTTCGCCCACAAATATACAGTCAATTCACTTTACAGTGTGTTCTGTGAAGCGCTTTGGGACGTCCTCCCGACATGAAAAGCGCTATATCAAATGCAAGGATTATTATTACTATCATGGTTTATTGGAGGGCCATGCCTTGGCTTCCCACCCTATCCTGTCACAGTTAGGCCTGGAGGATATATGCCTGATTGGCCACTCTGGATAACAAGTTGCTGAGCCCCTTTTTATGGGAATGACAAGTTATCAGAACGTTACTGTATTTTATTCTGGGAAAAGGAGGAAGTGATGACAGTGAATATGACTATCAAGCAACTTTTTTTGATGAAAGTGACCATGTACCATGATGCTCACCCTCACCTACAAGGCCATTCACGGCCTCGCTCCCTCCTACCTCTCCGACCTACTATCCCCCTACCTACCTGCCCGTACCCTCCGTTCCTCTGGCTCCGGTCTGCTCCACATCCCCCGCCCCAACCGCCCTACCATCGGTGGTCGGGCCTTCAGCCTCTCAGCCCCGAGGCTCTGGAACTCCATCCCCCAGTGCCTTCGCCGCCTCCTCCCTCTCCTCCTTCAAGGCCGGTCTCAAGACCTTTCTCTTTGACCGAGCCTTCAGCTCCCCTCTCGACTCTCTACCCCCTCCTCGCTCCCTCCCTTCCCTCCCCTCACCCTGACCATTTCCCCCCCGCTCGGGTCCTGACCTAACTACAGCGCCTTGGGACGTCCTCCCGACGTGAAAGGCGCTCAATAAATGGAATCTTCTTGTTGTTGTTGATGTCGTCGTCGTCTGATTGATCTGTTCATTAGATTGTTTCTCCACCTTTTCTCTGCACCACTTACCGAGTATTTATGTATTTGCATTTAAACATCCCAGTGATTGCACCTCTCTCACTTTGTGAAGCAGTGTATTCCATATTCTTCGAACCCTGTGTGAAGATGGCTTTTTGGTCTCACTTCTAATCACCTGAGCTTGAATTTTAAGATGGGGCCCCCAGGTTTTATGGTTTCTCTAATGGTGGGAATGTAATCCCCAGCTCGGGTCCAAATCCCTGACTGTCCAGCGTCTTGGGACGTCCTCCTGATGTGAAACACCCTTTACAAATGTAATCTGTTGTTGTTGTAAAAGGGGAAGCTTATCCAGAGTTCCTGATATAGTTTTTTTTCCTTTTCTAGCCAAATGTTATCTGCTGTTTTACTACTGCTGCAGCTTTGGGAAAATGGAACAAGGGAAACGGACAATGAAAGATCATCACAAGGCACCAGTGCCCCACTGTTGCCTCTTCTGCAAAGATTTCAGAGCATACACTGCAATAAAGACTTGCCTACTGAAGATGAAGAGGTACAGATAGATTTGTGAAAGCACTTTCGTACAATGTGTTTCAGATACTTTGTGTTCTGCTGAAATATGCAAAGACTAAACGGGTGGAAAAACACATTATGTAATTTGTTAAAATGAATGAGTTCCAATACCCCGCCATTCAATTTATCTTGGGTGTGTTTGATTTTAAATCAGTTAATTACATTTTTTATAAATTTAGTCAATTTTGTATGTCAATTTTTCACCCAAAGTTTGGTATGAAATTGTAACTATTTGAAAATAACGAATATCAATGTATATAAATTGAGGAGGATCTGAATAGACTGGGAAATGAAGTAATGGATGCAGTTTAAATGTGGGAATAATGTATAGTTATAACATTTGGCAGAAATCCAGAAAAAGAACTAGGTTGGTTGTCCACTAAAATAATTTAAAATAATAGGTTCAGTGAGATGCATTGAGGTTATCTTGTGTCAAATTATATGGTTAGGCTGGATGGACCTGAAGCATAATCTTCCCTGATATTGTTACTGTGTTAGTTCGTTGAACATAATTGTAAGTACCAGAATCTGGTGGATGGATTAATGAATGTGACGGTTGACTGGTTTTATGACCTTTGGAGTTGAAAGCAGGGGATAATGTTTTGTGGAGTGACCTGATTAGTTTGTTTGAAACTCACAATAGGAGAAGGTTTGGATTTACATTTTTAAGTCCTTTTATTTACATGGAGGCATTTAAAATTATGAATGCTTGAGAAATGTTAGACATTTCAGTTGTGTAAAAGTGCATGAGAAAAAGTTGCCCGAGATTCAAAATACGCCCGCAAAAACAATTTTACAGGAGATTTTGTTTTAATAAAAGGCATGCTAGCCATGTAGACCAAACTATCAGCCCACACTAAAATCAAATTTGTATAGAGCCTTTTGAGTCGGGAGAACATCCCAAGGACAGATGGTTGAACAAGAAACTCTGAAGGGTTTTAGAAAAAAATGAGGTGTAATAATAATCTTTGCATTTGATGTATGCCTGGACATTGAAAGGATTCAAGATTAGGTTACTATTACTGACGTCCAACTCCAACAGTTAGAAACAACAACAAATTGCATTTATACTTGTATATTGTGAACGCTTAAGAAAAATGGAAAAAGTGACAATTTTTATAAAACGATATATCAAAACTGGTGATGTGTGACCACATTTTATTTGTTTTTTTCTAAAAGCAATGAATGTAATCTGTATCAAGTTTTTACTTCTGGAACCTGTTTATTTCAGTGCGGGGATAGAGTGGCGGTGAAATGTTTACAAATCAATCTGCTGTTGATTAAGAATAATTTATTACAAAAACTGCTTGTGGCCACTGTCTCTGCTTTGAAAAGTTAGTGAGTGATATGATAGGCAAGGAGACAAAATAGCAACCTTCAAAACGTTTAAAAAAAACTGGATTAATTCAAAAAATAGTAGTTCCTCATTATAGCGCTAACATAGCCAGAAAAATGTGTTTTCCTGAGGGGAAATTCTGAATAATGTTCCTTGATCCGCCACTGTAAATGCAATAATGTTGAAACTTTCCCTCTATCGCCATATATTGTTTTTCACAAATAATGAGCACTTCTTTGCTTCCAGTATTACTTTCTGAGTCAGAATGTTGTGTGTACAAGCACTACTCTGTGAGATTGGGGAAGCTATATAATAAAAATACTGATAATAATAATCCTTGCATTTGATTTAGCACTTTATCACGTTACATATTGTAAAGTTGATTGTGTTTTGTGGGCGAAACATGGCAATTATTATAGATGATGCTGTCCTTTTGGATAAGACACTAAACTGAGATTAGGATTTCTGCGTATTCTTTGGGTGGAAGTTAAAATTCCCATGACATTTCTTCTGGTGATCTTTTGTGCTGTGCACAAAATTGTTAATGCATTTGCCTGCAAAAGTCACAATGACTGACAGTTATGAGATGTTATGAGGTGCTATATAAAAAATATTTTTTAATTTCTGATTTTCTCATTTTTTTCCAGATACTGGTGAACCCTTTGAGTCCCAATGAATGTTTTTTAAGGTACCTCACTCTACCCCAAGATAATGACTTGGCTATAGATCTTCGGCAGACGGCGGTTGTGATTATGGCTCATCTGGATCGTTTGGCAGTTCCCTGCATGCCACCACAGTGTAGTTGTCCTACCTCTCATAAGGTAATGACAACAACTTGCATTTATATAGTTTCCTTTACGCGGTAGCATCTCGGAGCCTGACGTTGAGCCCGGGGGAGGGCAATCTCTCAGTACTTGGAGATCTCAATTGTAACTGTTTGGAAATAGAAATATCACATTAGTGCAGTTGTAGTTTTCTTAAGTATTTTCTTGGTGCAGAAAAACTTAAACTTTATCTGACATCTAATCATCCTCCTTGTTTGGTGGAAAGTGCAAAATGTTCCGGAGAGTTTAAATCATTTCCTGTTAGACCTCTTTTGTTTGGTGAACTCGAAATCCACTGTAACCATAAAAACTGTAATGAACCATATAAATGTTAAGGATCCTTAAAGCTTTTTAAAGGTGTTAAATTCTTGAAGGAATAATAAATTTTGCCAGGTTTTATCTGGTTTTAGGTTTTATTTTTTATTTAGGTTTCAAGGCTGAGACTGATAGATTTTTAAAAAAATAGAGGGATTAGGGGATATGGGGATAGGGCAGGTAATTAGAGTTAGGTCAGAAAATCAGCCATGATCTTATCGAATGGCGGGGCACAGGCTCGAGGGGCCGAATGGCTTATTCCTGCTCCTAATTCCTATGTTCTTATTTCCTTTAATCCTCTTTGTCAACTGGCTTAATCCAATTCCTCTAACTGGAATGGTTATATAAATGTAAATATTGAATATTATCAAGAATATAGGTGTACACTAATGTCAAATTTGTCAAATTTTGATAGGGATCCATGCAGGAAGTCCTTGGCTGGGGACTGATTGGTTGGAGAAGTCAGTCAACAGTGATTTGTCCCATCCAGTGTGAAGCTATTGCTAATCTTGGAGTTGTACAGATAGCCTGTGCTGAAAAATACTTCATTGTTCTATCAAGAAATGGAAGGGTTTACATGCAAGCATACAGCAGTGATACACTGGTAAGTGCTATTTTATTTTTTCCTGCTTAATCTCAACTGTACTACATTAATACTTTGTGGGTTAGTGTAATATCACATTTAAACTCCTGAAACTGAAAAGAATTTTTAAAAGAATTGTAAAATGATCACAGTTAAAGGAATTCAGGTACAATATGTCTATTTGAAATGGGTTTGACAAAAGCATTTGCTTCCTGGAGTTGCAAATATCTTGCTGGTAACTAAAATGCCACATTTTGGGATCTCTGCTCTGGGGTTGTATGGCATTGGAATGGTGTTCCAAAATGAATCAGTTGAACGTGACACAGTTGTCACAGAAGTAGGTTGCATGAGTTAAGTTAAGTCTGAAGTCCTTCCTCTTCAACCGTGTCTACGGTCACTTCCCCCTGGCTCGGCACCATGCTCCGCCACCATCAAGCACTCTAGGACCCTGTGTGAAGGGCGCAGTGTAAAAGAAGTTATTGTTGAGTTGTATTTTATATCCCAGAGCATCAGTTGCAATATAATTCCTAACCCACTTGATAGTCCAATTTCTTCTTACTGTGTTCACATTATTTTCTTCCCAATTTAAATATCAGCGGCTGTATTTGATGTGCATGTTCCTGCTTCTGAAGTGCCTGTTGCTGATTTTTCTGTATTTACACAGGCCCCTCAGATGGTGCAAGGCCTTGCATCAAGGAACATTGTGCAGCTTGCCTCCCACCCCGATGGCCAGCATTACGTGGCGTTGTCAGCAGCTGGGGAGGTTTTCTCATGGGGCTGTGGTGATGGTGGAAGACTAGGCCATGGAGACACTGTGTATGTATTGAAAAAAACCTTATAATGTACTGTAATAGAATGCAACTGCAGGAAAGAGCTGAATAAATAGCCTTGTTGAAGAAACATAAGATTTGCTAGACAAAAGAAGACCAAGGTCCATCCAGTTCGCCTTCTACCATTATGGCAGTCGCATGCACATATCATGTCCCCAACTATGTACTGTATCCCAAGATGCTATTTCCTAAAAAAATCTCATTTACTTTGAAAGAATCAACACTGTTTGCTTCCACCGTCTCCTAGGGGAGCCTGTTCCATAAATTTACTACCTGTTCACCCAAATAGTGTTTCCGCAGATTTGTTTTGAATTTACCCCCCTTCAATCACAGGCCATGTCCTCTGGTTCTACTGTTCCTTAGAAGGAAATAAAACTTCCTTGAAATGCAATCATTTCAGATCTCTTTACCCCAGACAACATAGTAATTACTATGCAATTCTGATTGAACGTCTAACCATGAACTGTTAGAGTGCTAATTGTGTGCAGCTGGATACACAACAGCGTATATTTTTCTCCTCGAAATTATCTATTTGTCTAGTTCCCTCAACCCATTCTGCAACTAGGGACAGAATTAAATGTTCCTGTATAAGATCCTGCTTGTTAATGTGCCTGAATTATAATCCTTGCATTTGATATCGTGCCTTATGTCAAAGCATCTCATAGGATTTACTGTAAAATGTACTAACTGCATATTTGTAGGTGAACGTGGCAGACAGTTTGTGCACAATAATGATTCACAAACAGCCATGATTTGAGTGACCAATCCTGTGTGGAAGACTCTTGACCAGGACACGAGGAGAAACTCCCTTCTCTTTCCAATAAGAACATAAGAACATAAGAATTAGGAGCAGGAGTAGGCCACTCGGCCCTCGAGCCTGCCCCGCCATTTGATAAGATCATGGCTGATCTTCTGACCTAACTCTAATTACCTGCCCTATCCCCATATCCCCTAATCCCTCTGTTTTTTAAAAATCTATCAGTCTCAGCCTTGAAGATGTTCAATGACTGAGCATCTACAGCCTTCTGGGGGAGTGAATTCCATAAATTCACTGCCCTCTGAGTGAAGAAATGTTTCCTCAACTCTGTTCTAAAAGGCTGACCCTTAATTTTAAGACTGTGACCCCTGGTTATAGATTCTCCCACCGGGGAAACAATCCCCCAGTGTCTACTTTATCAGCCCTTTAAGAATCTCATATGTTTCAATAAGATCTTCTCTAATTCTTCTGAACTCTATAGAGAATACAGCCCTAGTTTATTCAGCCTATCCTCATAGGTCCCCTCATCCCAGGCACTAACCGAGTGAATCTACGCTGCACTCTAGGGCAAGTATGTCCTTTTTTAAATAATGAGACCAAAACTGCACACAATACTCTCGGTGCGGTTTCACGAAGGCCCTATACAGTTGCAGCAAGACTTCCCTACTCTTGTACTCTAAACCTTTTGCAATGAACGCTAACATGCCGTTCGCCTTCTTAATTGCTGCTGCACCTGCAAACTAACTCTTTGAGACTGGTGTACAAGGACACCCAAATCCCTCTGAACACTAACACTATCTAATCTCTCCCTCGCTAGAAAATAATCTGTTTTTCTATGTTTGCTACTTAGGTGAATAACTTCACACTTCCCCACTTTAAATTCCATCTGCCACCTACTCGCCCACTCCTCTCGCCTATCTATATCCCGTTGCAATCTTTTTGCATCATCCTCAGAGCTTACTCTCCCACCGAGTTTAGTGTCATCCGCGAATTTAGATACGTTACGTTCAACGTCCTCGTCCAGATCATTGATGTAAATTGTAAATAGCTGAGGCCCAAGCACTGATCCTTGTGGTACTCCACTAGTCACATCCTGCCAATTCAAGAATGACCCGTTTATCCCTACTCTCTGTTTTGTACCCATTAGCCACTCTTCAATCCATGCTAATAGGTTCCCATTAATCCCCTGGGCCTTAACCTTGTGCAATAGCCTTTTGTGTGGCACTTTGTCAAATGCCTTTTTAAAATCTAAATATACTACATCTACTTGTTTCCCCCCTATCTAACCTGCTGGATACATCTTCAAAAAACTCTAAATGATTAGTTAAGCGTGACTTCCCTTTGTAAAGCCATGTTGGCTCTGCCTAATCTTGTTATGGTCTTCCAGGAATCCCATAATGACATCCTTAATTAAGGACTCAAGAATTTTCCCTATCACTGATGTCAGACTAACCGGTCTGTAGTTCCCCATCTTTTCTCTCCCACCCTTCTTAAATAGTGGTGTGACGTTTGCAATCTTCCAATCAATGGGAACCGTTCCAGAATCCAGAGAATTTTGGAAGATCAAAGACAAGCCATCCACTATCTCAGTAGCCACCCCTTTTAAAACCCTAGGATGTAGGCCATCAGGTCCAGGAGATTTATCAGTTTTAAGACCTGATAATTTGCCTAAAACCATTTCTGTACTAATATTAATTTCCCCAAGTTGCTCACTAACATTTTCTTCTTAGTTCCCCTCTATTCTTGGTAGATTTTCAGTGTCTTCTAAGGTGAAGACAGTAGCAAAGTACTTGTTTAATGACTCTGCCATGTCTTTGTCCCCTACTATAATTCCCCCGTCTCTGCCTGTAGCGGACCCACATTTACCCTTGACAGCCTCTTCCTCTTTATATATTTATAAAAACTCTTGCAGTCTGTCTTTATGTTCCTTGCTAGTTTGCCCTCATATTCCATTTTCTCCCTCTTAATCACTTTTTTGGTTCTCCTTTGTTGATTCCTAAAGTTCTCCCAATCCTCGGGTTTACTACTCATCTTAGCTGTTTTATAGGCTCGTGTCACGAATCTTTAATGTCCATCTGAGCCAGTAGATTGGACTTCGGTTTAACATCTCACCTGAAGGATAGCGCCCCCAGTACTGCAGCATTCCTCCAGCACCGCATTGGTGTATCCGTCAATAATGTGAGCTCAAAATCCCAACTCACAACTTGAACACACAAGCCTGACTCAGAAGTGATGACCACCAACTGAGTCAGGCTGACACTACTTATAACAAAGTCATGAGCACAACTTGTACTTTTTATTCTATTCTGGCGTATGTGTGTTTATCTTTTGGGGGGTGTAGTGGTTGCAATTTGGCTCTCTTAGATATGAGCAGGACAGCTTTCTGGTTAGCTGCTGTCAGGTGATAAAGATGCACAATTGTTAATTGGTTTGACGAATTATATTATTTCCCCAGTGAATAAGTCATCTGAGTACATGGTGATGATCTCATTCTTACATAACTGGGCAGATCTCAAAGGGTATTGCTGTTTAGCGGACAAGGAAGGGATCAAAAGATTTACTGCTGGTGTAACCTGACACAAGTTTAATTTTAGTTATTAGCAGGGCAGGACAGGGTGACGACAGTCAGGCAGGTTAGGGACCTACAGGGAGAGTGGGGGAGAACCCCCAGGCTTTAACCTTGTCCAACAGGTACAAGATACCTGCAACCTGTTGGACAAGGAAGGATGAGGAGGATGGGCAAACTGACTCCAGCACCGCTATACAGTAGGGGAGGGGAGATGGACAGAATTTAGTTGAAATTGGGGGCGAGACAGTCAGGAGGACAGACACACTTCTCTGCAGCCACAACCAGGAGACACGAAGGCTCTTTTGCCTTCCTGGGGTCAGGGTGAAGGATATCTCTTCAGGGCTGGAGAAGAATTTGAGACAGGAGGGGGAGCTTCCAATTGTGATAATCCATACAGGTATCAACAATATAGGTAGAACGAGTAGGGACGACTTGAGTGAGTTCAAGGAATTGGGAATTAAATTAAAAAGTAGAACGTCCAAGGTAATAATATTGGGATTCCTGCCTGAGCCATGTCCAAATTCGTACAGGCACAAACAAATTAAAGAATTAAATGCGTGGCTGACAGAGTGGTGCGGAGGGCAGGAGTTTCATTTTATGGACCACTGGCACCAATATTGGGGGAAAAGGGAGCTATTCCACAGAGATGGGCTCCACCTAAACCGGGCTGGGACCAATGTCCTGGCAAAATAAATAAGTAGGGAGGTAGGCAGAGCTTTAAACTACTAAGCGGAGGGGAGGGAGGGTTACAGCTACAGTTAGAAGTAAACCAGAAAAACTAAGAACAATGAAGGTGGTAGAACAGATTAACGAAGGACATAAACAGTGTGTGTCGAGGGACAAGAAGCTCCGCAAAGAAAATAGGGCATTAGCGAGTAGGTGAAATAGCAAGAAGTTAAAATTAAAGGCGCTATATCTGAATGCACGAAGCATTCGTCATAAGAGAGATGAATTAATGGCACAAATAGAAACAAACGGGTATGATCTAGTAGCCATTACTGAGATGTGGTTATAGGGAGATCAAAGGGGGGAGCTAAATATTCCAGGGTGTTTGGCATGTAGGAAAGATAGGCAATGTGAAAAACAAGGTGGGGGGATAGCCCTACTAATAAAGGATGGGATAAAAACAGTAGAGAGGAAGGATTTTAAATCAGAAAATCAGGATGTAGTCAGTATGGGTGGAATTACAAAATAACAAGGGGCAGAAAACACGAGTGGGAGTAGTTTATAGACCCCCGAACAGCAGTCACAGTATTGCGCAGAGTATTAACCAGGAAATTAGTGGAGCGTGTAGCAAAGAAAGTACACTAATAGTGGGTGATTTTAATCTTCATATAGACTCGGAAAACCAAATTGGCAAAAGTAAGTTAGAGGAAGGGTTTATATAATGCATTAGAGATAGTTTTCTAGATCAGTATGAACCAACCAGGGGACAGGCGATCCTAGATCTTGTTTTATGTAATGAAATAGGGCTAATCAGCAATCTGGAAGTTAAGGCTCCTCTGGGGCAGAGTGACCATAACATGATGGAATTTAGCATTAAGTTAGACAGCGATGTAATTTAGTCCGAAGCAAGGGTCTTAAATTTAAATAGAGCCAACTTTGCAGGTATGAGAGAGGATTTAGCTAAAATAGACTGGGGAATTAGATTAAAGGATATGACAGTAGACCAGCAATGGCAAACCTTTAAAGACACAGTACATAATTCCCAGTGATCACATGTTCCCTTGAGGAATAAAAATACCACGGGAAAAGTGGTTCAACTATGGCTAACCAGAGCAGATAGAGAAAGTATAAAATTATAAGAAGAGACCTATAATACAGTCAAAAAGAGCAGTAAACCTGAGGATTGGGAGGGCTTCAGAGACCAACAAAGAAAAACTAAGAATCTGATCAGGAGGAAGAAAATGGATTATGAGGGCAAACTAACCAGGAACATAAAGACAGACTGCAAGAGTTTTTACAAATGCATAAAAAGAAAGAGACTATCAAAAGTGAATGTGGGTCCATCACAGACAGAGATGGGAGGAATTATAATGGGGATAAAGATATGGCAGAGTCATTAAACAAATATTTTGCTTCTGTCTTCACGTTAGAAGACACTGAAAACTTACCAAAAATAGAGGGGAACCAAGAAGCTAACGTTAGTGAGCAACTTTGGGAAATTAACATCAGTAAAGAATTAGTACAAGAGAAACTGTTGGGATTGAAAAATGACGAAACTGTTGGGATTGAAAAATGACAAATCCCCTGGAGCTGATCCTAGGGTTTTAAAGAGGTGGCGGCTGAGATAGTGGATGCCTTGTTTTTGATCTTCCAAAATTCTCTGGATTCTGGAACAGTTCCCATTGATTGGAAGATCGCAAACCTAACACCACTATTTAAGGAGAGAGAAGATGGGGAATTATAGACCAGTCAGTCTGACATCGGTGGTAGGGAAAATTCTAGAATCCTTTATTAGGGATGTTGTAGCGGAGTACTTAGAAGACCATAACATGATTAGACAGAGTCAACATAGGTTTACAAAAGGGAAGTCATGCTTAACTAATCTTTTAGAGTTTTTTAAGGATGTAACTAGCAGATTAGATAGTGGGGAACCAGTAAATGTAGCATATTTAGATTTTTAGAAGGCATTCGACAAGGTGCCACATGAAAGGCTGCTACACAAGATTAGGGCCCATGGAAGTAAAGGCAATATATTAGCATGGATCGAAGAATAGTAGATTCTTGCTAACGGGAAGAAAACAGAGAGTAGGGAAAAAAATGGGTCCTTCTCAGATTGGCGAGATGTGACTAGTGGAGTGCCACAAGGATCAGTGCTTGGGCCTCAACTGTTTACAATCTATATCAATGATCTAGACGAGGACATAGAACTTAAAATATCTAAATTCGCGGATGATACTAAGCTAGGCGGGAGAGTAAGCTCTGAGGATGACACAAAAAGATTGCAAGGGATATAGATAGGCGAGGTGAGTGGGCAAGAAGGTGGCAGATGGAATATAATGTGGGAAAGTGTGAAGTTATTCACCTAGGTAGTAAAAACAGAAAAGCAGATTATTTTCTAGAGGGGGAGAGATTAGATAGTGTTAGTGTTCAGAGGGATTTGGGTGTCCTTGTACACCAGTCACAAAAACTTAGCAAGCACCTAGGTAGGCTAATGGCATGTTGGCGTTTTTTGCAAAAGGGTTAGAGTACAAGAGTAGGGAAGTTGTATAAGGCCTTAGTGAAACCAGACCTAGAATATTGTGTGCAATTTTGGTCTCCTTATTTAAGAAAGGACATACTTGACTTAGAGGGGCTGCAGCATAGATTCACTCGGTTAGTTCCTGGGATGAGGGGGTTGACCTATGAGGAGAGGTTGAGTAAACTAGGCCTATATTCTCTAGAATATAGAAGAATTAGGGGTGATCTTATAGAAACATATAATATTCTTATGGGGCTTCACAGATGTGACAGTGTGAGAATCTAGAACTAGGGGTCACAGTCTTTTCGAACAGAGTTGAGGAATCACTTCTTCACTCAGAGGGTAGTGAATTTATGGAATTCTCTACCACAGAAGGCTGTAGATGCTCAGTCCTTGAACATATTCGGAGTCCTGTAGCTCAGTGGTTAGAACACTCGCCTTGCAAATGGGACACCTGGGTTCAATTCCAGGCAGGACGAAACCTTGGGCAAGTTTCCTTACTCCACACTCCTAATAATAATCCCTCCAAAAACAAAACAATAATAAATTGGTCATTTTCAATCTACGACTGTTTGTGGGCCACTGCTGTGCGCAATTGGCCGCCGCGTTCACCAACAAATATACAGTCAATTCACTTTACAGCATATTCTGCGAAGCGCTTTGAGACGTCAAGAAGACGTGAAAAGCGCTATATCAAATGAAAGGATTATTGTTATTATACTCAACCCTGAGATTGATAGGTTTCTAAAGAGTAGAGGGATTAAGGGATACGGGTGATAAGGCGGGCAGATGGATTTAGGCAAGATGATCAGCCACGGCTGTCAGGCTCGATGAGCTGAATGGCCTACTCCTGTTCCTAATTCCTATGTTCCATATTATATAGTTATTTCTGAAACAAACCCAGAAAAATGCTTCAATTGACACTAGTACTTTAATAGGTATTGTGCTGATTTATAGAAATAAAATCAACACGCACAATGCATTTAAAGGTTCTTTTTTGTAACTAATCCAAGAAGTCTGAGAATAACTCCGTCCATCGTGTCTGCTGATGCTGACCCCCCACTGGAGGTATCTATTCCAATCATTTTTCACTTTTTTTCTTAATTTTTTGGCCAATGCCCTTTTAAATCATTTTAGAAAATCAGCTTCAGCAGTTTGTCATTCCATTCTTTATGGCATTCCATTGATTTTTTTACAACTATTTCTAAAATTGTTACCAATCCTTTTTCCTCAATGTTTTACAGTCTCACTGATAGATAGATCAGTGTAAATACTGTAGTTGTATGCCAAATGTCTCAGAATTGTGAAACCTCTATATGAGATCTTTCCCATAACCTTTTCTGCTCGAGTTAAACTAACATCTTCCAGTCTCTCCACATAACTATAGCCTCTTATCCTGTTATCTATGTGACTCTTTACAACAACAATAATTATGTCCTTTCATAGCTTTCACTTTCATTGACAATGGGTGTTCTAAACTTGACTGAGTATTCTTAACTGCAACTTAAGCATACTTGTGAAAAATAGCCTTACAAATATGAACTTTGTTTTGAGCAATTCTTCTGCATTTTCTGTAGGTCCCTTGAAGAACCTAAAATAATAGCTGCTCTGTCAGGGAAACAAGTGGGAAAACGCATTGTTCACGTGGCCTGTGGAAGCACCTACAGCGCAGCTATAACTGCAGATGGAGAGCTGTATACGTGGGGAAGAGGAAACTATGGGCGACTCGGACATGGTATTGATAAGCTACTGATTAATAATAACAATCCTTGCATTTGACATAGCGCCTTATTAAGTCTTTGAGACGTCTCAAAGCGCTTCACAGAATATACCGTAAAGTGAATTGACTGTTGTGCACTTGTTTGAAAACAAAAACAATTTATATAACTCCCTTTTCATCAAATTAATGTCTCAATGCACTTTATAAAGACAGTGCGGATATTTGTCAGGGAGGAAAGGAAATTTAAAGATGTTCACCAAGTCATGGACAAGCAGGAAAGGTAAGGGACTGAGATTTTGTGGATATTAGTAGGCTTAGTCTTTTCACTACTGAGGTGAGATGAAGGGAATGGGGAGTGCATATGGTTATAAACAACTGTTTCCCTTTAAGACATGAATATGAAACAGCATAAAGCTCTTTGTGGAATGACCATGTAAATCTCATGGAAAAATAAATCAAGTATATAAAAATAAGAGCTAGGGTCAATTCCCCCTGGCTCTGTGTTGTGCATAAGAAACGCAGCAGCCAATTGCGCACTGCAGTCATGGATTGAGTGACCAAATTATTATTATTTGATTTTTGATTCAGCCCATTCAAGAAATGTTTAAAAATACATCTTTTAATGCAAGTTTCCGTTTTTTTATTTACTGATGCACAAGGTAATCTTATCAAAAACAACAAAAGCTGCTTATAAGATTTGTTTTAAGATTTTTAAAAATATATCTTCACAGGGTCTAGCGAAGATCAGACCACCCCATTAGTGGTTAGTGGACTGAAAGGCTTGAAGATCATTGATGTTTCATGTGGGAGTGGGGATGCCCAGACATTGGCAGTGGCAGACAATGGTAGGTAATCAAGTATTTTGACCCATTCACTCCTGTGTTTTTCCTTTTTTTTGTTAAATACATTTGAAATAAGTTATCGAATACAGTAACCTGAATTCTTGTGTATCAGGAAGCCCTCTGTTTTTGCTGCAGGTCAATGAAATTGATTGTGAGGATTCTTAGGGGGCTTGTGTGGAGGATAAACACGGGCGGAGTTGGCCCTTATTGCCTGTTTCTGAGCTGTCCCACTATAATAATAATCCTTGCATTTGATATAGCGCTTTTCACGTCGGGAGGACGTCCCAAAGCGCTTCACAGAACACACTGTAAAGTGAATTGACTGTATATTTGTGGGCGAACACGGCAGCCAATTGCGCACAGCAATGTCCCACAAACAGTCGTAGATTGAAAATGACCAATTTATTATTGTTTTTGGTTTTGGAGGGATTATTATTAGGCTCTGTGTGGAGTAAGGAAACTTGCCCAAGGTTTCGCCCTCTGCCTGGAATTGAACTCAGGTCTCTCGCTTGCAAAGCGAGTGCTCTAACCACTGAGCTACAGGACTCTACTATGTAACTTACTGAGCACTCATTTTATGGTTCTCACTTTCATTGATTTGCGTGTTGCTGTCAGCAGTTTCAGCAAATAAACTTTTGTTGACATCTGCGTTTTGGGGCTGTGACAATTGCTTTAGCTGTGAATTTCATTCATTGTAGCATTACGGTTTGATTAGGGAGGAAGTTGTCTCAGTTATTACAACCTTGTGTGTATATGCTTGATACTTTTCTCGGGCACGTTTGCTTTGCCTCTTCGAGAAAATACACATTCGTGCTTAACATTTTGGTTTTGTTCCTATGTAGGTCAAGTGTGGTCTTGGGGAGATGGTGACTACGGAAAATTAGGCAGAGGTGGCAGTGATGGCTGTAAGACTCCAAAGTTGATTGAGAAGCTTCAAGACCTTGACATTGTAAAAGTGCGCTGTGGCAGCCAGTTCTCAGTGGCCATTACAAAGGATGGACAAATTTACACCTGGGGAAAGGGTGATAACCAAAGGCTTGGACACGGAACAGAAGAGCATGTGCGGTATCCCAAGTTGCTGGAGTGTCTTCAGGGTTAGAACTGTCTGCTGTTACTCTTTCTCAAAGTTTAAAGTTTTTTTTAAAATATATATAAAAGGATAGAAATGAGAAAAAACTGCAGCAGATGCTGTAAGTCAAAGCACCCCACCTACCCCCCCTCCCCACCCCATTCTCCCAAAGTTCACAGGACATTAATCGACTCTGAGAGGGGAAGATAGACTGAAGATGGGGATTCTGTTTCACATAATGGAAGGAAATGGCCAAAGATGTCCAGCAACTTACATTTATGTAGCACTTTTCACGCAGAATAGGGTCTGGGAGCACGCAACAATGGCAGAGTTAGGCACTGGGTCCAGGAAACCTCTTTTGGATGCAGATCGACTCGACTCTGGATTTTCAGTGTTGGTGTTAGTTTACAACTGTGGATTGATTGTTGACTGGCACAAAACACAATTTGAAGATAATTCTGTCTTGTTTAGTTTCTGAAAAATTCTGTTCCCAAAGCTGCAGAAATCCTACAAATGTTTATGTAAATAGCACTTCTGTCTATAGCTACAGAAAAATATTGTGCGTTAAAACTATTTCAATCAGTATTAAACTGGACAACAATCACTGGCTAAACTGACAGGCAAACCATGATTTTCTTTTATAGCAAAGCAATTTATGCACGTTTGTTTTTTACAACAACAAAATAATAATAATTAAGAATAATAATCCTTGCATTTGATACAGCGCCTTATCACGTCTTTGAGAAGTCTCAAAGCGCTTCAATAGAATATAGTGTGAAGTGGAATAACTGTATTTTGTGGGTGAAACAAAAAGATACTAATCTAGCAAATAAACTGGACTGTTGGACTGTTGTAGCCTTGGATATAAATCTATGATTGACGGAGGAGCTATTGTGTCAGAAAATATTCGTTAAAAAGGTCGCTATTTTCATAATCGCTTTCATCCATCAATAGAAGTAGCTTATGTGATCGCAAATCAGGATGAGATCGATATTGCAAAATGTACTGTGTTGCGCGTGAGGCACCATATGAAAGCGACTGATTTTTAATTTTGGATTACGGCCCCTGTTAGTGCAGTACTCCATTGCTTCAGGGTTTCTCTTGTCAAAAACCTGACTGGTGTCATCTTTTTTTCTGGACAACCAGGTGTCCGACACATGCAGAAACCCATCACCATGCTTAAGAGTATTCAAACCAAACTGAGAATTCCATTCATTAGACCCCTAATTCTCTCTCTGGAATTTCCATGTGGGTGGGATGTGTGGATTAGGATACCTTTCTGAGGCAGCATTAGGTCACGCAAAATTGCTGTCTTTTCAGCTTTGTGTTGAGCTTTGACCTAGAGTACATGTTGGAGTTGAGGTGGTTATAATATTTCAGTTTGCCTCAACTGGATTCATTCCCAGTATGCTGATTCACCATCTTTCCAGTAATACAATACAATTTACATAGGGCCTTGGAGGACATCTCATATGCTTTCCACAACTGGCTAGCTATTTGAGCTGCGAAGCCGAAGAGTTGAAGGGATGGGAGGGGGAGCAGATATGCAAAATGCATTAAAATTCCCCAACATCTCTGGTCTGGTTTGTTTTTTGTGGCCCAAAGCTCCAGTGTATACAAAGCGTATACAAAACTCTCCCACACATCCATTACTATGGATTTTGCCAAAATCTACTGCCTCCCGTACAGCATCTCTATGTCTACTCTAGCTTCAGAACTCTCCTAAAACCCATCTCTTTGCCTCTGCTACTGATCAATCAATAGGTTTCAAAATCTCTGCATTGCATAAAGAAGCAAATTAAAGTGTTTTGCAGCCCTTAGGGTCCTAAGGAAAATAGTAATATGGTTGTTTGTGTTTTAAAAAGGTAAAAAGGTGACTGACGTGGCTGTTGGCTCCACGCATTGCATGGCGTTGACTGAAGATGGTGAAGTGCTCAGTTGGGGCTGCAATAATCAATGTCAGCATTTTGATACGTTGAGGATTACAAAATCGGAACCAACTGCTCTGCCAGGACTGGATTCAAAGCACATTGTTGGCATTGCTTGTGGTTCTGCCCAGGTAAAGATACTTTATCCCAACACTGAGATTTGTTCTGAGCAGGTTAATTATGTTCTATTGCATTCTTCCCTTTGTTATAGTGTTAGTACTCAATAAACGTCTCTTTTTGTCAATTCTCCTAGGCTTCATTGTCAACTTGACTAAATTTTCCTACCACCTGGTAATACATCACCTCAGCATATTATGTGTTGAAATGCCTATGATTTATGGCTTATGTAGTAATTTACTCGGTAGATACTAATGTTCTACTTGTGGATCAAAGGTTTGATTGACTTAGTTGAAGGGCTTTTTGTTCACTTTGATTCTTATTTAAATATATAATATATTTAAATTTAGATAAACTGATTGTAAAGTTTCACACTCATGGTAAATTGTCTGAACGCAGAGGATGAATCGTTTAGACAAATTACTTCACTATTGATACGAACCCTTTAATAATAATAATAATAATTATTGTATGACCCCTTTACAGCGCCTTGGGATGTCCTCCCGAAGTGAAAGGCGCTATACAAATGTAATCTTGTTTACGTTGAAGCTAATCATTTCACTCAGAATCCAGGTTGGGAGATATTTTCTAAGGATTGCTAATTCGCTGGAACAAGCTGTCTTTGTTTTCAAATAAAATTCATAGAATCATAGAATTATACAGGTCACAGAGGTAGGATTAGACTGCATGTTGTGTTGTATATTGTAAGAATGATCCCTAGATGAGATGGCACTCTTATTAGAATCCCTGATCGTGATGGAGTAATGTGTGACTCTTCCCCTGCAGAGCTTTGCTTGGTCCTCTTGCTCTGAGTGGTCCATTGGACTCCGTGTGCCGTTTGTTGTGGACGTTTGTCAAATGACATTTGAACAACTTGACTTACTGCTACGGCAAGTTAGTGAAGGGATGGACGGCAGCTCAGACTGGCCACCGCCCCAGGAGAAGGAATGTATGGCAGTGTCTACACTCAGTCTTCTCCGGCTACAGGTAATACATAGTATATGTAATATACAATGTAATACAGGTAATGTGGACTTTTTAGGCTTGAAGAGGTCTCGATTTAAAATTTCACAAATATATGTTGTAATGTTAATCAACAAGATAAAACAGACTTGCTTTCTGAAGAATGAAGTTTTTTTTATCAATGAACACGGAAAAGCTGAGGTTAGTGAGTAGTTAAGGTTTTAATAGTGATCTATGAATGGACAAGCACATTCAGACGAAGGTTATTAGATGGCATGGGTAAGACTAGGAAATGAGGATTAGGATGGATGATTTCCTGGAGGAGCAAATGCTGACACAGAATAATAGGCTAAATGGTCTTCTACTGTGTCAGACATTTTGTTTCAGTCGTTCTGTCTTTGTATATAATATTTGTAAATATTAGGCAAAATAAGTATTGTCATTAATTGTTTTTCCCACAAACTACTGTGTTTGTCTCTGTACTAAAGTGAACTTGTTTTCTTTTTGCAGCTTCATGCAGCTATTAGCCATCAAGTGGACCCAGAATGCCTTGGTTTAGGCATAGGCAGTGTTTTGCTGAACAGTTTAAAACAGACCGTGGTGACGCTAGCTAGTAATGCTGGGGTGCTCAATACTGTTCAATCATCTGCTCAGGCTGTCTTACAGAGTGGCTGGTCTGTACTTCTTCCTACAGCAGAAGAAAGAGCCAGGGCCCTTTCAGCATTGCTACCAAATGCAGGTAAGATTTATAACAGTAATCACTGGATCTAAAGTGCACAAACTGAAACACTTAGAGCATCAACAGTTTGCTCAGCTATGTCTCGACCCCAGGCCCTGTGCCTGTGCATTGCTGCTGCTCATGTCAGATAGCTGCATAAGGGAAGCAGCTGCTTTGTGCTAACTTTTGAGATCCTCCCAGAAGGTACCAAAAGCAGTCTGGTCTCTTTGCATTCTGGCTCAGTGTCCTATTCAGTCAATTGGTTTTGGGTTGCGATACCTATGCAATCATGCAATGAGCTTGTTCCATTATAACCGAAATACTTCTATTCCTGAATAGCATAGAAATCCACTCGAATAAAAAATGGAAATTTAAGTTTCAGGACATGAAATGAACGTAAGTCCAGGTCGTCGATTCATGATTGATCTCTTGGTGAGCAGTCTGATGGCAGATGGTGGTCTAGAGTCTGCGCTGAATGCTGCCATTACAGCAGAAATCCAGGTAACATCCTTTAATTGTGGTTTTAAAGTTGCCTGAAGTGCTTTTATGGCTCCTGGGGCACTGCATAGGAAACCTACTAAATTTTAGTAATAATCCTTGCATTTAATCTAGCAAAATAAGCTCTTTGATTACAAGAAGATTTGATGAATGAACGTGTACATCATGTTCTTAGGGTAGTAAACCATTTCTTATGACCTGCAAATGCTACTTATTTTTTGTCCGACTCCTATTTTTGTCCCTTGATTCTATTTATATCTTATTTCTCGTGCCTATTCCTTACCAGGTTTCCCTACTCCCCATTCCTCTGTTTACCTTAGCAGTAAGTATGAACCCAGTTGAATTTCGATTGGCGAATTGCTTTCCAGTGGTAATTATCCTCTCTTTCCTCCCCCAAATAAAAACATGTCTGTTTGTGGAACATTGCTGGGCACATTTGGCCATTGCATTTCTCCCACAAAATAGTCAATCACTTTTCAATAGACTCTGTGAAGAGCTTTGAGACTTCTCAATAATGTGATATCAATCAAGTGCAAGGATTATTTTTATTATTGTCTCCTTAGATGCTAATTTTCATGTCTTCCAATTTTTTAAATATAAAAATGAGAAATCTATACAGTGCTTCCAGCTCAGGATGGCATATGTATGTATGGTCCTTCATTTTAATGTTTTTGTTTATTCTTTACCTTAACTTGATCATTGACTTGTGCAACTTTCAAGTAGAGGTTACTGGATAAGCATCGGGAAACTTATGTTCAATTACAACTTTATAAAACAAACATTGGTTTTCCTCACTTTCCTTTCTCCATAGATGCTGCCTAACCTGCTGAGTGTTCCCAGCGACTTCTGTTTTTGTTTCAGATTTCCAGCATCTGCAGTGTTTTGCATATTGGATTTCCTGCCTGATCGTAAAATGGCAATTTTCAAATGTGAGTGTAGAAATATATTTTAGTGAATAATGATGCTGTTTTAATCTAGGACATAGAAGCTAAGAAAGAAGCCCAGAAAGAGAAGGAGATAGATGAACAGGAAGCCAATGCCTCAACGCTCCATCGAAGCAGAATGCCATTGGACAAGGATCTTATCAACACTGGCATATATGAATCTTCTGGAAAACAAAGCCTACCCCTAGTACAACTTGTGCAGCAGTTATTGAGGTATTTGTAAAAGTACTTTATCATGCATTGTACCCATTTGCCCATAGCAGCAATAATTTACATTTATTCCTGAACAGGCAGAGAGCCATGGAACAATCTTTTTGATATTTTACAAAATGGAGGCATAGATTAATAATAGTCTTTAGTATTTGCCTGAACCACCACACAAGCAGATGAATCTGGTTTGATGCCCCCAACTATACAGAGTGCTATCTCAGGACTGTACTGGAGTGTCATTCGAGGATGCTGATCCCACCCAATAGCTGGGGTCCAATCCCTGACTGTATAGCACCATGGGATGTCTCCCAATGTGAAATGTGCTATACAAATGTAAATTGTTGTTGTTGGAGCTCAAACTAATAAGGTAAGGGTGCCTTTGATTGACTATGTGGAGGATATTTCTATTTAAAGATTGAAAATAAACTATTTTCTCAAATGTCAGATATAGAATTAAAGTTAGTTCTTTGGTTGTTGGCAAAATAATCGCAATAGTATAACTAATAACTATAATTACTTGCCGGACCAGAGGACTGCTTTCTTCCAAAAGTTACAAAATCTCTCCTTTTAAATTATCTTTAAAGAAACATTGCGTCTCAGAGCATAGCTAAATTGAAAGATGCTACTCACCACATTTCTTCTTGCGTGGACCACGAACACCTTAATCGGGAAAGGTCGGCATCTTTAGACCTTCTGCTGCGGTTTCAGCGCCTGCTTGTCAGCAAACTATACCCGGGTGTCAATTTCAGTTGTGAAACTGGTGGCTATGGTAAGTGTATTTCTCATTAGTTTTTTAAAAAAGTAATATTTTTTTCTGTTTAAGTATCTTGTGTGTACGCTAGAGTCCCATTATGACACTGTAACTGGGCACAATGTACTATCAGCGCTTCCACATTCGCTGCACATATGTAGAGAAAGACAGTGCTGGCCGACATAGAGAAAATGCATCTGCCTTTGATTTTCCTGCTGAGGAATCGGATTGAGCAGATTTTATTTCACTTCTGTCACAGTTCCTGTTGTTTTTTGTTCTGTTGTACTGTGTTTTGTTTCTTTACAATCAAATTCCAAGTACAATATATGGAACAAATGTATTGACTACTGTTGTCAAGCTGAAGGTAAATCATCACCCTGTGTTATTACTGAGAAACACTACCCAAGGGGAACACAGCTGATCACTTTTAAAATATCACTTTTATATAGAGATCTGTTGAGGGTCAGTAGTTCACTACTATAGCCCTTGGCTGTAATCATTTTATTCATAAAATATGCAGGTTCCCATGAGGGTAATTAAAAATCAACATCTCACTTACCATGTCATGTTTTATCCAGTTAAAAGCCCTAATTTTATTATAGAAAAAATAAAAATAAACTGTTTCCACTGAGGGATAGGTCAGTAACCAGAGGACACAGATTCAGGATAATTGACAAAAGAACCACAGGTTCAGAACCTTTTTTTTGTATATTTTTGGTATATTTGGTGAATCAGGAGTAGGTCATTCGGCCCCTCGAACCTGCCCCGCCATTTAATAAGATCATGGCTGATCTTATAACCCAATTCGATTTATTTGTCCTATCCCCGTATCCCTTAATCCCTCTATCTTTTAGAAATCTATCAACCTCAGTCTTGAATATGTTCAAGGACTGAGCATCCACAGCCTTTTGGGGTAGAGAATTCCACAAATTCACTACCCTCTGAGTGAAGAAATGTTTCCTCAACTCAGTTCGAAAAGGCTGACCCTTAATCTTGAGACTATGACCCCAACCCAATGAATCTACGCTGCATTTCCTCTAAGGCGAGTATGTCCTTTCTTAAATAAGGAGACCAAAACTGCACACAATATTCTAGGTGCGGTCTCACCAAGGCCCTATACAACTTCAGCAAGACTTCCCTACTCTTGTACTCTAACCCTTTTGCAAAGAACGCCAACATGGCATGAGCCTTCCTAGTTGCTTGCTGTACCTGCATACTAACTTTTTGTGACTGCTGTACAAGGACATCCAAATCCCTCTGAACACTAACACTATCTAGTCTCTCCCCCTCCAGAAAATAATCCGCTTTTCTATTTTTACTACCGAGGCGAATAACTTCACACTTCCCCACATTATACTCCATCTGCCACCTTGTTGCCCAGTCACATCGTCTGTCTGTTTCCCTTTGCATTCTTTGTGTGTCATCCTCACAGCTTACTCTCCCACCTATCTTCGTATCGTCTGCGAATTTAGATATATTAAGTTCGATTTCCTCATCTAAATCATTGATATAGACTAAATAATTGAGGCCCAAGCACTGATCCTTGTGGCACTCCAATAGTCATATCCTGTCAATCTGAGAAGGACCTGTTTATCCCTACTCTCTGTTTTCTGCTGGTATGTGGACTAACTGGAAAAACCTGCGACAAAGACCATCTTTCGAGGGTCAAGTAAAACTATGCAAAGAATTTTATATAGAGATCTGTTTAGAAATACGTCTTGAATATTTCGCGTTGAATGAGAATATAAAGTAGAATTTAGAGATCGGCCCAGCAAAGTCCAGCCTTGGTTGACTGTGCAGCGGGAGTGTTTAAACTTCCAAGTCAAATCGATAACTAGACTGGCAGGTCAACGGTGCCTTTGAGTGCGTCTCAACCCAAAGGAAATTCCATTTGATCTATAATGCAGGGTAACCCTGGATAATGTGGGGTATATTGCTTGTCCAAGGCAAAAGTCTTGTTGGTCCACTTTGCATTATCATTTGAAAAATGGCTGATTCTGTAACACTGAGGTCTTCATACACTGTTTCAATAGACAACGAATTACTCAAAATTATTTAATCAAATACGTGGCTTCTTCTACAGTGGGTATAATATCCACTTTGAATGATGAATGGTTCTCAAAGCCCTCAGGGACACGACCCTGCGTGGGTGGGGTAGGGGGGGTGATATAAATGCAAGTTGTTGTATATAAATGCTTCTGTATTTCTAACTCTGGGTTGAAGATGGAAAAGAAGAATTTTTTGGAAGGTGAATTTTTCACCTTCAAAATATTCTTTTTCAGTTGTTAGGGATTTCAGAACCAAAGCAATGGAACTAAATTCATATTTAACATTTTAAACCTTTCTTTGCAGGTCCTGAGCTTTTAGGAGTTGGTTCACTGCTGAAAAAATATATTGCACTTTTGTGTACGCACATTGGGGACATTTTGCCAGTGGCAACCAGCATTGCCTCAACCAGTTGCAGGCATTTTGCAGAGGTGTCTCATATTCTTGAAGGAGATTTGACAGGTAATACATTTTGTATAAAAAGTGAACAATTTTTATAAATTAATAAATTTGCTTTATAGTACTTCTTTATTTCTAATTTTCTTTGAAAAAAATAGTTTTCACCTTTTGTTTTTTTTAAAAAAAGCTATAAATATCTGAGTGGGGCATGTGAAAGGGCTGTTTAATCCACTGACCTCCTCCCACTAGAACATTAACAATCATGTAATGGCATTTGATAATAATTGAATTGTTCTTTTTCCTCTTATTTTCTTTCTTGGTAGATTGTTCCAATTATTTAATATAATAATCCTTGCATATAATATAGCGCCTTATCATGTCTTCGAGAGGTCTCAAAGCGCTTCACATAATATACTGTAAAGTGAATTGACTGTGACGAAACACCCAATTGTGCATAGTAGTGTCCCACAAACAGTGGTGGATTGAATGACCATATTATTAGTAGTAGTAGAAGTATTAATAATGATGATAATAAGCCTTGCATTTGATATGTTAAGTGGTTTGACTGTGTATTTTGTTGGCTAAAATTTCCCAAATAAAGTTGATCATTCACGGTTGTTTGTGAGACGTTGCTGTTCGCAAATTTACTGTTGTTTACCCTGAAAATGCACAGTCACTCCACAAAATATCATGTTGAGTGCTTTGGGACGCCGCTGATGTGAAAGCACTATACCAAACACAAGGATTATTATTACTTAAAATAGCTTAATGCAATATGGTGAAAACGAAATATCAGCACAGATTGAGGCTTTAATACTTGTGCCATTGCTGTATCAATTCTTCTCCCCCTCTCCCTCACTAAAATTAATCTTAAGTTTCCTGCTCTTTCCTTATACAGAACTTTTCTATAATTTAATTATTTAAAGTATTTTTCTAATTCTGTTTTAAATGTTATTAAGGACTTGTGGATCCTGTAGCTCATTGGTTAGAGCACTCACCTCGCGAGCGAGAGACCTGGGGTTCGATTCCCGGCAAGGTGTAACCTTGGGCAAGTCTCCTTACTCCACACGCCTGATAATAATCCCTCAAGAAAAAAAACAATAATAATTCAATCCACGACTAGTTGTGGGACACTCCTGTGTGCAATTGGCTGCCGTATTTCGCCCACAAATATACAGTTAATTCACTTTAAAGTATATTCTGTGAAGTGTTTTGAGACGTCTGGAAGACATGAAAAGCACCTTATCAAAATTGCAAGGATTATTATTAAATGTTCAGTAATTCTTACATAAACTGGTCTTCTCCACAAATTATTTTAATGTTTTGATGATATATTAGTGAGTTGCCTTGGGATGTCCTACTGATGTGAAAGGCGTTATATAAATGCACTTTTGTTGTTTGTTGTTAAGAAATACAGTAGCTGCAACGCCAGCATTCAATGTATTCCTGAACTCTTTTGTTTTGATCCAGGAATCCTCCTTCCTGAACTAGTGGTCTGCATTGTGCTGCTCCTCACTAAAACTGCAGGTTTGATGCAGGAGGCTGGGGCCATCCCACTGCTAGCTGGATTGCTAGAACATTTGGACAGGTTCAACCATTTGGCTCCAGGCAAAGAGAGGGATGATAATGATGATTTAGCATGGCCTGGAATAATGGGTATGGCCATTCAAATTATCTAACAAAAAGTATTTGCATTTACCTGTCCTTCCTCCCCAACATCTGGTCCCTGACCAGGACCGCCTTCTTCCACCTCCGCCACATTGCCCGCCTCCGACTGTACCTTACCCCAAATGCAGCCGAAACTTGCATGCGTTTGTCACCTCCCGCCTGGATTACAGACTGTTATTCTACGAAGATACTTTTATTTCTTTTAAGTTTGTTCAATATGTGTTTGTCTCTTTTAAATCAGGCTCATTCTTCACAAATCAGAATTCGCGGAACAATGAGGAAGTCACTCTGATTCGAAAAGCTGATCTTGAGAACCACAATAAAGATGGTGGCTTTTGGACGGTAATTGATGGAAAGGTCTATGATATCAAAGATTTCCAGACTCAGTCACTTAGTGGCAACAGCATACTTGGTGAGATGATATCTTTTTAAGTAACCACTTACTGATTGTTGTAAATGTGTTAAAATGGTTTACTAATGATAATGTCAATAGTGAAATATGCATGTGACACAAAAATGTCACTAATTGTGCAGAGATCTGTAAGTGACATCAGGAGAACTAGTGCAATGTGCAGAAACATTGTAGGTGGCATTTCCTTAGGTGAATGCATCCAGGGATTTCTAAGTGCTCTGAGACACTACCATGCGTGAAGGGCACTATATAAATGTTGGTGTTAATGCAGAAAAGTGCAGTGATAAAATTTGGGGGGGAAAATGAAGAAAGGAAAAATACCTCATAATTTTTCTTTTCAGCCCAGTTTGCTGGAGAAGACCCAGTTGTTGCTTTGGAAGCTGCTCTCCAATTTGAAGACACTAGAGAATCAATGCAAGCATTTTGTGTGGGCCAGTACATGGAGGTACAGAACCCTTGATAAACTGCTGAGATCTGATTTAATACTCACAATATTTTTTAAATGACTTCATGTAAATCTTCTTTCTTTGTTTGCTGTTTTTTCTCCATCTCTCCTGAAGGGGGTAATCTACAGATTCAATAATAACTTAAAAAAGGGATTTGGACATATACTTGAAAAGGAAAAAGTTGCAAGGCTATGGGGAAAGAGTGGGGCAGTGGGACAAGTTGGATTGTTCTTTCAAAGAACAGGCACGATGGGCCGAATGGCTTCCTTCTTTGCTGTAAGATTCTATGATTACTAGGGCGTAGCCTCCTTCAGGAATTCCACTAATCACAGAATCGTACAGCACAAAAAGAGACCATTCGGCCCATCAAGTCTGTGCGGCTCTTTGAAAAGAGCACTGCAATGTCAATCCCACTCCCCAGCCCTTTCCCCATAACTCTGCAAACCCGTCCTCCTCAAATACTCATCCATCGCGTTTTTAAAAAGTTGTTATTGAATCGGCCTCGACCGCCCTTTCAGGTAATGCGTTCCAGATTCGAACAACTCGCTGCGTGAAAAAATTTCTTCTCACCTCCCCTCGGCTTCTTTTAGAGACTATTTTGAATCTGTGACCTCGAGTCACCGACACACCCACCAGTGGGAACAGTTTTTCCTTTCTAAACTATCAAATCCCCTCATGATTTTGAAGACCTCTATTAGGTCCTCGTAACCTTCTCTGCTCCAATGAGAATAATCCTAGCCTAATCCTAATGAGTCTGAACTGGTTCTCATCTGATCGTGATCGTAATGCCAGTAGGGTGGGTGGGGGGTGTGGGCAAGGTCATAGAATAGCAATGAGTGGGAACCTTACCTCATGTTCTTTCCTTGACCTCTCCTGATAGGCCAAGCTCCCTCATGGTGTCCTGGCTTAGATAAGCTAATTCAGCACAAACGTGGATCTGAACTGTCCACTTTATTGTTTTTATTACATTCTATGAATGGAAGAAAGATACTTCAAAGCAAATTACTTGTTAATCTTAAAATTCTCTTCATCGTTTTATACAAACTGCATTTCATCGCTCATGTTTCTCCCTCCCCGTTTCTCTTACTTTTCAAATGAAGCTGGATCAGGAAGTCGTCACCACTCCAGATCTTGGCAGTTTGTCTTCACCTCTGATAGACACAGAAAGGAATCTTGGCCTACTACTTGGACTGCACGCATCGTACCTGGGAATGAGCACACCACTGTCCTCTCTGGAGGTCGAATGTGCCAGTTAGTATCCGACAAATGCTTAATGTATCAAGAAATAGGTCTGTTAACTCTGGGATGCTATGCTGTAATGAGGGTGCTACATAAATGCAAGTTGTTGTCATTAACCTTAGGATTGGTGCAATTTATTTTACCAAAGTCAAAGACTGGGATTCACTTTTTGTCTGTTTCTCTAATATATATTAGTGGATATACGAGAAGCAAATTAATGCCCAAAATGGCTTAATGGATTTAGCAATATGAATTTATCTTCTGGATTAGCAACTCAAGTTTTTTTTTAAAAATCACCATCGACTTCAACATGGAAAACTTTGACTTTGATTTTCAAAAAGAAAGATTGACATTTCGGGGCTTTAATATGTAGGAGCTATTTGACTTTATAACAAGTAACAATTAATGACATAGTCATCCTAGTAATGGAGGGGTGTTGAATGCGAGTGCAAAGAGCTGATTGTTTCTTGCTTGTCCTGCTTAAATCATGCAGTGGACATGATTGAAGCAGGACAAGGCAGCAGACTAAAGAATGGGAGTGGTGTGCAAAATGAAAATTTGAAGCAAGATACTTTAATGGAAGTGTTTAAGAGGCTAAACCTATTATTATAAACAGATATTTCTTTATCCCCCACCCAACCTTCTGGCCTATTGAAGACACCAAGGAGTCCTGTAGCGTATTGGTTAGAGCACTCGCCTCGCAAGTGAGAGGACCTGGGTTCGAATCCCTGGCAGGGTGAAACGTTAGGCAAGTTTCCTTACTCCACACCCCTCTGTTTATCTAGCAGTAAGTAGGAACCTGTTTTCCTAGCAATAAGGTGGATCGCTTTTCCGGGGGTAATAATCCCTTAAAAAAATAATAATAATTTGGTCACTCAATCCATGACTGTGGGACACTGCTGTGCGCAATTGACTGCTGGGTCTCACCCACAAAATATATAGTCAATTCACTTTACAGTATATTCTGTGAAGTGTTTTGAGACGTCTCAATGATGTGATAAGGCACTATATCAAATGCAAAGATTATTATTATTATTTTGTACAAAATATGATTGGGTTTACAGAATTTGATTGATGCTTTTTAAAATGTTTGTTATATCTTAACAGAATGGCTCCAGTCCTCTCTTTTCTCCGGGGGTTTGCAGACGAGCCAGATCCATTACAGTTACAATGAAGAGAAAGACGAGGACCATTGCAGCTCTACCACTGCTCCGGGCAAGGCCAAACTCTATGTACGTCAGCTAGCGCTCAGCGATCATACTCAGCCATTCCTGCAAGCGATTGCAGACAATAATATTCAAGATCACAATGTGAAGGTGAGCATTTGTATTCCTATTTCAAAGTGAAAGGTGAAGGAAACAGTTTGATTAGCTGTAATTTTCGTACAAGCTCGACCTGAAACTGCTATCCTCGTAGTGTGAGTTGTGTGTGACCTACAACCCAGATTATGTTTTGGATATAATTTTCAGGAATGCAGGATCCTTGAAAGTATTTTGGTTAACTGAAGCAGATAATGTAAATGTTGTATTTGACCATTAGGAATATAAATGGATCAAAAATTTGATGTGGCTGACTTGCAATGCCAAATAATGTCAGGATTGTTCAAAACTTTCTACAATAATGTACATTTTATTGCGGCTTTCATATCGGAGGACATCTCAAAGCCCTTCACACAGCTGACTGGGAGCCAGAGCTAGGGAGTGAGTAGTTAGGGGGAGGGAAAGTGGCGGAACGTGCGATCAAAGAGATCGCTCTTAAGGCAGGTGAATTAATTTCATGAAAAATAATTTGCCTGAATATATCATGCCATCTTAAAAAGAACCTCAAAAAATGGCCTCCAAATAAAAACTGAACTTTGTGGAGTTTCTTAGCTTAGTGGTTAGAGCACTCGCCTCGCAAACGAAAGATCTGGGTTTGATTTGCGGTAGACCAAAACATTGGGCAAGTTTCTTTACTCCACACGTTTATGTTTAAAGTAAGTAGGAACCAGGTTGTTAGTTGATGGGTGGATCGTTTTTCCGGGTGCAATAATTCTTTCAAAATAAATAAAAATAATTTGGTCACTTACTCCACGACTGTTTGTGGGACACTGCTGTGCGCAATTGGCTGCCGCTTTTCGCCCATAAAATATACAGTCCCTACACTTTATGGTATATTCTGCTTTGAGATGTCTTGAAGACATAATAAGGTGCTATATCAAATGGAAGTATTATTATCTAAAATTTTAAGACAGTCTGAGGAATTGGAGCTGCTTAAGCCATTAAAAAATAATTTTTAAAGTGAAATTGCGCGTGCTGCTTTGAGAGTCCAAGGTGTGTTCTTTTTTGCCTTACGGTTACTATTGTGTTGACCCACTTGTGTTCCATTGTCAGGACTTCTTGTGCCAAATAGAACGCTACTGTAAGCAGTGCCACCTGACCACACCCATCACATTCCCACCAGAGCATCCTGTGGAAGATGTAGGAAGGTTACTGATGTGTTGTCTCCTGAAGCACCAGGATTTGGGTAAGTCAAGTTTATGAATCTTAAAAGTCTTATTCTTCAAATTACATTGAACCGAACCATGCTAGAAATCTGGCCGATTCTGAGCTCATCCAGTTGTCGCCAACATCATTTCTCACACATTGCATGAGTGGTGACCTGTTGACTGGGAAATCTGCTATTTTGAAGCATAAGAGCCAGGCGACGTATGGGAAGAATTGCAGCTCATCTGCGCGCGATGCAGTGAATGTTGAAGCCATGACCGGTTTACGTGGCCTGTTATCTGGGTTGGGCTTATATTAACCCCCAGCTGACTTATAACTAGGCTCCACTGTAAGATACTCATTTGTTTCCTCCATGAGTTTATAATCTGATTTTCACACTTACACATTTATTTTTAAAATCTCTTAATGCAGGTCATGCAGCTTTGTCCGTTGTGAACCAAAGTGCTCTTGGAGTGGAACAAGGAAAGCTCAGGGCATTGCCTAAATCTGTAGGTGATGTTTGTCGGGTGGTGTATCAAGCTAAATGCTCTTTAATCAAGGTAAATATATATTGTGTAATTACAGATTATATTTGTATAGCGCCTTTCAGTCAGGAGGTCGTCCCAAGGCGCTGGAATAGTTTGTGTTGTATTCATTGTCTTTATAATGGTCAGAAAAATTAGGGGATGCTATAAAGTATCAGATTGGCTCAATCAGTAGCAGTCTACTTCAGAAGGTTGTGGGTTCAAGGCCTACGTTGGAACTTAGTGGCCGTAGGACAACAAGATAACATTCCAAAACAGGGCTGGGTTGCCAAAGTGCTGTCCTGTGGACAAGATGTTAAACTGAAGTCATGTCAGGTGGATGTTAAAGATCTCATGGCACTCTCTTCCAGTTCTGGCCCACAATTCTCCAAATTGTGTGTAATCATAGGTGTTTGTGAGACATTACTTTGAGCAAATTGAATGATGCGTTCATCGCCAAAAGCAGTCACTCCATTTTACAGATTTATAAACCTATACATATGTCTTAATTATAACTGTTTTAGTTTAAAAGTATTGCATTACGTTTGCCCATAAAACACAGTCTCTGCACTTTACCCTTTATCCTGTGAAGGAGGTCCTCCCAACATAAAATACGCTATACCAATAGTAAGGATTATTATTATTATTACTTTTTTATTTAAATCTCAGACGCACCAAGAACAAGGACGTTCGTACAAAGAAGTCTGTGCACCGGTAATTGAACGCTTGCGGTTTCTGTTCAATGAGTTGCGGCCCGCTGTCAGCAATGACCTTTCTATCATGTCCAAAATGAAATTGCTAAGTTCATCACCTCGCTGGCGAAAAATAACCCAGAAGATCATTCGTGAAAGGAGGAAGAAGAGAGGTAGGTTCAGAAAAAGAGACACCCGTATAGGAGATGGAAATTGGCTTTCCTGAATTGTATCCGCTAAGTACTATCTTGACTTAAATTGTTTGGTTAAAATACTGCTTACGGAGCAAAGTATATCCAAAATGTGTTTCCATTTTCCCGAACTGTACAACATTACATTTCTCAACATTAAACTACATCTGCTATTACTGTCCACTGCAGCTAAAGTTGATATCCCACTGTATTATTCACCACAGTTTGCTATGTCCTTTATTAGTATCAACAAACTTAGAAAATGTTGACCTTTTATCCATTCACTAATTTGCTCTAGATGTTCATATTGTGTGCTTTGCTTGTTGTGCTGACTGTCCGGTAACACTCTACACTGTACACATCTGTAGTGCTTTCTCTCTACACAGTTCCAAAGAAGTCTGAATCTGCTGACATGGAAGAATCTAAGATTGAAAACAGTGAGAGTGATGTAGAAGATTCCTGTGTTGTGCCGCTCAGTCCTGGCGCTGTGAATAAAAAAGCCATTCCTGTGAAATCAAAGGTAAAACTTAATTATGAAGTTTTATCTTAGGACAACTATTTTGATGAAACTCAAAACATGGTTGTTTTAGCCCCATCATGTTTCATAGTAGAATGAAATACAAATACGAGTAATATACGACTTGCGGAGTCCTGTGGCATATGGGCACTCACCTCACACATGAGAGGACATGGGTTAGATTCCCAGGTGGGGCAAAACCTTAGGCAACAACAGCAACAAGTATAGCGCCTTTCACGTCGGGAGGACGTCCTAAGGCACGGACAGAGTACAGCATTTCAGACAAGTTTTAGGTAAGTTTCCTTACACCACGCACCTCTGTTTACCCAGCAGCAAGTAGAAACCTGGTTGTTAGTCGATTGGTGGATCACTTTCCAGGCAGGGGTAATGATCTCTTTAAAAAAAGGTAATTTGGTCACTAATCTACTCTAGATCTGTAGAATGTCACAGGACAGAAACAAGCTGTTTGACTATCAATTCTGCTTTATTCCATAAATCACATGATTTAATCCCACTCTGCTACTTGCTCCCCAGATCCTTTATATTATCTTTCAAATTTCTATATAATTCGCTTTTAATATAATTATAGATTTTGCCGAACCTGGGTGTCCAGTGTGACTCCCACCTGTCTTTCATATCTAAAATAATAATAATTCCTGCTTGATATAATGCCTTATCACGGCTTCAAAACGTCTCAAAGTGCTTCACAAAATCTACTGTAAAATGAATTGACTATTAGTATATCTTGCAATCCATGCTCTTCCCCACTCAGCTTTCCCTCCTTTACCCCTCACAACCAGATTGCTTTCTTCGCTCAGCAAGCACTGGTGCCTTCATTTCCCCTCCAGAGCTGCCCAACTTCAGTGGGCGGGCTTTCAACCATTCTGACCTCGCTCTTTGGACTTCATCCCGGAATTCTGATTCGCTCCCTCTTTCCCTCCCTCCACTATTCCAAAGCACGCCTCAAAACATTTGTCTTTAACAACGCTTTTGTTCCATCTTTCCCCTCCCCACACCTAGTTCAGGTGCCCACCCAGTACTTTGCGAAGGCCTCCCAATGTGATATCTGCTATATGAATGTATATCGGATTGCATTGTTCTAAATATGGTAAATATATCTAGGGAACCATTCCAGACAGCCTCTGTGTATGTGTGTGTATATATATCTTCTCTGAAGTTCCCTTTATTTTTATTATCCTAAATTTCTGCCCTTCTGTTATTGTTTACCCTACCATAATCGTCACAATCGTGAAGAAACTCTATTGGATTTCAACCTTCTCAGTTCCTATTCTCTAAATACAGGGTGACCAAAAAGTCGTGATACATTACAATGTCTAATAAGCCTTAAAGAAATTATGATTTTATTTTTAGATAGTAGATAGATAAGGTAGGTATCATGACATTTTGGTCACACTTCATGCTGGTGACTGAAATTCATTAGTATAGTTAGAGGTGATGTGGGCATTATACTTTTAGCTTTTATAGCAACAATAACAATGGTTGGTACTATATAGTAGGCGTTTGATATGCTGGATGAAGGAGGTGACAGAAAATGATGTGCACTTCTTGCATTCTATCTTTATGTACAGCACAAATTAACATTTTTATGTGCATTTTCTTTGTCATGAACCAGGACAAGTGGCAACCACTTCTTTCTTCTGTAGCAAGTGTTCACCGATACAAATGGCTTAAACACAGTGTCCAAGGTCCTTTCCCTCAGTCGGCATTGATGGCTAATGTCGTTGATTTTGCACTGAAAGAAGAGCCAATAGATGTCGAAAAGATGCGAAAATGTCTGTTAAAACAGGTACGGCAGCCATTTTGTCTGATAGTAAACTTTGCTGAATTGCTGAAGAGGTTTTCATTTGTTACATTTCTTCTGGCAAGGCAACCTGTTGATTGAAATAATAATAATAATCCTCTAATAATATGTTTTCCTTTGCAGTTGGAAAGAGCAGAAGTTCGTTTGGAGGGAATAGACACAATGCTTAAACTGGTATCAAAAAGTTTTTTGCTTCCATCAGTGCAATATGCCATGTTGTGTGGTTGGCAAAGGCTCATCCCTGAGGGGATAAGTATAGGGTAAAAAAAAGTTCATTTTAATTCTTTTTTAGGGTTACTCGTTTACATACAACTCCTAATTCAATGTTGATTACAATCTTAACATCTCTCTTAACTGTTTGAAGAAAATGTGAATTCTTATTTAAAAAATATGTAAAGAACATTGTAAATTTTTGAACGTCATGTATTGTAATGTTTCTTAATGCAATTATTTGGAAATGTGTGCCTTTTGATCCACCAACATAATGAGGGAAATGTATGTATTCGAGAAATCTTAAGAAGTCTATTTTTTCACCTTGTACATAGAAAAATATCATTGTTATGGGAACTCACAAAAATAACAAATTGCATTTATATGGCACCTTTCACGTCATGTTGATGTCTCAATGTGCTGGACAGCCAAAGATTTGTACCCAAAGTTGGGGATGGAATTGTGAGGGGTGGAGATTAAGGGAGTGTGGGTGGGAGGATGATTGAAGGCACAGTCAAAGAGAAAAGTCTTGAGCTGGGCCTTGAATGAGGCAAAGGCGAGAGCAAGGTGAAGGAATTCCAGGATGGCGTTCCAGAGGTTGGGGCAGAAAGACTGAAAGCCTGACCCCAATGGTGGGGTGGGCAGGGTGGGAGACATGGAACAGGCCAGTGCCCGCTAAGCAGAGGGAGTGGGAAGATTGGTGAGGTGTTAGTAGGTCACAGAGGTATGGAGCAAGACTGTGGAGAGCTATGACAGTGAGGAAGAGGATCTTAAACTTAATCTTCTGGGGGATGAGGAGCTTGTGAAGCTGAACACCATCAAATAAAAGTTGTCACAAGGCTGAGGGTACCTCAGATTCTGTACATTTGCAATACTGCAGTTCGATCCAACACAGCAATGCCCTGATGATAGTTTGATTGATGTACCCAAATTGTACTAATGTGTTGGGGCACACTGCAGTGTGTGAATCTGTGGAATAATAAACTGATTTCTTTAGTCTCTTTTTTCTGGAGGGTTTAAAATATTTTTGTCTTGGGGCTGATGTGGTTGGTGACTTCTGACTGTTGTGTGACCAGTAGCAATGATATTGGTGGTTATTTTACTGAAGAATAGAGATCCATGTCTTAGTAAGTTAAGTGCTGTGCGTACGGAAGTCACTAAATACTTATGGAGAAGTTCAAATCTCAAGAGGTTTAACTGCATCACATCAAACCCTCTATTTCTGCAGCTTCTGTGATTAAATTGCAAGATTGAAACGGTAGTGCTTAATCATATAACTTGGAACTGCAGTGATAATTCAGTGAATGCTACAAGCAAATTAGGTGGGATTTTCCTTTCGATCAGAAGTTTTGTTCAGTGGAAGTGTACTCCTTCCAGTGGCTGAACACTGTTACTGCAGGACTGAATAGATTTGTTCACGTAGCTTGATGCTACATAGATTTACACCTTTTGGCTCTGCATAGTTGCATTTGTAGACTTAGCAGTTATTTAAGATTCACACGGTGCAAATTTAATGTATTTTTGAAAGTTGCATAATGAATGTATTGGCCTGAAATGTAAAATAATAATCTAAATTGGGCTATTGAATTGTATCTCGTTGTATCCGGTATTGAATGTTTAACACATGCTGATTATTTTTCAGTATTTGACCTTATACTAAACTAAAGATTCTCTGTTTAGGGAGCCTCTGTCAGACTGTCTGAAGGATGTTGATCTCATTCCACCATTTAATCGTATGCTGCTCGAAGTTACCTTTGGCAAACTTTATGCCTGGTCTATTCAGAATATTCGCACTATGCTGCTGGATGCACAAGCCAAATTCTCTGATCTAGGTAAAATTTTGATTAGGGAATAATAAGGCTGTCATTGTACTACTTGTTTGTAGTAGTTCTGTCTTAATAACTGCTTTGGTTAAAAACTATAGTTGTTGAAGTAAGAGAATGCTCTTTCAAGATTCTGGTAGAAATTACAATGGTTTGGGAAATTGTTTACTAAAATTCCTGTTTTGCCTGGCTTTTCATGGGAAGCTGTGTGTCTGTTTTTTCACATCTGACGCTTCATATTGATTCTTTTGCATGTTCCTCTGCATCTTCCGTATTAACCGGACACTAGTTCACAATGAAGCCAGTGTTTTTGTGTTCAGCCTGTGTACTACTACTCCTTGTATTATCCTTTATGTAAAACTTTTGTGGATAAAACTGTGTGAATTGGCTATTTTCATTTTGTATTTTATATTCTTTGAATAACAGATTAATATGTTTCAGATGGCCTATAGGAGTGATCTCTGGTTAGAGAAAAAAGTAAATTTTGAAATCAAAATACTGGTTAATTATTTTATAGTTAATCTTTACATTATAAAATCGCTGATTTATTTCATCATAATATTCAGTTCACATAGCAGATAGTACAAGATAGGAATAATAATCCTTGCATTTGATATTGCACCTTACGATGTCAAATGTGTCAAAGTGTTTCATCGTAATTACTGTTAGGTGTAGTAACTGTATTTGTAGGTACATGCAGCAGCCAATTTGTACACACAATGTCCCGCAAACAGCCAGGAGGGTAGTGAATTTGTGGAATTCTCTGTAGATGCTCAGTCCTTGAACATATTCAAGACTGAGGCTGATAGATTTCTAAAGGATAGAGGGATTAAGGGATATGGGGATAGGGTGGGTAAATGGAGTTAGGTTATAAGATCAGCCATGATCTTATTAAATGGTGTGGCAGGCTCGAGGGGCTGAATGGCCTACTCCTGCTCCTATGTCTTATGGTCTTAAAATCTTATTTTCCTGACTGGAGCCCAGCATCACATTTGTAAAGCGGTTTGAGACATTTTATGTCAAAGTTGTTCTATAATCCTAGTTGTTGTCACTTGTTACAATTATAAATGTACGTTTAAGATTTTTTTGCAGAAAATCAAATTTGTTTCATTGGTGACCTGTTATTATTTGTTTTACAGAGAGGAAGACCACGACACCTGTAACATGTATGACATTTTTATCACTTAATTGGTAGATTTTGTTACAAATAGAACTGATATTTTTGTTGACTCCTAAATTTAACATTCAGGCAATTGTTACAACAACAACAACATTACATTTATAGAACGCCTTTCATGTCGGGAGGACGTCCCAAGTTACAGGCAACTGTTCAGTAATAGTCCTCTCAATTCTATTTGTTTGCAGAAAAGCAAGTAAAACTTGCACTGTTCTTAGATCACAATAAGAGTTTCTGCAGATTGTTCCTGTATTTCCGAGAGCATTATCCCTGTCTTACAAGGATAAAATCTATGCATGGAAACCATCTATTTTGTAAATAGATTAATTGCGTGTTTCTGCCACTTTTGTTTCTTGCTTTTTTTCTTGTCTCCTCAAAACGTCCTACATACTAGTTTTTTGGGTGTCCCATGAGGGATGTAGTGTGCGTGTGTGTGAATATTATATATATATATAATATATATTAAAAAAAATCCAGATAAACTCTTGAGTTAAGCACTGTGGAACTTTAGTGCAGTCCTGTAGATCAGTGGTTAGAGCACTCGTCTTGTAAGCGAAAAGACCTGGGTTCGATTCCCGGCAGGGCGAAACTTTGTGCAAGTTTCCTTACGCCACATGTCGTTGTTTATCTAGCAGTAAGTAGGAACCTGGTTGCTAGTTAATTTGCGGATCGCTTTTCCAGGGGTAATAATCTTTTCAAAAATAATAAATAAAATAATTTGGTCACTCAATCCATGAAGTTTTTGGGTTTCTACTGCGCGCAATTTGCTGCTGTGTTTCGCCGACAAAATTTACGTCAATCCACTTAACAGTATAATCTGAGAAGTGCTTTGAGACATCTCAAAGAGGCATTAAGGCACTATATCAAATGCAAGGATTGTATTTGAAACAAGTGTTCCATTGAACTACATGCAATGAAATATTTTGATATGTTCAGTGTGTACGTCTTTTTCAAACTTCTAGCTCATTGATAAGTATTGTGATGTGGAAAAACCTCCCAATTTTGTTTATTTTTTCAATTTTCAAAGACTTCAGACATTATTTAGGCATATCAAATGGGTTTATTTTACTTCTTCCTGTACACTTATATAATAATAATAATCCTTGAATTTGATAAAGTGCTTATCACGTCTTCGTGCCGTTTCAAAGTGCTTCACAGAATATACTGTAAAATGAATTGACTGTATATTTTGTTGGCAAAACGCGTCACCAATGTTACAAAATAACATTGGGATGAATGACTGGCAAAATATTGCCAACAGAAAGCTTTATTAATTGCCTCTCTTTCTCCCAACCTTAGGTGTACAACCAGTCACTCTGCAAAGCATTACCAATGAGAATCCTTCAGGACCCAGCCTTGGAACCATTCCACAAGCTCGCTTCTTACTCATCATGATAAACATGCTGACACTACAGCATGGAGCCAACAGTCTCAGCCTTCTATTGAACTCTGGCTTACTGGCATTGACCCAAACAGTCCTGCGAATGATAGGTCAGTGGATAGTTCCTGAATAAAACATCCCCTATTTCAAGTTACTTTTTGGAGGAGGGGAGAATGTGCTGAGTGTTGTCAGTAATAGTCAAACGCGAACTGACTTGTAAATGTTTTTTCAGTTTGATGTGATCTTATACAGTTTGGCAGCAGTTACTGTAGAACTTTTTTTTATTTCCTCAGGACAGCTGGAAAAAGGCATCGGCCAATTACTTAAAGTAATTACTGCAGTATTTTAGTTTTCTAAGTTTTAATGTGAACTTTTCCTTATTTCCAATCACAGAGGTGTACCCACAAAGAAAAAAAACAACTGAGAAGATTTATTTTATAATTTGAGCCCTGTACAGTAAATGATCTTCCCTTACTTTGTTGTGTTATGACATTTTACTCAGGGTTGCGCTCTTCGTATTACTATTTCCATCCATTGTCATCTGATATGTCTCCCACAAAAAAGAAAGCTCCTCCTCGTATTCTCTTTTGATCCACAAAATTATTTCAAATTTCTCCCCGTGTTCAAGGAGGAGTTCTTCTTGAAGTTTATTTGTAGTTTAATCTACAAGTCAGTCAGCACTTTGTTCAACTCCATCAACACCTTTGTTCAACCCCACCACTGCGTGTGTTGTGTATGGATGGATTCCAGTGAGGGGTGTTAATTGACTCGTCATTCACCACGTCAAACCAGTGTGAGGAGGCAATAAACAAGGCAGACAGTTCAAATCCCCAGAGGTCATGTTACATATTACGCATAAAAGCTATCAATACTAGCTTTCAAAATGGAACTAGATAACATCTAAAAGGAGTAAATTACAGAAGTTTGGGGAAAGGGAAGATAAATGGCACTGAAAGGATTGCTTTTAAGAGACATAGTGGGCTAAACTGTTTCTGTGCTGTAAATTTCTAAGGTTCTATCAAGTGTTCTGGTCAGGCTGCACAAATGACCTGAAGGGCATTCTTCATCTGAACTGCTCTTGCAATTCTGTCGTTTTCATTTAGTAATGTTGCATAAAAGTTCGGCACGTTAATCTTATTTGAAACTTATCACAAGGTTTTGAAACAAAATGGCCTCCTTCTGCACTATATTTCTAAATTTCTAAATCTTCAAAGTTGTTGTTGAACGATTAGGAAGATTGTTCGATCCCTTAACCTATGCATGGTGGCATCTTTCCACCAATAGCCAACACTCTCCCATTGTGGCTTTACGTTGCTCTCCTCTTTCTTTCCTATTCATTTGCTTAAGACCATACTTTTTAGGGCTTACTTCGCCAAGAAACTAATGGTGTGGCCAGAATGAGGTCTGGTATACAGCACAGTGTAAGAGCATAACAAGAGATCATTTGGCTGTTCTGGATGCAAATTTCATTTAGTCTCTTAAGTGTGTTTTCCCTTCCCTTCCTCATTTACTGAATGATGGTACAATCATATTTATGAAGGTAAAATTGTATCCATTTTTATGAAATCTATATTGTAACTTAATCTTTTGGGAGTGTGTGGCACTGGGCTCCTGAGATCTCCTGTAGAACTTGCTGGTACCCCCCCCCCCAACAAAAAAAAGGCCATAGAATACACTGCTCCAGAATGCAGAAATGCAAGGTCCATTTAAGGATATTAAAAAGGGAGATATGGGATTGATATCTGTCCTGGTATAATACAATGATAGAATTTCTGTTTCTATGTTTACTGAAAAATGTTCTTGTTTTTTTGAAAAACTGTAAAATGTTTCTTCATAGGAATCACTGCAGCAAATATTTTGTCATCCTGAATAACAAATGCGTTTGCTCACTACCCTCTCCAGAACTATTTATGTAGCAATGTAGTTAGTCAATAATATAGTTCCTTTATTATTGTAATTGGATGTAGATTTGATCTGTAATGTATTTCCTATTCACATCTAGTTTAGGAGATGTCAATACAAATAAGTGTTCTGAGATTTTCTTGTGAAGATGCTCTTTAATGACTAAACTTGTAAGAAAACTAACTTTGATATTCCAAGCTTTGGTTTTGTTGCTTGAGACTATTGCAAAATAAGCATTGTGTATAAGTTTATTTGTATGTGTTCACCTCCCCATGTTTAAATTGCCTTGTTAAAATTATGGTTACAGGCTGGTTATTGAGCTTCTTTTATTGCCGTAGCCTACAGAATATAGTTTTCTTCTGATAAATTTGGTCACTGAACTGCGAATTAGAACACCTAAAGATTCCTCTAACTCTTCTTTATAATCTGTGATGCTGAAATTGACAGATAACGTTACATCTCAAGGAAAAAAAAGGAGTCAGGCTGCTGTTAAACTGTAACAATAACTAGGACCTCAATGACTATGGACCGTTGGGGTCTAAAGTGTGATATTCATAACGAGTCACAAATAGCGACTTACCAGTAATTAATTGGAAGTGGCTGAAATGATACTCCACATGTAGATCATGCTATCAGTGGAGTTCCTGTAGGTAGCTGCGATGCACATCAGTTAACAGCAGGAGTCGTTATTGCACTTGGAATTGAGATTCCTTTTACAAAGATCACATTTAAAACATTGTATTTTATTTGCACCTGTCAAGTAGCTATAGACCCTGGGGCCTATCACATATTGACCACTAAAATTAGCAATCTCCTCCTCCTCCTCACCACCCCACCCCCTCATTATGAACAAATAATGAAAAGATTGCTATTTTTAGTGATTGGAATATGACTCATCCCGTAGTTATTATAATTAATTGTTATAATAGTTGTTTCATTATTTTTAGACCAACTTTTCTTACCTTTTGGCTTCCATTAGAACCGCTAATACACCCACATTACCCTGGATCAATAACTTTTCTAGTGTGCTTAAACTTTGTTAGAGTGGTTAAAGATTATTACCGTGTTGCATTTAGTAACTTTTCTTTCAAAATCCTCTCCTTTCCCTTCTGTAAAACTCCTCGGCATAATAAATTCTAGAGTCCAAAACTTACCCCAATAATAAAATTATAATTCAAAATAGCGATTTGTAATTTCAGGAACAGGACCGTCCATATCAAAAGTGGAAAGAAACAGATTTAGATGTGGGGCTGTGTTGTGCGCATTCGGTAAGTGTGCACCATTGCAGCTAGGTCTTTTGAAAAGTATTGGTTAAAGAGACGAGCGGGTGCATTTTGATTCTGTATTTAGTTTCAATGCCGATTAGTTTATAATTGTATGCACAGCCTTGTCACTGCTGTTGGGACAAGAGCCAGGAGTGATTTAGAAGCAACAGCACAGTGCATATTTTGAGAAGTCTAAAGGACACTGAATGAAGTCAAGTTGTCCCTCTCAATGTTTCTGCTTCAGAATCTGATGTAGCTTTTCTCATTTTATCACCTTTAGCACAATGCAGCTTTGGTCTACTGCTAGAAAGTCCCCTCCAGGACAAATCATTTGAGATTCATGTTGAATTAAGTTTTTCGTCACTGTAACTCAGATGCTTGCTGAATGAGCCAGGAAGCCATCTCAGCTTCAAGGCTGGTTATAAAGATTTCTGCTTAACAGTCTTTGATTCTCTTCATGCTTATTAAAACAGAAAATAAACTTGGCATCTTGCTTTGAAGATATTGATCGAGGGGAACTGAATGTAGATGCACGATGGATAGGGGGAATTGCTGTCTGAAGCAGCCCGTGTTACTTCCTTGCACAGTAGTTCTTGTCAGGCTATTTTCCTCCTGATGCCAAAGAGATATCCTATCTAACACTTTTTTTCTCCTAGTTTTCTTAATTATTTATGTTTTGCTTAAGGGTTCAGGCTTTCTTAAGACTATTTGTTTTCAGAAGCAGACTATAATAATAAAAGGAGCTCTGCAACTGACCTGTAATCCATTATATGTGTTAATTGTTTCCTTAACCTTATTTTTTGCCACTTCACATTTTAAAATCTTTTGAGACTTTTGTGTTATCAAACAAGGGACTATTTAAGAAATTGTCATTGGAGCCTCGTCACTTTTTAATAAAAAAAAACTTTGTCCTTGCAGCACAGTTGTGAGCCACGCAATCTTCTCTGGACTTGGCTATTCAACACGCCTTTTTCTGGATTACCTGCTCAGTTTTAGTTTCTACCTTTCTATCATCAGAGCAGCATTCCGATGAAATAAAAAATCTTTTAAACTCATAGCCTTCATCACCCGAGCAGCTCTGTTAGTTTAGAAACATAATAGTTCTTTGTAGGTTCTATTTTCAAAGTCCTATATTTTTATTTTGGTGCTGAATGTTCGGAGATAAGCATGATGGGCATCCTTGTTGAAACAGGAAATTCCTCACTGCTGCTTGCACCTGTCAATACCAGTTTCAAGTCCTGTGTACTTTATTGCCGATCTTCACTAACCACCGAATTGGCCTGTGTATTTTTTTCTACATCTCTTGAAATCCATACCAGACTTTTAAAGATGATTTCCTGTGAAAATTTGATTCTGGAAGAAACTACTTGCTGCTTGATCCTTCATGCGAGACATGTCTTCCCAAACCGCTTGACTGTTGGATGAATCGATTATTGTTTATTGTAGCCAGTCCTTTGGGTCACCACCTTTGGTAGTGGTTGACACTTTCTGTTATACAACTCTGCCAAGAATCCTATAGTATCTTAATGCCTCCTTGATAGTCGAGAGCAGCTCATCTGATACCCATGTGCATCTGAAAAATCGTTAGTGGGAATTCTTGATGACTTTTCCATCTCTTTGTTCCTGTAATTTTCCTTCGTCAGGCCACTGAAGCAAGTTCTAGTGTCCTCGCTATTCTCCTAGGATCAGAGCAACTGACTTAAACATTTAACCAGGGATTGAGTTTCGGCATTGCTTAGACTTGTGATTCAATCTCCCCACCTTGACTTTGTCTTTTGTATTGATTTTTATAATTTGTTTGTGACATTTGAATGAAAGGGGAAGAATGATCAATTATATACTTTAGTTTCTTTACTAATCTTTGAATAATGGAAACTCAACGTGCAATACACCTCTTTATCTTTCCATTTGTTCTCTTTGATCCAAAGTACTTGGAGCCGTGTCTTTTTGTTTTGTTTGATCAATTGTCCTTGTGTTTCTGGTGCTCTTCTGTTGTGGAAAAAAATGAGAGAATGCAAAACATCATGTCCCATGTATAGCATGGGCTAGGAGAGATCATTAGGATACCCTTAAATGGAAGTCTCAAAGGCTCAAGGTCTTGTGTAATTTCGCCCTCCAGTTTGGTGGCTACTTATTTATGTATAGAGAGCGAGCTAGATTCAGAAGTGTGTCGGCATGCTTTAGGGTATGTAGACGTTAGTGGTGTTTGAATAAGATATTCTAAAACTGTAGCCACAACGTGTGGATTATTTTCCTTGTATGAACCCCAGCCACCAAGTTTTCTCACTTTACACACTGGGAAAATAACTTCCCTGGCTTGTGCCTCATGAAAAATGTTAGAATGTTGCGCGTCATGTTGACGTGAAGGTCAAGATGTGAACTAATGTTGAATAATTGATTCCTTAGGTCCCACTGCTGATAATGCTGAGGATGATATTAGTACTTCTACACACGGAGTCCCAGCCACCGTTTTGGAAGAATCGAGAAAGGAATCAACACCAACACCACTGCCCGTCTCTGGCCCAGAACTTGCAGCGATGATGAAAATTGGCACGAGAGTAATGAGGGGAGTGGACTGGAAGTGGGGTGATCAGGTAGAGAAGTACTCAATACTGATGCATTTTGAAACTGTTAGAAATCTCCTCTGTCAAATTTTGCCCTTTATTTGGCAAATGGTAGGAAGGTTCACACAAGGGAGATTTCGATGAAGAAATCCTTTTTGACCCGTTTCATCTCGCCTTCCCAGAATACCTCCATTAATTTTAGCATTAAGTTGTTTCTGAAATTACTCCAATGTTCTGGTCTCCATTACAAAAAAGACTGATTGGCAAACTGTCCTTTCATCTCTCAGATCTACGTGTGACTGCAGCCTGCCTGGATGGATTAAAATTGTTCTCTTGGTTGTAAGGGTTATGTGTTGGTGGCTAAGGTGAAAGTAGAGAAATTAACAATTATGGAAATACCAGAAAAATAGGTATGTGAGGAAAACTGAAACACAATGTGATTGCTGAAAAAGTCCTTTAGGAAGGTTAGAATGTATTTGGCTACTCTGTCCAAGCTATTGACCTCAGACTGCTTGACGTTGGCATTGAAAGTCGACGTGGAAAGGAGTTCTATTACCCAGTACTGACAAACCTCCCTTGAACAGTCCAATCCGTACGGCACGTTTAAATGTCGCTATAAAAATATATATTTTGTCGTTGTGATGTCTCAAAAAAACTCACAGGATTTTAGTCTGAATTGTAGAGACCCTGTATTTTGTAGGTATTGTATTATGTATTTACATATTTTACAAATAATTACATTTTTTTGCTTCCAAAAATTTTTGATTAAAAAAAGCATCATTTTCAACTTTCCAAAAATAAAGATGAAAATAGGAAAATATTGATGCATTGAGTATGTACGCCTAGCCACGATATGATCATTACATTATAAACAGTATGTGCATATATTACTCTTTACATATCTTTTTTCCCCCTCTCTTTCCATCTCGGTCTTTCAAGACCTGCCTCTAGACCTCTTGAAATCGTGCGTATGGCCGCTTTCTCTTCCCCCACTCCCCTCCTTTACACAGAATTAGTCTGTTGTTTGTACAGCGCTCATGAGATGTTACCCTACATGGAGGGAGCTATATAAGTTCACAATGTTGTTATGACGGATCATCCTGTTTGTTGTGTTTGGAATTTTTTAAAGTGATATTTCTTTTGCAAATTCCTCTTTAGGATGGACCACCTCCAGGTTTGGGCCGTGTTATTGGGGAACTGGGGGATGACGGTTGGATCAGGGTCCAATGGGATACGGGAAGTACAAACTCCTATAGGATGGGGAAAGAGGGAAAGTATGATCTAAAACTGGCTGAAGCACCACCAACTGCACAACCACCTACAGAAGACTCCGACACTGAGGATGATTCAGGTTACTGATAAACTTTTTGGTAGATGATCATCTATTTTTAGTGATGGCTCATGTTTTTGTAAAAACAAAACCTTTAGATTTAAATATCGAAAATAAAACTCCAGTTGCAGAGTTATGGTCTCTTCAATGATGTCTGATTGTGTGGAGATGCAGTCAATAATTTTTCCGAATAGCATTTGAATTCAATAATAATTCAACAACAAGATTACATTTGTATAGCGGCTTTCATGTCGGGAGGACGTCCCAAGGCGCTGGACAGTGTACAGCATTTCAGACCCGAACTGGGGTCGGGGCGAGAGGGAGGGGAGGGAAAGGGGGGTGGCCAATGGCATGGTCGAAGAGGAGGGTCTTGAGGTGCGACTTGAAGGAGGCTAAGGAGGGGCCGAGGCAGAGTGACTGGGGGATGGAATTCCACTGGTTGGAGGCAGAGTGGCTGAAGGCTCTCCTGCCAATGGTGGGTTGGGGGACGTGGAGCAGCCCAGAGCCGACTGAGCGGAGGGAACAGGCAGGTTGGTAGAATTCTATCAATAGAATTTATTGTGAGAACAGTAAACCCACTTGCTTACCGGTCTCTGGGGATCTGTACCTAACCAGACTGGGCACAAAACGGAAATCTTAAAAAAATGTTTGCATGTGTAGACTCCTGCCGGGCCAGTCTCCCAGCGCACCCCTGCTCACCCTCCTTCCTGGTCTTCACCATGGCCAGGGATATCGACCTTGACTCAGTTTGAATCTCGCAAGCAGAAAATAGCATATTTGCTGTCTTCTGCTTGCTGGATCTCCTCTTCTCCTCTCCTGCCCCCCACCCCGACCCTCTCCATTCGTCCAGCAGCTGGGATTTAAGTGTACCCGGATCTTCTAGTATAGTGGGAACTCAATTATCCTTTTTGATCATACTTATGGTCACCGGCCCCTCCCTGGCTTGGAGTCAGCTCCGGGACGCTAACCCGCGTGAAGGGCACTATATAAATGTATATTGTTGTATCCATGAATAGAAACTAAAATCAGTGGGTAATCAACTGACTTTACAATGGGAGAAAACAGCTACTGATGAGACCGATATGTAGTTGAATGTGCTGTAAAACTAGTGATATTTAAAAGAATTTCAGAAATATGTCAGAAATATATGAAAATCTTTTTAATTTCTGCGTTCTGTGTTATTCAGAATGAAAGGCTATACCTGCAGTTTGATGGTTACTCTGCATATTTGAAATATATTTGTGTTTTTATGATGATATTTATGTTAGTGCCACCTCACATCAAAACATCTTGAGATGCTTTGATGAAGTAAGGCAATATACTGAATGCAAATCTGCCTAAATGTAAGTCATCACACTTCAAACTAATTTAACAATTAGTCCCTTTAACAAGTGGTGACTATTACACGTAGGTACAGTTTTACAATGGCCTGGGGCCTTGTTCAGTTTGGAGAGAAGCTTAATAAAGGAAAAGTACACTGTCTAATGACAAGTCTCTCTTTCAAACCTTTTTATGGACAGAAAACGAACCCCTGGAGAGAAACACTCACCCAACTGCAATGCTGTTATTGAGTACAGTCAACCTGCTGCAGACATTGTCTCTTTCTGCTGGGATCCATTCTGATGTTGTTCAGACTGAGGCTATTAAAACACTCTGTGGGCTTTTACGGATGCTGGTGGAGAGCGGAGCATCAGACAAATCTGGTACTTTTATTTTAGCATTGCTAAAGCTTAATCATGAGTTTACAGCCAGTGAGGGAACACAACCCAAGGAGATAAGCCGTAAAAGATGCCAATTAGGCTCTGTGCTTTATACCCAGAGGGATAGAGTATACGAGGAGTTAATGTTGAACTTGGAAAAAACCTTGGTTAGACCACATTTAGAATAATTTGCCCAATTTGGTTGCCCCACTACAAGAAGGATGTAGCATCAATGGAATCTGTAACCATGGGACACAAGTATAAGATATAACAAGGGAATATAAAAGATAATTTGGGAGAAACTTCACACAGGTTGTGAGAATACTGAACTGAATTGAACTGAAGCGTGGGTTGAGATAGTTTAGAATTGTTCAAGAGGAATGTAGATATACACATGAGGGTGAAAGAAATAGAAGGATTTGGGAGGTAGTAAGGAGTGAGTGGAGACTTGTGTGGAGGATAAATACTGGCATAAACTGGTGAGGTAATGACCTATTTCTATGCTGTGCAGTCTATGTATGTAAGTGGTGGTATGGATAGAGCTGTAGCTTACAGATGGCTTGCCCTCGTTCTGTAATATTCTTTATAATTCTGTATGGGTTACTCTTGCACTTTGCCTGGCATCCAATTAATCTCAGTTTTGCCAATTAAGATAACAATAAAAGGAGCAATGTATTTTATTAAAACGCCAATATTTGCCCATATAGGTACAATTTTAATCTTTCAATTAAAATCTTCATTCTACCAATGAATATAACACACTATCTTACTATTTATCTTTGTGGGATTTAGGTAAACCGCACTTTATAGTAAAATGCATAGAGTTGTAAGTGAATTTAAGAAGACCACAACCTTAATTATGCCATGAGAGTGATATCAAAAATGTACACAAACTGCTTGCTTTGTTAATGGAGAGCCGTGTAATCTAATCTAAAAATTATATTCAAATACTACCCAGTCAATATGAAATGGGAGGATTTGAAACCGATTTGACTAAATTCTGAGCTTTTCAAGTGTAACTTCAGCCCTTGACATTGGAAGTTCCATAGAAACAAATGCATAACCAATGACTGGAATATTTATTTTTCACTCAATGTAACTCGATGTCTATTAAATTGAGAGTGTACATTACATATCTTGTGTTTGATCCATTTTGGAAGAGGATTAAAAACTCTTGCCACGTTGTCGGGAGAAATGTTACTAGAATTTCAATGCATGTACTCTTTTCCAGCTCCTTCGGTGAATAAAATTGTGTCGAGAGAACAGCACCGGAGCTGGTGTACATTAGGGTTTATTCGAAGTATAGCCCTTACTCCACAGATGTGTGGTACCCTGAGCTCGGCACAGTGGATCAGCTTGCTAACAAAGATTGTGGAAGGACAGCAATCATTCACTGCTGTGTCTCTACAGCGACAGGTTAGACTTTTTCCTGCATAGGAAGTGGGTTATAAACAGTCCTAGATTGTGTCATTATTTGATCAGTAATTGTGCTAATCTAAGAGAGAGATAGTGGTGTTGGCAAATGGAACAATTTCAAGTTTTAGTATCTTGGGTTACATAAAGCCAGAGATTGGATGCAGCTCCTTCTAATCATAGAATTATACAGCACAGAAGGAGGCCGTTCGGCCCATCGTGTCCAACATTTTCTCTTGTTGGGCAAATCTTTGAAAAGAGCTATCCAAATCAATCCCACTCACCCGCGCTCCCCTCATAGCTCTGCAAACTTGTCCTCCCCAAATAATTATCTACTTCTCTCTTAAAAGTTGTTGTCGAATTGGCTTCCACCACCCTTTCGGGTAATGCATTCCAGATCCGAACAACTCGCTGTTTGAAAACATTTCTCCTCACCTTCCCTCTGTTTCTTTTAACAACTATTTTAAATCGGTGTCCTCGGGTTACCGACCCACCCGCCAGTGGCAATAGTTTCTCCTTGTTCATCCTATTGAATCCCCTCATAATTTTAAAATTTTCTATTAAATCTCCTAACCTTCTCTGCTCCAAGGAGAATAATCCTCGCTTCTCTAGCCTCTCCTGATAACTGAAGTCCCTCATTCCTGGTACCATCCTGGTCAATCTCCTTTGCACCCACTCCAATGCCTTGACATTCTTTCTAACAAGTATGGTGCCCAGAACTGAACACAATAATCTATCTGAGGCCTAACCAGTGTTTTATATAAAGGTTCATCATAATTTCCTGACTCTTGTATTCTATGCCCCTTTGTATAAAGCTTAGTATCCCGTATGCTTTTTTTACCAGCTTTATCTACCTGTCCTGCCACCTTCAAAGATTTACTTATATAAGTAAATAAGTTAATGTATCCTGTAAACACTAACCTCCCTCCGCCTTTACTCCTTTGCTAGTCATCACGACTAGAAACATAATTTTCTAAAATATAGATTCTGCTGGAAGTTCTCGTCTGATGCTTAGTTCCTTTGTTTCTATTAGATCCTAGCTCTCCGTTTGCTACAAGCAGTCCTTCCTTCTTGGGACAGAAATGAACGATCAAGGGATATGAAATGCCTGGTTGAAAAGCTCTTTATCTTTTTAGGCAGCCTCCTAAGCACTTGCTCTTCTGATCTGCCACTCCTGAGAGGTATGTGTCCTTTAATGTGATCTCTTTGTCAACATATAGAATAGTCATTTTTATTTGAAATGAAAAAAAGTAAATCTAAGTAACTCCACGAGTGTCTATTTTTGCAGAAGGAATGTTGAGAAGAAGGAAGAGTAGACCTCAAGCATCTCTGACAGCCACTCACAGCAGCACACTGGCCGAGGAGATAGTTGCACTTTTGAGAGCTCTTCACTCTCTGAACCAGTGGAACGGGCTCATCAATGAATACATCAACTCTCAGCTTAATTGCATTGGTGAAATCATGGCAGAAAAACCAGCAGAAGCAGTATGTTTATATTTAACACCTAAATATCGTCCATAAACTAATAATAATCCTTGCATTTGATACAGCGTCTTATCACTTTGTTGAGATGTCTTAAAGCGTTTCACAGAATATACTGTAAAGTTTAATGGCTGTATTTTGTGGGTGAAACCATACCAGATTTTTGTTATAACAAAAGATGATGAGCTTCTATATACTGTTAACATTATCTAACTTGAAACTCCTCTGAATCAAGCATAGGATAAGAAAATATCCAAATATCCACCCGCCCCTTTTCATGTTATTTTACCTCACTGTGACTTGTAGTCAACCTGGGTCACGGTTTCTCTTGTTGGGCAAGCTTCTTGCCATTCTAGCTCCTAGTACTTGTGACGTGCACTTCCTCCAAATAGTGCCTGTGTCACTTGTAATCTTTCTCCTCTTCCCACCCATCCCCCTCTAGAAGGTGGAGGATTCAATAAAAACTCTTTCCATTTTGACCCAAGAGCTAATTTGTCACCTAAAGTGGAAAATGTTTATAAGGGCTTTTAATCTGTATATTTTAAAATCAGGCAATAAACTATTTGATGTCTTTTGTGTCTGCAGACAGTTTTGGAAGATTATTTCCCTGATTCAGACAACCCTGAGATTGGTGGATTGATGGCAGTGCTTGCTGTAATCGGTGGAATAGATGGACGTCTGAGATTGGGCGGGCAAGTAATACACGAAGAGCTCGGAGAGGGAACAGTCTCTCGAATTACCCCCAAAGGAAAAATTACAGTCCAGTTCCATGATGTGAGAACGTACAGAGTTTGCCCTTTGAGTCAATTAAAACCGGTAGGTGATGCATCACTATTGTATTACTCCCTTCCGTGGACCATTGTACCATTAGATCAAATATTTCTTCTTTGATATTGAGTTTTTGTCTCTTGTTTCAGCTCCCAATCATGGCCTTCAGTGTTAACAACTTACCTTTCACTGACCCAATGTTGTGTGTGTGGGCTCAGTTGGTGAATCTGGCAGGAAGCAAACTTGAAAAGCACCGGGTAAAAAAATCTAGTCAGAGCCTCACAGGTAATCAGATTATAAAAATGTTATGTCAAATAGCAATTTTTTTTTGCTAATGCATTTGCTGCAGACTCTGGCTTGCTTCATGCCCCCCCGATGTCCCCGCCCCAGCATCAGCGGTCAGGCCTTCAGCCTTTCTACCCCCACCCTTTGGAACTCCATCCCAGTCTCTTTGCCTCATTTCCTCCCTTGCCTCCTTCAAAGCCTGTCCCGTGACCGTACTCTTCGACTGAGCATCCGGTTACCTTCCTACCCCTGCCCGCCACCCATTCTGATCGCAACCACCAGCTCGGTTGCATATGCTCGACTGTCCAGGGTCTTGGGACGTCCTCCCGACGTGAAAGGCGCTATACAATCAGAATTGTTTAGTATTTTCTATGACTAATGTCCCTTTTTGTTTTCCTTCAGATCAAGTGGATTTGCATTTGCTGAGGTGTCAGCAGCTGAAGCTGTACATACTGAAGGCTGCAAGAGCCTTGCTGTTGCACCAGGATAAATTGAGGCAGATTCTGTCTCAGCCATCTGTACTTGAAACAGGAACACTTTCCAGTGGTACGAGATTGCACTCTTAAATTTAACTTTCCTTTCTGATTGCATATATAGTGTATAAGTGAACAATGGGTTTTAGTGTCTCCTGTTTCATGTTAGTTCGCATTTGGATTACTAAATACAGTCGGCATATTACAGGAAAGCTATTGTAGCATTCAACAGTATAATGTTTATTTATAAGGATCATAATATTCAGTAATCATAATTGTAGAATCTTACAGCACAGGAGGAGGCCATTTGGCCCATTGTGCCTGTGCCGACTCTTTGAAAGAGTTACCAACTAGTCCCACTCCTTCGTTCCTATCCCATAGTCCTACAATTTTTTCCTTTTCAAGTTCCTATCCAGCATGTTACCAGGAATGCGTGGATACAGCGATCAAAAAAAGATTGGACAGGTTGCAACTTTTCTCTTTAGAGTTGAGACAAATAAGAGGGTACCTGATCGAGGTATTTTATACTCGTCTTATACTTGTGTCCCCTGGTTACAGACTCTATTGATCCTATATCCTTGTAGTGAGGCGATTGGAATTGGATACAATGCTCAATGTGGTTAACCATGGTTTTGCAAGTTCCCACTTTTATACTGTATCCCCCTGGTATAAAGCCCAGGGCCCCATTGTCGCTTTTCTGTCCTTATCTACTTGTGTTGTGTTCCCCCAAGGATTATAACCTGATGATTAAGCTTTAGCAACCCTGCCAAAAAAAAGAGTTTAAAGTAGTCTTTCTGAACCACTATTTTTATTTCTACCTTTGCGTTCCTATCATTTGTATGTTTTCCTTTCAGAGGATGGAGCTATTTCCTCTCCAGATGTTGCTGACTTTTCACCTGAAGGACCTCAGCCTCCTTTGATCCTGTTACAGCAGCTGCTGTCAGCAGCCACACAACCATCGCCAGTGAAAGCTGTATTTGATAGACAGGAGCTCGAGGTTTGTTTCACAGAAGTTCTTGTTGACTCTTATAAGTTCATGTTTGATTTAGGAATTTGCTCGTAATTGTTGTTGCTAGCAGATTGTCATTATTATTAAATAAGATTATAAGAAAAGTTGGATGAGATGAAAGAATGTCATTCTTCATATAACAGGATTTATGTGGCATGACAGACTAATAATGTCAAAAATGAACCCTTCAAATTTGCAGCTTATTGGACAGGTGCCATCTGTTCTCTGCTATGTCTCCCCCAATGGCTATTATTCGCCTGTGTATCTCGACTGATGCTGACAGGTTGTTCAATCACAGCTGAGCCCACTCCTAATTTCATATGCACACTTTCCAGCTTGGTTCCACTTTGAGGTGCAGCTGTTGTGTTGAAACCACTTGCTCAAGGAGTCTGACCAGCCAATCTCTAGAATTAATCACTTCAACATCACAAGGTTTTAATTGAATTTACCCTGGATTTTCAAGAGCAATTGCTGGAATTTTCATGGTGAATTAGCATGGACTACACCATAATCAATTGCGCATTACAAGTTGTGTAGACTACATTTTCAATCTTATCCTCTTAAAAACTAGTTATTTTTCTGGTAAATGACTTTGATGTAAATGACACCTGAATATGTGATCTTTAGTTGGATAAATGACGGTCATCAGCCTAGCTGGTTAAGGCTATTGTCCCATCAAACAATAGCAGCTGCAATTTTTCTGCAATATTTAGGAATGCTGTTTCTCAATTCCCTCAGTCCCTTTGTTTCACAAAAATGAGGATTTCCTTGAAATGGCCGCTACCTCTCCAGCCCACAAATATATAGTCAACTAACTTTACAGTATATTCTGTGAAGCGCTTTGAGACGTCTTAGAAGACGTGAAAAGCGCTATATCAAATGCAAGTATTATTAACACCTATGCATTATTGCTCTCCAAATCCTGTTCCACAAAATGATTGGATCCATTCCTTTAACTATTGATGAAACCAGTTTTTTCTCTTCAGTTTATTTGATTGTACTTTTTTAATTAATGTACAGCTTGAATTGTGTAAATTTGTCCATATATACTTTTATTTGTAGATCATTTCTGTGCTATGTGGAGTCCTGTAGCTCAGTGGTTAGAGCACTCGCTTTGCAAGTGAGAGACCTGAGTTCAATTCCAGGCAGAGGGCGAAACCTTGGGCAAGTTTCCTTACTCCACACAGAGCCTAATAATAATCCCTCCAAAAAAAAAACCAATAATAAATCGGTCATTTTCAATCCACGACTGTCTGTGGGACATTGCTGTGCGCAATTAGCTGCCGCGTTTGCCCACAAATATACAGTCAATTCACTTTAAGTATATTCTGTGAAGCACTTTGGGACGTCTAGAAGACGTGAAAAACGCTATATCAAATGCAAGGATTATTATTATTATGGATTGTAGTCTCTTTGATATTTTGTTTTGTCAGGCTGCAGCCCTTGCAGTTTGCCAGTACTTGGCAGTGGAGTCTACTCATCCATCTACACCAGTCTTTGATGATAGCAGTTCAAGTGAGGCTACTACACCCATTGCAGTGCAACACATCCGATCAGTCAAACACAAGCGGCGCAGGCCTTCTCCCCCACCACCTTTACCCATCGTGGCTCAGCTGATGGAAATGGGATTTGGACGGAAAAATATTGAGTTTGCACTAAAATCTCTTACAGGAAGCTCTGGGAGTGCTTCAGGATTGCCAGGTACAAATAGCTAAAGCTGCATTCAAACACTGCAAAATACCTTTACATCAGCTTACGTTCCAGAGTGTCGCACCTGATGATCTGTAAAACTAGTGAACAGATATTAATAATAATAATGGGGATTCCCATTTCAAACTTCAAACAAAGAGTTTGTTTGTGGTTTGGTGATAACACATGATGCCCCCCTGGACTTATGTTTGCTTGCATAGTTAGTATAATGTAGTGGAGTAATTAATATGCTATGTAATGCTTTAAAATCTATTAGCTAATGTACCAATGAATATATACCATCGCACCAACACAATGCATTGCATTTTTTTAAAAATGCTGTAAATAATGTTTAAGAAACTTGCACTGGTCTTCCACTCACTATGTGTGCAATACATTAGAATTGATGGCTTACTTATTTATTTAAATGTTTAAGGGGTAAGCTTGGAAGTCTTTTAAGACTTCAGTCTCTGTAGCCTCAGTGTGTGCGTATCTTAGTTTGTCTGGCAAAAAAATGTTTCTTCCATACCAACTGAGCATTTGACATGCTGCTTAATAGTTACTTCTAGAATACTCTCTTGTTTTCGGAAGAATTGGTGGCTTTTGTTACGTGTGAGTGTTTGGGGGAGGGGGAGAGGGAGAAAGATTGATAAAAGCCGTTTGTGAGAGACTTAATATATTGAACGGTGATTTCTTAAGTAAAAATGTAAGATCACTCAAGGAATTAAAGGAACGGTTAGGAAAAATCTTTTAACATAGGTTTGAATATGGATTTCTCTGACGCAAAGCATTGAGTCCATAAATTCTTTGAAATTGAGTGTTCTTGAAAAAGAGGAGTATAAAAGAGCCTGGCAGCAAGCAGGTGGGAGAGATTAGATTATTCCTTGTGTGGGGAAGAACACCGATGATGAACTAAATGGCCTGTTTCGTTGCTGTAATATTCTATGATTCAAAGCTCCCTCTCTTCCATACACATAGCCTTAAATGCAGGTACAGCACTGGTAACTTAATCTTTTTCGATCTTTTCAACTTAAAGGTGTGGAAGCTTTGGTTGGTTGGTTGCTGGATCATCCGGATGTGCAGATTGCAGATCTCTCGGATGCAGAGAGCACTTTGTCGGAATACTCGGATGAAGAAATTCTGGAAGAAGCAGATGAGGCCGAGGCAGCTTACGCTGTGATTGGTTCTCAACAAACTCCAGCCAATGTACGTTTGACTTAAGATCTACTGAATCATTTTAGTAATAATAATATTGATTTTATTTGAATAGCTCATGTTCATCATGAGAATAACACGCTGTCTCTGTTTGTAGCCTTGGGGTGCTGTGGTGACCGAGAGCCAAACATATAAGAAGCGAGGAGATTTCCTGAGCAACGATGATTATGCTGTGTACGTAAGGGAGAATGTTCAGGTGAGATAAGTAAGAAGCAGGACATCTATTTCATTGCTAGGATTTTTAAAAAAAAATATTCTTAATGGCAATATACAGTGTAATGTATTATAATTAATAATGATAATCCTAATAATAATGATTTGATACAGAGCCTCATCCTGTCGTTGGGATCTCTCAAAATGTTTCACAGGATATACTGTAAAGTGAATTGTCTGTATTTTGTGGGTGGAATAAACTCTGGTTTTTAATCATTTTCAGGTGGGAATGATGGTCCGCTGCTGTAGAACCTATGAAGAGGTTTGTGAGGGAGATGTGGGAAAAGTCATCAAACTGGATCGTGATGGACTGCATGATCTGAATGTACAGTGTGACTGGCAACAGAAAGGTGGTACTTACTGGGTTCGATACATCCATGTTGAGCTATTAGGTAAACAGTTTTCTAACTACTGTTTTTCTGGCAATATTTTTCTCCTTTCTTGAATATGTCTGACTTATTTTTGTTCTTACACTCTCCTCATTAGTCTCTACCATTCATAACGTCCAACTAATATAAAATTCCTACACATATATCCTCACCCACACCAAACTCCATCATCCAAACCATCACCAGGTTCCAAATGGATCAACTTCAAAACACTCTCCTTGCAAGTCTCTTCATGTGGTTTCCAAGGCATGGATCAGTTTTGGCTGCATTTGGAATAAGATAGGCTAGGAGGTGGGCAATGTAGGATTGAACCAGGTGTCAAGATTGCACAACAATAACAAATTACATTTGTATAGCGCCTTTCATGTTGGGAGGAAGTCCCAAGGCGCTGCTTCAGTGAGTTCAAGGATAACACAGAGGGAGGTGAATATATCCTAACGTAAGATTCTTTAGCAGGAGTCTTAAGTAAAAATTCTATGCCAACTATTTTTGGCAGAAAGTTCCAGGGATTATGGGCCTAGTGGCTGAAGGCACAGTCCATGATGGTGGCACAGAAGGGTTGGGCAATAGGTTGAACAAAACGAGTGGGCAGTGGAGTTGGGTATGAGCAGGTCAGAGAAATAGGTAGGTGCTAGGTCTTTGAGATACTCTCTTGACTTGAGAGGCAAATGTAAATTGTATATGTATGAGTGTTAAAATGCTATTCACAGTTAAAGTTTTACAGATTTTATGACATTCTCAGCTCTTTGAATACAAAGAAACAGTGGTTTGATTTTCATTGTATTTCTTGCATCAGGTTTTCCTCCACAGAATTCTCCTTCCCACATAAAGATTGGTGATAAAGTCCGCGTGAAGTCTTTGGTCACTACTCCAAAATATAAGTGGGGTTCGGTTACTCACAGAAGTGTGGGAATTGTGAAAGGTAAATTTAGTCATATCTCTGTATTTTGTACAAAATACATTTTTTTAAACATTTTTCCTCCTCCTTTGCAATATATTTTATCCTAACAAAGACTCAATACCAACTACCAAATATAGGAATCTACAGTAAAAGTGCTACAACCATCTGTACTGAACATTAGGTTTGAATCATAAAGTTATCCACTGGGCTTGTCATTAAATTGGGCTCTTGCAATTCCTCAATCCTCTGTTTTTCAAGAATATGTTTCATTCAGGGGGTATAGATTAAATTCTATGTATAGGGAATTACTGATTTGTAGCTCAATATGTCAAAATGTGTAGTTATGCTTTTTTTTTCTTTCAGCATTCAGTGCAAATGGGAAGGATGTTATTGTTGATTTCCCTCAGCAGTCACACTGGACTGGACTGCTGTCAGAAATGGAGCTCGTGCCCAGCATTCATCCTGGAATCACGTAAGGCGTTTAATAAAACTTAACTGAACGAAATTGCCTTTTTATAGCATCAAATCACCTTAATATCTCAAATTGCCAATTACTATCAAGTGTAGTGACTGTTTTAGGCAGAATAGTATTTTATATAACCTCCAGAACTGCTTGTCTGATGTTGAATGATAATTAACATTGACGCATTTTTGTCTGCACAATTTCATCCCCTGCATTTAGTGGACAGAGACTGTTACATCAGTGTGACTTTCACAAAGGATTCTTCCTCGTTCATTTAGTCACAGTCAATCCACTTTAAAATATATTCTGTGAAGCATTTTGAGATGTCTCAACAATGTGGTGAGGCACTATATCAAATGCAAGAATTATTATTAGCTCTCTGGACTGAGTAGACTAATGTTAATTCGCAGCAGCAAATTCACTTATGGAACTCATTGATGATATGCAGCTAGATGTGCAGCTAATCTTAATAGTTTGTGATAAATTGAGTTTGGTATTCAGATATGTAAATTGAATCTCTATTAAATTGTTTTGATTTTAATGTGCATTTCTACCTTGTTTGACACACCAGATGTGATGGTTGCCAGATGTTTCCAATCAATGGGCCTAGGTTCAAATGTAGAGGTTGTGATGACTTTGATTACTGCGAAAACTGTTTCAAAACAAGGAAACACAACATCAGACACACCTTTGGCAGAATTAATGAGCCAGGTGAGGTTTCTTTCTATTAATCTTCATTTTGTGTATATCAAGTTGAGATGTCAGCATTGGGGACTGATTCCATGATTGTGTTATTCTAAATCTATGGCAAAATTATGAAATGTGACCTCGCTGTGCTAGAAAAAAGAAAAAGCTGTGTCAAGGCACTTCACGAGTAATTACTTTCAAGCTGAAAATAAGCCAGCAGCCATTTGCGCCTGCATTTTCCACTCATAAACGGCCAAGACTAATTAATCGGGAGAATTATTGGCCAGGACTCCAGAAGAAACTCTCTTCTCTTAAGAGTGTCATGAGATTTTTAATGGGCACATAAAGAACAGGCAGATGGGATCTTGATTTAACGTCTGTCAATTTGACACTCCCCAAGTGTTGCACTGGAGTATCAGCCTAGATCATGAGCTGATGTCCGAATGTGGAATTTGAACTCGCAATCTTCTGACTCGGGGACGAGAGTACCAGTAACTGAACCAATAAAGTGTTGATTTTCTAGGACAATCGCCAGTATTTGCTGGCCGTTCGGGAAAACAACTGAAAAGACGACACAGTTGTCAAAGAGGAATGTTGCTGGATGACTGGTCAAGGGTAGTGAAGAACTTTGGAGTCTCTTCATCTGTGAGCCAAGCCTCTCGTCTTATTGATGGCACGGGTCAGTGTTGGCAATCTTCAGGCTCACAGGGCAAAGTAAGTGAAATGTCTGTGATATACTATTAATCGCTGGGATAGCATATCGTTTGTGTTCTTCTCATTAGGGTATGTCAGTCAATCACAGAGAAAACCAGGACAGCCTCCCTCCAGAACTTCTATATTTTTTTAAAGTCATCCTGTTTCTGATCCCTCTCTGCTCACAACCACAGATCCAACCCTCAGTTCTCCTTGTGCAATGAGCAGGAACATTCTCTCGATTGGTTTAATAGCAAATGTTCTGGCATCATTTATGCTTAACAATCAGAATGCGAAGCTATTATTCCCAGCTCAAAGATGTTTTAATATTGATGTATCATCTTGTTCAACCTTCAACAAAATTAGAAAGGACATGCTTTGTACGCTGCTAAACTACACTTTACATTTTTGCAAGTTGCTATTTAATCTGAGATAATTGTTTAATGGAGCTATCAGGACTGGAGAACTGAGTATTTATTTGAATGTAAGAGACGCATTGATATCAGTGCTTTTTGAAATAATATAGCTTCTACCACTGCCATGATGTTTGACGGGCACACTTTTGCAGAACTTGATCCACAAATAATAATAATAATAATCCTTGCATTTGATATTGCTCTTTTTCATGTCTCTTTTTTGAGATGTCTCTTAAGGGCTTCACAGAATATATTGTAAAGTGGATTGACTGTGTATTTTGTGGGCGAAAGACACAGTCAATCACAAAGTGGTCCAGCAAGGAGGCCAAAGACATGTTTGTTGAATGGACCTAATTTGGGGTAATTGAACATGAACTTAGTTCAACTGGAGCCGGCAGTACAACCTGTAAATTGTTGGTCAGAGCAATACTGAACAGTTCTGAACATACTTTTTGTGCAGCGTCTTTGTAGATTTTCCTCCATTTTAATATTGTGCAAGAGGTTTAGCTGTAATATATTGTGTGGTGTTATTCAATTGAATTATTTCTGTACATTTGTTTTCAGTGGTTTGTTCATTGCCACTCTGCCCCCACCTTCTGGAACTCCAGCCCGCAGTCCCTATGCCTCATCCTTCCCTTTCCTCCTTCAAGACCGATCTCAAGACCCTCCTCTTCGACCGTGCTTTCGATCTCCCTGCTTCCCCCACTGCTCCCCTCCCCGAACCCAACCCCCCAGCTCGGGTCCGAAACTCTGTATGTCCAGCGCCTTGAGACATCCTCCCCACGTGAAAGGCGCTATACAAATGTAATGTTGTTTTTTGTGGCTCTCATTTACTAAATTTACTTTTGTGGAGTCCTGTAGCTCAGTGGTTAGAGCACTCGCTTTGCAAGTGAGAGACCTGAGTTCAATTCCAGGCAGAGGGCGAAACATTGGGCAAGTTTCCTTACTCCACACACCTAATAATAATCCCTCCAAAACCAAAAACAATAATAAATTGGTCATTTTCAATCCACGACTGTTTGTGGGACATTGCTGTGCGCAATTGGCTGCCGCATTCGCCCACAAATATACTGTCAATTCACTTTACAGTGTGTTCTGTGAAGCACTTTGGGACGTCCTCCCGACGTGAAAAGCTCTATATCAAATGCAAGGATTATTATTATTAAATGTTCATAACTGATATTGGTTCATCTTGGATTTTTAGCACTGGATTCGACTGGAGATCTTCACAGATGTCCTTGTTCATAGACTGAAGATGGTTGTGGATCCTGCTGACAGTAGTTATATGCCTTCACTAGTAGTTGTCTCGGGTAAGTTTAGAGATGTAACTGAAGGTTATTTTTCATTGTTTTATATGTATATTAATCCAGACAAAGGTTCAAAAAACATTCCTCAGTAAAGTGGCAGCACTAAAAGTGCCTCACTACCGGAAAAAGAGCCTTGGACATTTAAACTCCATCTCCTGCATGAAAACTCATGTATATCACACGGACTGTTTAAACTACCAGACAATTTCATGCAAAGAAACTGACATACACTGTGTTGACTTACAAGACCTCACCTCAGTCAATATGATGTATGTTACATGAAATCCAGTTTATGTCCAGAGGAGTTTTTTTTAATGGCACAGAGATACCAATAACTGTACTGCCATCCTGAGGAATTATTTTTCAACCACTAACTGTTTAGTACAGTATGTTAGTAAATATAGTCCTATTAATATGTCTATTTTACTTCAGGTGGAAACTCATTAGACAACCTAATTGAGCTGAAGACTGTCAATGTTACACCCACGGATACTGTGGTAACTCTACTCAATGAATGTGCAGAGGTGAGTGCTCTCAATGAGGTTTAATCCATATTTCTCCATCACCACTATGTCAATAAAAATCCCATAATTTCATATTACTAAGTTTTCCTCAAATGATTGTGACTCCTTTCTCCCTTCAATTCAGAAATGGTTCTGCAGTTTTAGTCACCCTCTGATACCTCACCCCAATGGTTTCTATTAATGTGTGAGCTATGTAGTTTTGACAGGCTGTTTGACAGTGGAAAACATCCCAGCCAGGCCTGATCCTGTCCTGACATCTTCCTGCAGTTGTCTCTGGATGGTGATCAGCAGTAGGAACGCTTGCTCATTTTTCCTTTCCCTAAGGAGTTTAGGGGTAATACGGCACGTTACTGTGACTCTTGTTACTACCGATCTTTTACCCTCTTTTGGATGATTACTCATTTGTTTGAATGCTTAAACTAAATGTAAAATTCAGGAAAGTCATTCTAAAAATATGATCGTAACATTCCTATCTGAGGTCTAATAGTATCATGATCCTATGCCTGAGCCTAACCTTATGCCACAGCACCTCCCTACATCTCCGATCTGCTCACACCCCACAATGCTACCTGACTCCTTCACTTAGCTGCCTCGGGTCTTCTGCACGTCCCTCGTTCCCTCTGCTCTACAGTTGCCAGCCGTGCATTTAGCCACTATGTCCCGATCTCTGGAACTTCCTGCCTCTTTGTTCATCTTCAGATCAGTCCACGGGATGTAGTGTCATGGAACACTTAACATACATTTCATATGTTTGTGAATTAATCAGACCAGCAACGATCTAATGCTACAATACAACAAGAGACATTTTTATAGTAGTGTTTTTCATAAATAAAATACTTGTACTATGAAACTGTGAACCCAGTAACTTTAAAGCTGTTATAAAATATAACTTTCTTTTCTCAGCAACATCGGTACGTGGAAATCGCCATCAAGCAGTGCCGAAGCTCTGGGATTGACTGTAAAATTCATGGGCTGAGCATTGTAGGACGGATCCGAGCAGAAGATGATGATCTTGCAGCAAATTTCCCCTTTCTGGCTTCAGATAATGAGGAGGACGATGATGATAAAAGCAACACTGGAAGGTATTGGTGTGTTCACTAACGTCTGGAGAAAATAATAATAATGAAAATCCATTCGATATAGCGCCTTATCACGTCTTCGAAACGTCTCAAAGTTCTTTACCGAATATAATGTAAAGTGAATTGACTATTTTTGAGTGATTATTACCCCCGGAATATGATCTGCGAATTGACTAACAACTGGGTTCCTACTTAATGCTGGGTAAACAGAGGTGTATGGAGTAAGGAAACTTGCCTAAGGTTTCGTCCCGCCCAGGAATGGAACCTGAGTCCTCTTGTTTGTGAGGCGAGTGCGCTAACCACATTGGAAGTTTTTAAAGAGATTTCTGTGCCTAAATTGGCATCTTCCACATACCAATGGGCTGTACTCTGCTGATGAGCACGAAAATTCAACAGAGGCCACTTAAAGAAGCTGTAGGAATTTGGGGTTTAGGTGGCTGACATTAAGCCTGGAGGTTTCCTCTTCGCGCTGGGCACCGAGCTCTCCCAGTTTCCCATTGGGACTGGCTGCTGGATGTGTTAGAAACCAAGGAATCTCCTTTCAGTTACCACTTCCTGCATGGAAGCATTTAGTATCTGCTGGATCCCTTCACACATTGGAACTCTCTATGCTCTGAGGATTGCAGGTCTAATGCTTGTTTCCTGTCATTCCATAGTGATGTTCCATAGCAGTCTGGATTGATTCTCTGGAATACTATGGAACACATTTCTTCTTACTCTGAGCAAATTGGAATAATTTCATTTTTTAAATTTTTATTTGTAAAAGTCTAAATGGAGCCAACGCTATAGTATGTGATGGTACAATAATTCAAACACCCGTATGATTACTGAACAGAAACTATTTTCTTGTTTTCTATAATTATATTACATTTCTTTTTCTCTCTCTAGTCTTGTAAGGAAGAAAGCAGCCAGTTTGGAGTTTGCTGCAACTATCAGAACAAAAGTCTTTGTCTGGGGTTTAAATGACAAAGACCAACTCGGGGGATTGAAAGGCTCAAAGGTACAGTTGCCATTTCTGTGGTGGAAGTTTAAGCAAGGTCTTCTGTATATGAATTTTGTTTCAACATTTTGTAATGCAACATTTCAACATGATCTATTATGGGACATTCACCACAAAGCGGGGCATTTCTAACATCAGGTCTGAATGTGACAAAGTCTTGACAGTTTGGGCTGCATTAGGAGTGAGGCAGTGGCTGATATGGGTGATATTGACAATATGGGGGTTAATAATCCCTCCAAAATAATAATAATTTGGTCATTCAATCCATGTGGGACCCAGCTGTGCGCAATTGGCTGGATTCCTATGAAATTCCCAATTCATATCATATCAATGGATATCACCATTGATGGTAAAAAGAGAATTAAAGGGGAATTAAAGCGGTAGGGAAGAGTTCATGAGCAGTTGTAGGAAATGATCTCCGAATGGACTAATTTATTTTAGTCTCAATCAGAGAACAAGTTGTTTATTGCAAGACTCTTTGTTTCAGGGATTTAAAAAAGGATAATATTACTTAAAAGCTTAATTGTAGAGTCTCCCATCCTAAATTACGTTTGTTAACATTCAATAATTTTAATTTCTAGTGATGGAAATGATAACTGTTACTATTTTTTCAAAACTAACTATTTCGATCTCTTCACTTTTAGATAAAGGTCCCCACATTTTCTGAGACATTATCAGCATTAAATGTTGTACAAGTGGCCGGTGGTTCCAAAAGCCTTTTTGCAGGTATTGTTGCAATATTTTTCTAATCCTTACTAAGGAATCTTGCATTTTAATCTTTTCCGATCAGCCGGGTGGCTGCCACCTACGAAAACCGCGCTCAAGTTTCCTTTAGTGTATCTAAACTACATGAGAATTCCACATAAGTATGTCGCCTACAAATGGAAATTTTTCCAGTGTCTGAAATGGAATGTGCACTCTCTCCCTGGAGGGATGCACTCTGCTTACTTAATTCTGGAGAGTATTTAGGCACAGGTTTGTGAGAGCCAAGGTTTGGGAAATCCATTTTTTGCATTGAGTTACTGCTGGAGATTAATCAGCTAAAAATGCATCACTTGTCTTCGAGCGCAAAAGTTTGGTAGTCCTTTTGCTGCTTGTCCATCTAGCACCGCCATACTCTTTAGGGCTTTGACCAGTAAGGTTAACAGTAGCTGAGTGGGAAGAATCTCTGCTCCCAATCTGCCCCAAATCCAGCTGATGAGTTAGGGAACACTGGTTTGTCATCAGCAGCACCCTGGGTACTGTGGGTCTACTGGCTCATGAAACTGATTGCAAACCACTTGGTTCTCACATTGTGTTGTCCAAGCAAGCCAACTTGGAGCCTGATTTCAGCTCCTAAAGAGACCCCGTTTCATCCCCTCCTCCAGACAGTAGTCATGAGTTGGTCATTTGTCATCAACAAACGTTTGAGCGAAAAAGCAGATTTGTGTTTTATTTCTACAGTGAACTGACTTTGTGGCATCTCTGAATATGGCTTCCATTTTTACAATGGTACTGGTTTCTAGGCATTATATCAGTTGCTGCAAACATTGCCTTTAATGTATTGCACGTTTCAGAAGTCTGCACCCAGAGTAGATTGAAGAATGGTAACTGCAGTGTATGCCAGCCAATGTTTCAGCTCTTTGTGAGTATTTGGCTGATGTGCTGTTTTGTTAATTGAGATACAGATCCTGTCAGTGCTACATCACTGAGTTGGTAAAGTGATAGATAAATTGACTGATGTTAGGAGTTTCTCCTTCCCTTCTTTAAAATGCAGCATATCTGAGAAGCATCAAATTGACTAAAGTATTAAGCCATAGAAGCCCATGTTTGTTTCATGTATAAGTCGAGATAATTCATTTTCTACACGAAAGCTGAAATATAAAGACATTGTATCAGCTGCCCTTTTATATGATCTTATAGCGACAAACATTTAAAGGTGTTTTCTCATTGTTTTTCCCCCTTTCGTTTTTAGTGTTTTAGTTGAGCTGTATTCAAAGAATAAGGAAGCTTTTGGTGAATGTGGCTGATTTTTCATTCTTGGAACGATCCAATAGTCTAATCACTTATTTACTGTAGTGACATTTGTGGATATGGACTTTTTTCTGATTTCATTATATTTGTCTTTAAAAGTTTCCTTACCTTAACATTTTTTTCCATGAGAAGAAGGGTAATTCGCTTTGCTTTGCTGACTTTGCTATGTGTATTTTGCAGTAACCGCTGAGGGTAAAGTTTATGCTTGTGGGGAAGCTACAAATGGGAGACTTGGACTGGGGTTATCCAGTGGAACAATACCTATCCCGCGACAGATTACTGCGCTCAGCAATTATGTTGTGAAGAAAGTAGCTGTGCATTCAGGTATCTAATTAAAATGCTTTATAAAACCTTGTGTTGTGTGATATTAACGTTTATTGCCGTGAAATTTTAAAATCTCATCGTGTTGGCAGGTGGTCGTCATGCAATGGCTTTAACTGTTGATGGGAAGGTCTTTTCCTGGGGTGAAGGAGATGATGGAAAACTTGGACACTTCAGTAGAATGTGAGTCTTTTTACTTTGCTAACTGAGATTCATCGTATTGGCCCAACAAATATTACGACTAGAGTTTAAAGTGTGGTGTGCATGCTCTCTGGTCAAGGTGCTTTTTTACCCTTTCTCACCTGCCCCCCCCTCCGGCCCCATGTAGAGGGGAAAATTATATTTATAAAATTATACTTCCCTTGTGACAATGGGTCATCGCTGTTGTTACTAGGGACAGTCTTCCTCTAGAAATAGATGCCTCCTATGTGTACATTAGGGGAGATGCATCCTGGAATCTCTATTGAATTTAATGTGGTTGGAGCCAATCTAGCTTCAGGAAAGTTTGATATGCACACTAATAGCAAAAAGCACATCTAATAACGTTGGTTCAGTGGCTATAAATCTTCCCCCTAAACTGTTTCACGGCTCCTAATAAACTTAGTGGAGTCACCACAGGATAGAAGCAGTTCTTTCCAATCAGTGAGTTTGCTGGTGTCTGGGACTGTGGAGGTCATTCCTAAGTATCTTAAATAAGTCAGACAATATATTGATGAATATGTTCATTTCAGCTCGATTTTGTGAGAAAATACCAGTTTATTAGGGATTCACTGGTATTGTAATCTACTTCATCTGTTTTTTGTGTTCCTTAAACATGCTTTTCAGGAATTGTGACAAACCAAGACTGATTGAGGCATTGAAAACCAAACGCATTCGGGATATTGCGTGTGGGAGTTCCCACAGTGCTGCAATCACCTCCAGTGGTGAACTCTACACATGGGGCCTTGGGGAGTATGGCAGACTTGGGCACGGAGATAACACAACACAACTGAGACCAAAATTGGTATGTTTGATTGTTTCAAATTGTTCATATGTTGCACAAGAAAATCCAAACCATTTGTGTTGTAAAGTAAAATCCAAAGAAACTGATTCGTAAATCTGATTTCTTCCAATAGTTTGATTATTCCCCCCCCCACCCAAAGATAGTTGGTTTGCTTCTTTCCATTCGCTTTGCGTGGAGTCCTGTAGCTCAGTGGTTAGAGCACTCGCTTTGCAAGTGAGAGACCTGAGTTCAATTCCAGGCAGAGGGCGAAACCTTGGGCAAGTTTCCTTACTCCACACAGAGCCTAATAATAATCCCTCCAAAAAACCAAAAACAATAATTAAATTGGTCATTTTCAATCTACGACTGTTTGTGGGACATTGCTGTGCGCAATTGGCTGCCGCGTTCGCCCACAAATATACAGTCAATTCACTTTACAGTGTGTTCTGTGAAGCGCTTTGGGACGTCCTTCTGACGTGAAAAGCGCTATATCAAATGCAAGGATTATTATTATAGGATTATTATTATTTTACTTCAGTCAGGAGGTGAGTGCTCCAAGCTGCACAATGCTCATAATTTCTGTGTATAATTGGCTGTCACATTTCGCCCACAAAATATAGTCAATCCAACAACAAAGTACCTGTTTATAGTGGAAAGACGTCCCAGGGCACTGAATCCATCTAACAATATACTCGGAGGTGTTTTGAGATGTCTCAGTGACCTGATAAGGCGCTATATCAAATGCAAGGATTATTATTATGTTATGATTGTAGGCCAGTCAGATGGAAATGTTCTTGTTTTCTCTCATAGTCTGCATAACTTTTTTTTATAAAGACGCTGCACTGCATCAAGATAGATGTTAACATCTTGTAAATTTACAGATAAAGGTTCTCCTGGGTCATCGAGTTATCCAAGTGGCTTGTGGAAGTCGAGATGCACAAACTCTGGCACTGACGGATGAAGGTAAACTCTACTGATCTTCACAAACCTCAGTTGCTTGCCTTTAGACCTAGTTTTAATGTGGAGTCCTGAAGCTTTGTGGTTAGAGCACTGCAATGCAAACGAGAGTTGTTTTCCTAGCATTAAGTAGGAGCCCGGTTGCTAGTCATTTGGCAGATCGCTTTTCCAGGGGTAATAATCCCTTCAAAAAATAATAATAATTCGGTCAATCAATCCACTACTGTGTGTGGGACACTGCTGTGCGCAATGGGCTGCTGCATTTTGCCCACACTCGATTCCCATTACAGTATATCCTGTGAAGCGCTTTGAGATGTCTCGAAGACGTGGTATGGTCCTATATCAAACGCAAATATTATTAATAACTATTATTGGTGCCATATTTTCCACAGGTCTGGTGTTTTCCTGGGGAGATGGCGACTTTGGAAAGCTGGGACGCGGAGGAAGTGAAGGTTGCAATGTTCCGCAAAACATTGAAAGGCTCAATGGCCAGGGAGTCTGTCAGATCGAGTGCGGTGCTCAGTTCTCTTTGGCACTTACGAAGTCGGGAGTGGTATGGACCTGGTAGGTTTTAATTTAAATGCTATATTCCAGCATAAATATTTTATTGTCTCCTGAAATGAATAAAGATTTTAATAGGTTCTAGAGAACAGGCTAAAGCAGTTCCATTCTTGTACACAGGGGCAAAGGCGACTACTTCAGGTTGGGCCATGGCACTGATGTTCATGTCCGGAAGCCGCAAGTGGTTGAGGGCCTACGTGGGAAGAAGATCATTCATGTCGCTGTGGGTGCATTGCACTGCCTTGCTGTCTCTGACACAGGCCAGGTACGTGGTGCATTTGTCTAACAAAGTAGGCAAATAGTTCCGGATAAAGATGAATTTGACTAAAGGGTCTAACGTGCACTGATTTCTAAATTACTTGATACAGAAACTAGAGTGGAGACTCTTGGTAACTGGAAATACATCACATAATATGTTGGCCCACAAAAACTCCACTCCAAAAGTGTTTACATTGGAGTAGTGTTTGTGTTAGCACATTGTACTATTGGTTTCCTTCTTGAGCAATCTTGATGGAACACAAAAGAAGAGAGGAGGTCTGATACAAGTGATCAAAATGATGAGATGTTTTGATGCAGTAAAATAGGGCAAAACGTTTTCCACTAGTACGTGAGTCACTAACTAAATTGCCAAAGATTTATAAGTTTGAAATAATTTTCAAAATTAACAACAACAAATTACATGTGTATAGCTCCTTTCACATCAGAAAGACATCCCAAGGCGCTGGACAGTCAAAGAGCTGGTTGTTGGGATCAGGAGGGGTAGAGGGCAGGGATGGTAGGGGTAGGAGGGTGACCAAAGGCGCGGTCGAAGAGGAGAGTCTTGAGACGGGTCTTGGAGGCAAGAGAGGGGGCGAGGCGGAGGGACTGTGGGATGGAGTTCAAGATGGTGGGCGTAGAGAGGCTGATGGAGTGGGCCATCAGACATGTCCTCATTCCTGCAAGCCAAACCCCTATGTTTAAGGGTATCTTAGCTGGACAAGTCCAGTGAAACGTAGTGCTTCGACCAGTAAGATGCATGGATACCACTATTACCATCTACTTCAGTCAACTCACCTCAGTTTTCAAGGATTTAGTTTTACTAGTTTTGTTGATGATAAGTGGTTAAATAGGGCTCATTCAGTGAATTGCTGTGGCAGGTACTCTGTTTAAACTTATTGTATAAGGTGACTTGCTAATCGTATTACAACAATTTGCATTTATATAGCGCCCTTCACACAAGATTGTTCCCAGAGTGTTTACATTTTAACAAAGATCTTTTGTTTTCTAACGTTACATGTATAGGTTTACGCTTGGGGAGATAATGACCACGGACAGCAAGGAAATGGAACCACAACTGTGAATAGGAAACCTACCCTTGTTCAAGGTCTGGAGGGACAGAAAATCACTCGTGTTGCGTGTGGCTCCTCTCACAGTGTAGCCTGGACCACAGTGGATGTAGCCACGCCATCAGTACATGAGCCGGTCCTGTTCCAAACTGCCAGGGACCCTCTGGGTGCTTCATACTTGGGTAACTGCTGACTAATATTAACTTGATAACCATTTAATTGCTTTGCCAATCATAACTCTGCAATGTTAAGTTTTTAACAGCAAATCCTGTGACGTTTCAACGTGATGAGGCTCTGCATAAAATTCAGATGTTATCAGAGCACAGCTGTGATGTTCTCCTGACATGGCATTTTGAATTCTAATAGACAGAATGTGCTAAATTTTCAGCAGTGCATATATTCATATTGGTGGGGCTGATTGGAAGTTGTAACTGGTGAATGATTTCTGTGATATCATCCTGTCTTAGTGATAGCCCTCTCGTCTCTGACTTGGAACATTGTGGGTTCAAGCCCCACTTCGAGACTTGAACTCACATAGTCTAAGCTGACTCTCCAATACAGTGGTGGGGGTGCATTGCATTGTTGGAGGTGTCATCCTTTGGTTGAGATGTTAAACCAAGGTCCTACCTGCCTGTTCAGGTGAAGATCCTATGGCACTATTTTAAAAAAGGGAGTTCCTCCTGGGATCCTGGCCAACAATCGCCCAGATAAAATTAGTCATTTTTTTCACGGCTGTTTGTGGGGCATTTCTGTGTAATAATTGGGCATTGCTGTGTAGTAATTGGGCTGCCACATTTGCCTACAAATACACATTGCCTTGTGTCCTCCATCCCACCACCAGTACTAGGGCTTTTAGTGTATCTGTCCCAATCTCTGGAACTCCATTTCATCAACTCGCTTCTTTAAAGTCTGCCTTAAGACCTTCCTTTTTGCACTTTTGGCCATGTTTTTCCTCCTCCAATCCCTTCAGGCCCCACCACATAGGTTGTCCAGTATCTTGGAACATTCTCGCAATGTGAAAGGCGCTATATAGATGTAAATTGGTATTGTGTATTTATATAGTGTCTTTCACGTTGGGAAGACGTCTTTACACTGCTGACTGGTTACCTGAGCAGGATGGTTGGGAGCTTTTATGATTCTGGTATAAAATATGAATTCCAAATTGCAATGGTTTTATTTGAGGATTTAAAACAAAACTATATTGGTAGTTGGTTTACTGAGCATGCCTGAAATAAGAGTGTGATTTGACAACTATGTTTATTAAATATCCAGGAAATTTTAGAGAACATTACATCACAAATGTGTTTAACTCTAAACATTGTTGATTTCTGTAGGTGTTCAATCTGATGCAGATTCTACGACTGTTAGCAACAAAAGTATTGGCCCAAATAGTTCAAAGCCCAATCGTCCATCTCTGGCCAAGATTCTACTGTCATTGGATGGGAACCATGGCAAGCAGCAGGCATTATCCCACGTGCTGACAGCTCTGCAGATCATGTATTCCAGGTAGGAACCATTGCAGAAAACATTCCTTTCAGTGGACAGTAAAATCAGTGAGTTAATTAGTCAGGACATTACTGAACAGCAACAAAAATTACATTTGTATAGCACTTTTCATGTCGGGGGGGACATCGCAAGGCGCTGCAGTTATGCAGATATTTGAGTGGCAAATGTGTCTGCTGTGTTTATACAGCAACTTGAATTCTTGCACTGATGAGACTGCATACAGATGTGTGTGCGTGTGTTCTATTCTCTACTGAAGTATGCAAGTGATTATTTGTGATCACCAATTGGATAAATATCTGGAAATGTTTGAATTAAACCTATCTTATCAGGATTCAGGAATGCTATACAAGTGGTATCTGTTCCCTAGTTATCTTTTAATTCTCTGTCTGGCCTAAAACAGAAACTGCTGCAAAGCTGATTCTGAGCATCAAAATCATTGCGTTTAAATTCCTTTATCCTTTTCCCAATTTAATTTGACTGAATTGATATTGTGATTCTTTTAAATTAAATGTGCCCTCCAGGGATGCTTTGGTGGAAGCCTTGATGCCAGCCAGCATGATTGCACCAGTGGAATGTCCATCATCAATGTCTCCTGTACCACCGGCCGACTCCTCTCCAGCCACCAGCCCAAGTGGTGGAGATTCTTCAGAAGCCGTCAGTGATGGAGAAGAAAGATTAAGTCCGAATCCCTGGCAAGATCGGAGAGGGGAGGTGAGAGGACACCTGGCGGTCTGGAATTACACGAGACCCATAATTATAAATGCTAATCTTCTGTATGAAATTATCTCGAGTTTGGATTATTTTAGTGCACATTCAAAAACACACACACAGTGAAACATTTTGAATCGGGAATGAACAAATTCCTTCATACAAGCAATAAGGATAAAGAACAGGATTCTGAGCTTTTCATATGAAGCATTTATATTATACTAATAAGGAAGTGGTGATGATCTGTATAAGACATGGGTTAAGCAATTGGCTGCTGAGTTTCGCCCACAAATATACAGTCAATTCACTTTTCAGTCTATTCTGTGAAGCACTTTGAGACATTTAGAAGACATGAAAAGCACTATATCAAATGCAAGGATTATTATTATAAGCCACACTTTTAGGACTGTTTCTTTAACTTTTTTTACTCGGGGAGAATAAACGGAGAATGCAGGCACCTATTTTATTTTTTCCTTTTTCCTGCTGCTGTCATCACACGATCAACATAATAATAATCCTTGCATTTGCTATAGTGCTTTTCATGTCTTCTAAATGTCTCAAAGCCCTTCACAGAATATACTGTAAAGTGAATTGACTGTCTCCAGGCGAAACGCGGCAGCCAATTCCCACAATTGAAGTGACCAATTTTTATTATTGTTTTCTTTTTATTAATATCAGTGTGCAGCGTAAAGAATCTTGCCCAATGTTTCGCCCTGCTGGGAATCGAACGCAGGTCTCTCGCTTGCGAGTCGAGCGCTCTAACCACTGAGCTACAGGACTCCCATATGTGATGACAGCAACCAAAAATTTTTAGTGGAACTCTGGTATAGAGGAGCCTGCAAGTTCAACGAAGACAGTGATTTTTGAAATGTCCTTTTTTTTTTCTTGAAGGTTATGTCTTCAGAAGAAGCTGTGACCCCATCATCAGCTGTAACTCCCTCGGCCTCGGCCGCTTCCTCTCGTCCTTTCATTCCTGTAACTGATGATCCTCGGGCTGCCAGTATCATAGCCGAGACTATGACCAAGACAAAGGAGGTAATACACATTGTGCCAATCTGATTGTAAATTTACTTTATTATAAAAGAGTAATGCTGTGTATGTAAGTAATTGTATCAGGAAATAATGCTGGATATATTTCAGTGGGTGTGTCGGGGAGTGATATGGGTATGCATTGGCTTTTGTTGGGGTAAATCAGTGATGGCCAACTTGTGGAAGTGGCCTGTGGGTCAGTCAAGAAGTGCCCCCCCCCCCCCCCCCCCACCCCCAGAACAATCGCATGAGTGTAGGTCAGTCTCGAAGCTCATGTGGTGTATAAACACCGGCAGAGACTATTGGGGCTGCTGGCCTGTCTCTGTGATATGGTTTCTATGTAAATATTGTTTTCTTTTCCTCTAAAGGATGCAGAAAGCCAGACGAAATCATCGGGGCCAGAACCACAGCACTTGGATGAATTCACAAGCCTTCTTGTGCCTGATGACACTCGAGTAATGGTTGACTTACTCAAGCTAGCTGTGTCCACCCGTGCTGGTGAAAAAGGCAAAGATGTTTTGTCAGCTGTGCTTTCAGCCATGGGAACCGCTTATCCACAGGTATGTATAGATCCTACATTGCAGATCATAGAATCCTGACTCACGAACAGCAGGTAAGGAATAACCTTTCACAATATACAATGGATAGTTTCTTGGGTATTTCCAGAATACTTCAGAAAAGTTTTGAAGGAATAAATAATGAAAAAGGGAGCACTGCCAGCTAACGTGCCCTTGTTCTCAGCCTCCACACATGCGTAGTAGTCAGGGGTGAATTAAGACGTAACCTCTAAAATAATGCTGTTAACAGGAAGCATTCATTTCATGATCTCCATTTCATCAATAAGCCAATGAGAGGGATTAAGTTTGAGTTGGTCCGGTTTAGTCAACCTTACGGTTAGCAAGATTATCTGCTTTCTGTTAAATAGCATTGATTTAGTTCAATAAAACAATGTTCTGCACTTAGTTCAGCTATGGGTTAAAGTCGATTATCATCCCACAGGTGGCTGACATGATGTTGGAGCTGTGCGTGACTGAGTTGGAAGATGTGGCCTCGGATTCTCAAAGTGGACGTCATTCACCTCAGCCTGTGATCGTGGAGAGCAGTCACCCATACACTGACGACACATCTACCAGTGGAACAGTGAAAATACCAGGTATTTATCGAACAGAGTACTGCTGTTGTAATGTTGCTTTATAAATGGAATCTTGTTGTTGTTGTTGTTATTGAGATCCTCTGTGCAGTGCATCAATTGTCAATTATTTTGTCTACTTAATTTGTAGGAGCAAAGTGAGTAAGTAATCCATTTTTCTGAATGTTCCTAAGGTGCTGAAGGTCTTAGAGTGGAGTTTGACCGCCAGTGTTCTACCGAACGACGCCACGATCCGTTGACCATAATGGACGGTGCAAACAGGATGGTCTCTGTTCGATCAGGTGATAAACTTTTGTTAATGTTGTCTGTTCTTGTGTGCTTATGACTTCAAGATTTGGAAGTGTTTCATTGGGATAGGTTTGCAGTGTTGGTGAAATTACTTTTATATTCCTTTGAACTAACAACCCTCCAGACAAAATTGGTCATTTGTTTTGTGGTAAGCACTTCATGAGTTTTGAGACGTACTCTCAATGTGAACGGCCTCTATAAATGTGAATTGTGTATTTCCAATACAATTTACATTGGTGAGACATAAAACCAAGCCATGAATTAGATGTATAACTGATCCAGTGCTGTCTCTGCTGCTACAGGAGTTTAGAGTGCTCTTGAATAGAATCATAGAATCTTACAGCACAGAAGGAGGCCATTCAGTCCATCGAGCCTCTGATGGCTCTTTGAAAGAGCTACTCAACTAGTCCCACTGCCCTGCTCTCAGGCCATAGCCCTATTTCCTTTTCAAATATCTATCTAATTCCTTTTTGAAAGCTACTATCGAATCACTTGATGTATTTGGTTTTAACAGTAAAGTAACTAATTGATGTATTTGTATGCATATGCATTTATGCTGCACATTCGTTACAGTTTTATCATTAAACATACATATCAGTTGAGCTAAAGTGAACCTCACTGGTGCCTCTCCCTCTCTTTTCCTCCCCCCCACCCCAATCCCACCAATACTGCCTACAGGGGGTGGTTTCAGGAGCAGTGTGGTTTGTACCGATAGTAGTTTAAGTGCAAGTAGTATTTATTGATGCAAATGGTTTTAGGAGGTGGAACTCCTTAGCAATCTATTTTAGAGACCCATAATTCTTTACATTCAAAACCGATATTGGACTGTTTCTGAAATGTGAATGTTTCTTTTCCCTCAAAGCTGACTTTAACCGACACGTACTTGTGTTCTAAACCACTTACACTTTCACTACAACAGGTCGAGAGTGGTCCGACTGGTCCAGTGAGCTGAGAATTCCAGGTGATGAGTTGAAGTGGAAGTTTACCAGTGATGGCTCTGTCAATGGCTGGGGATGGCGATTTACAGTGTACCCTATCATGCCGGCAGCAGGTAAACACACAGTTGCTGCAACTTAGCTTCTTCTGTGTTCTTTATTTTGTTCCCGCTGCTTGGCTACGTGCGTACTGTGATGCAGAATGCCACAGCGCCGCAGTCAACCTGTATAACTACAGGGTGTGCGTACATACATAGGTGCTCTGTGATGCACAATGCCACAGCACCACTTTTACTCAGCAGCCACCAGGTGTAATTGCACTGAAAAACGCAAAACTGAAAATAATTCATGAACGATAGGAGATCCTCGAAAACAAATATGCCCGTGTCACTCCCAGTCCAAGACCTTTCCGATGAGGTATAAGTCATGTCTCTACATCAATCGGTTATCGAAACCCTTTTGAAGCGCAGACAGACATTGTTGTGTTATTGGTGTGTAAATATATATACATATATATAAATGACAGTGCAGCTGAGCAGGACTATCCCATTTTATTGTCCTACATCTCATACATACTTGTCTGGAAATGACATGATGGTAATCCACTTCGAAATTTCAGATGATCTGTTGTCATTCTCTCAGTTTTACGAAGCCCTTTGACCTCCTTGAATGGATTACTACCTTTTAATTTCCTTCTGGGTGTACCACTGATGTATGCTTTATTTGATGTCTTTCCAATCTGTGCTGTTTCATGACATTTCGTCCTTTGCGGAACTGCTATTCACTCATATGATAAGTATTTGGAAAGTGTTCATTATATTTTAACTCGCGTGCACCCATTTGGATCTATAAATCTTTATTCACTGCACATCATTATCAGTTTATCTTTGAGCTTGTTTGTTCTCCTCGCACATCACTCCAGTGAACAATGCCAGGCACCAAGTTTCTCTTGGTTAAAGTGCTGACGAGGAGCGTTCTGATGTACCTGTGGCGTGTTTTTGCATTTTTATCTGGTGGGAGGGCATTGGGGCACTGAGACTCAACATAATTACCAGGATAGGTCACACGGCAGCACCCTAGACTCATCGAAGAAGTGGCTTGATGGTGTAATGTGGAGTTCTGTAGCACAGAAGCGAGAGGACCCAGGTTTGATGCTCGGGCTGGGAAAAACCTTCGGCAAGTTTCCTTACTCCAAGTACCTGTTTACCTGCTGTGTGCAATTGGCGGCAAGGTTTTGCCCACAAAATATACAGTCAATTTACTGTACAGTATATTCTGTGAAGCATTTCAATGACCTGATAAGGCGTTATATCAAATGCAGGGATCAACTTGATTAATAATTACCAGCAGAGGGCGGAAGCCATCACCCGAGGCTCATTTAAGAAATAGCTTGATGCTGTAATGGGGAGACGGTAGGCTGGGTATTTTTGAAGGGTGAGATCAAATGGGCCGAAGGGCCTTCTTCATCTGTACCTCTTTTGTGATCTTGATTTTGGTGCCTCCCTGATGTCATGGCTGAGATCCAAAGAGATTCTGTCTGAGGAATTATAGGCCCATAACTGACAGAATGCACTGTAAAGCGCATTGACTGTATGTGTGTGTGTTTTGCCCACAAATATACAGTCAATTCACTTTACAGTGTATTCTGTGAAGCGCTTTGAGACGTGTAGAAGATGTGAAAAGCGCTATATCAAATGCAAGGATTATTATATTCATTATTTCAGTGCATAATTTCTCTCCTGTCACCCCACTGCTGTACAGCTTTCAGGATACAGACTTGCATGAATGTGTAGCAATTTCAGAAGTGGGTAGATGTAAGCTTGTAACATGAATATTTTTTAAGAATTGATGTTTGGATTTTTTTTTTGCCTTGGCATTAGAGTGAAATGTTCTGCTGCTATTTAATAACATCCAACCTTTAATGTTCTTATCAGGTCCTAAAGATCTTCTCTCAGATCGCTGTATACTGTCGTGTCCATCTATGGATTTAGTTACTTGTCTACTGGATTTCCGGTTAAGCTTTGCATCGAACAGAAGTATTGTGCCTCGTTTAGCTGCCTCTCTGGCTGCTTGTGCTCAGCTGAGTGCCCTTGGTAAGTTTCCTTTTTTAATTGAGAAACCTCAGTGAAGGGCCATGATCCAAATTCAGAATGCTACACCAAGGTTTTCCCCCTCAAATACGGTCCATCCACCCTACAATATATTCTGTGAAGCGCTTTGTGACATTTCAACGATATGATAAGGCGCTATATCAAATGCAAGGATTATTATTATTATTATTAAGGTTCAAAAGGACAAATCAATCGGTCTATCGGTTGGGTGATGCTATCAGATGTTTACCTAAAAAATACACAGTCATTGCAGTTCAAAGTAATTCCAACGATGTACTGTAACATTCAGCTTTGAGACGTCCTTCCGATGTGCAAACCCTTGACTGTCACGTGCCTTGGGACGTCCTCCCAACATGAAGAGTACTATATAAAATGTAAGGGTTATTATTATAATTATTATTTTTATTTTTGAATAATGCAGATTAAATTGGCCTATTGACCAGTTTCTTTGCTGTAACATTCTACTATAATGCAGAGAAGGAGGTGTGCAGGACAGGACATTTAGAGCTTGGCAAATCAAGTGAGGGGAGTCCAGAGGAACACCAAACACTGAAATAGCAAAAAGATGAGAAAGGATGTGAAGGAGAGCGAGATGCCCAATAAATATAATACTGAAACAGACCTTACTATATGGCCAGTATTGAAAAGATTTTAAAATGTTTTTTGCTTTACGTAAAATCTGGCAGCCGCCAGTCACAGGATGTGGGCCTTGCAGAGATTGCGTAAGCTTCTGACGACCGAATTTGGACAGACCATCAATATCAACAGGTTGCTTGGGGACACTGAAGGAGAACCGCGATCCCTGGTATGATGACTTTGTTAAAAAAAAATATATATATTTGATAGGTCTGTATATAAAAAAATATATTTTTATATGAGCAAGAAAACATAATTGGCGAATACATGCAGAGTAGAATAGAAAAACAACATATTTACAATGCGCTTGTATGATAGGTCAAAGTAGTCAACTTTAAGCGAGTCCAGCTTTGTGACTATGGCTGGATCCAGATGCTATAGAGGGGGTACATGATCTGCTGACTCCCTATCAACCTGTCTGCTCCCTCCGCTCAGCAGGCTCTGGCCTACTCCAGGTCTACATATTGAACTACATTGAATATTGAACTACATCGTAGTTCAATATTACACTGTGAAATACATTGTGGTTCAATATCAGTTTGAGAATTTTAAAACCTGAAATAAATGTAAGAATGTTAACGTCAGTCAGCGCTATTTGGGTTTTTTTTAATTGAAAGATATTACACAATGTTGTCTGATAAAGGAAACTTCTCTTTTTTTCTCTCAAGAGTTTTACAGGCAGCGCTTTAGCTGCGTTAGTTAAAGGTCTCCCAGAAGCTCTGCAGCGTCAATATGAATATGAAGATCCCATTGTGCGAGGGGGAAAGCAGCTTCTCCACAGCCCGTTCTTTAAGGTAATTGTTTTTCCAAATAATCAAATGCTTAATTCAGAATTCAGAGAAAACTCGCTCATTAGATTACTCTATTTGACTCCTGTTAGAAATGTGCTCTCATTAGTGAGTTTAGAATGTGCTCACTTTCAGCTTCTAGTGAAAAGCAAAACAGACTGATTTATTGCATTGCCTCAATACTGAAGTGAGATTCAAGTGTAGTTGATGGTTTCTGTAAATGTTAATGAACCATCCATTTCATGGGATATTCCATAGAGGAAATAATAATTATTACAATAGAGGTACTTCAACAAGAGCTGCTTTTGACAAATTATTCCAATTTAAGGAAATCTCAAGGTTTATACTGATCTTGACGACACACTAAGCTGGAGGAGCTCTGCACAAGTGTATACTGTATAAAACACTTGTCAGCTTGGCTCAGTTGGTAGCACTCTGGCCTCTGAGTCAGAAAGTTGTGATTTCAAGCCCCACGTCAGGATTTGAAACTCATAAGTTGACACTAGAATCCAGTGCTGGGGGTGTGCTGCATTGTTGGAGATGGAGACATTAAAATAAGGGTCCGTCTGCCTGTTCAAGTGGGATGTTAAAGATCTCATGACATTATTTGAAAAGAGAAGGGAGATTCTCTTGGCAAACTGGTCAACAATTCCTCAATTAAAATTAGTCACTCACTACATGGCTGTTTGTGGGACAGTGCTATGCAAATTGGCTGCATTAGCCTACAAATACAGTCACTGCACTTCACAGCAAAAATCGCTTTGAGATATTTTGCCGACATGATAAGGCGCTATTTCAAATACAAAAATGATTGCTTATTATTGTTATTTGCTTTTCGGTTGGCAGTGTACAGAGAAATCTGGAGGCAGTCTTACTGAAGTCATTTCATGTATTTTCAGGTTCTGGTGGCTCTCGCTTGTGATTTGGAGCTCGATACTCTGCCTTGCTGCGCTGAAACCCACAAGTGGGCATGGTTTAGAAGATACTGCATGGCCTCCAGGGTTGCTGTTGCTCTGGACAAGAGAACCCCATTGCCACGGCATTTCCTCGATGAGGTGATTAATGTTTACGCTCAAATAGATCTACACCAAGTAGCATTGCAAAAGCAAACTAATAGACTTTTTTGGAAATAATATCTCAGGATACAGTATGTAGTTTGGGACATGTGCATGCAACTGCCAGGATGGTGGAAGGTGAACTGGGTGGAACTTGATCTTCTTTCGTCCTGCAATTCGTATGTTCTTATTGCTCATAGTAATTGACCCTGGAGACAAATTTTGATTCTTTTTTGTTTGCTGTTCATGGTTACTAACTCGCTGGCTTGTAACTTCAACCACTTATTTTTAATTAGAAGGTTTGGGATGGAATTGAACAAGAGGAAATTATAAGCCAGGATAAGCAGGAGGAGAACTCTGCTTCTCTTTGAATTACCTGATTGTTGAGGCAGACAGAACCTAAATTAATGGCAGAATTAAAAATTAGCTACTGCATTTGCTTTATAACTGGGTGCCCTGTATCTAAAATTAAATTGTTGAGTAATAATTATTGGGTTACATACCATGCTGAAATCAATGAGACTGGAGGAATTTTTGAACCAAAGTTTAATACCTTGCTTTTCTTCTGTTACAGGTGGCAAAGAAAATCCGTGAACTTATGGCAGATAATGAGAATATGAACGCTCTTCATGAAAGCCACGAAGTATTCAAAAGAGAGCAAGATGAGCAGCTTGTCCAGTGGATGAACCGGTCGGTACTGAATCCCTGGAATCACCAATACATTGCTGCTCTATTATATTGTATTTCATGATAGCATAAATTTGCTTAAAACAGGGTGGTTCAACCTTTTGGCTGCTGAGAGCCGGTGCCCTATTTGAGAAAAGTCCGTGGGCAATATTTTTGTGTTTCCCTTCCAGAAACGCAGCATTACAATCACGGGTTATGGAGGGAGCACGGGGGCCAGTTGAAATGGAATGTGGGGAATATGAAATCGCTTCCCGGTCACTAGCCAGGTTTTTGTGCTAAAGTGACCGACTTCTGGTTCATTATGTCACCGTTGACATCACGGTAGTCAGATATTCAATTTCTAGGGTCATCATGTCTCCGTCAAAGTTGTTTACTGCTTTATGCATGTGCAGAAAACAGGCATGTGCAGCAACCTTTTGTAATGACCTGGAAGTTGGCCTTTTGTAGCGTAGACAGTCGGGTGAATGTGCCCTCAAACAGGCTGTTATGTCTCGCTGTCAAATGGTTGAGATTTTCTGAATCCCAAACACCATGTCATAATGTACTATGTTTCATTTACATATCAAAAAAATAAACACTCTTAGAAATGGAGAGAAAAAGTGTTGAACAGGGAGAGTGAGAAATAAAGGGAAAATTAGTAATTTTTTCAAACAAACGTTTTTTAAAAATATGTTTCTAATAGGCGGCCTGATGATTGGACTCTCTCAGCTGGGGGAAGTGGAACTATTTATGGCTGGGGCCATAACCACCGAGGTCAGCTAGGAGGTATAGAAGGAGCAAAGGTTAAGGTTCCAACGCCTTGTGAGGCATTAGCAACCTTGAGACCTGTTCAACTGATTGGTGGAGAACAGACACTGTTTGCAGTCACAGCGGATGGAAAGGTGAGTGTCAATACATCCTTTAGTTAGAACTAGAAACGATAGCTTGTTCTCCCAAACTTAGACGCAACTATTGAGTAGTAAAAGTGCAAGTTATTTTTTGCTTAAGGAAGGAAGGAGTAATGGCTTTCACTACACATCAGTCTTAGATGATTATAATATCTTAACAATTCACTAGTGAGTTAGGATCAAAAAAATTCTGAAGTATTATAGGTGCCAATCACGTAATTCTGTTATTTTTACTCTCAGTTATATGCCACCGGATATGGAGCTGGAGGAAGACTGGGGATTGGAGGAACAGAATCTGTTTCTACACCCACTTTACTGGAATCAATCCAACATGTTCTTGTGAAGAAAGTGGCAGTGAATTCAGGCGGGAAGCACTGCCTGGCCTTGTCTTCTGAAGGAGAAGTCTACACTTGGGGTGAAGCAGAAGATGGCAAGCTAGGGCATGGCAATAGGAGGTAAGCGGAGACCTGTGTATCACATTTCCATTTGTCTTAATTTTATTTTCCTAATTTTCTTCCCTCTCCTGAAGCATTTTATGACTGGTATATAGTTCCAGAACTGCTGCCATGTCTATGAAAACAGTCACTGCACTTGACAGCAATTCTTATAAGGTTTTGAGATGTTTAACATGATTAGACTGTAAAAATGCAAATTGTTTCTTTGTGATGGTGTTAATAGGCTAATGGACAACAGAAGACATCACTAGGTTTTGCACTGGGTAGACATTCTCTTGTCCTTCTAGAGGAATATTTTCAACCCCTTAGTTTGATGCAAGCAGTGAAGTTCTCGTGGTCAAATGGTTTTTCAAGTGGATTATTTTGCCCAGAAAAACAGTCAGTTCACTTAGCGCTTTTGAGACGTCTCAAAGATGTGATGAGGCGCTATATTAAATGCAAATCAAATAATAATAATATTATTAGACTAAAAGACTTAGTGGAACGTGGGATAAAATGTTAGAGGTCAGTGAATGATGTGCTCCATTGTTTCCTGGATTAACTGAATGTTCCACAATAACAGCCAGGTCATAATACCATTATGAAACAAATTGATCACTTCAATCCACAACTGTTTGTAGGACACTGTGTGTGCAATTGGCTGCTGCCTTTTCCCCACAATTATGCAGTCAGTTTACTTCACAGTATATTCTGTGAAGTGCTTTGAGACGTCTAGAAGACGTAGCTATATCAAATGCAAGGATTATTATTATTAATTCTAACCCGCTGGCAGAGCTGAGGTTTGAGCTACAAGGCTGCTCACTACTATGTGGCATTAATATTCTGTTTGTAAACCATGTTATAATGTGTTCAATAAAGTGAGGAAATATTTGCTTGGTGTGATCTTATTTTTCCCCCTTTGCCCTTTTCAGTCCTTGTGACCGGCCTCGTGTTGTTGAGTCCTTGCGTGGTGTTGAGGTGATTGACGTTGCTGCTGGTGGAGCGCACAGTGCTTGTATTACTGCAGCGGGAGAGCTTTATACGTGGGGCAAGGGCAGGTATGGGAGACTCGGCCATGGCGACAGCGACGATCAGTTGAAGCCGAAGCTGGTAAGTACCATTGATTATAAAAGGTAACTCATTAGCTTAGAAAATACACAGTCACTGCAACTTGACAGTTTATCATGTGAAGCTATTTGGGACATTCTCCCAGTGTGAAAGATTATATTAGATCAGTCTTAAATCAATTTGCCTGGGTACAGCAGTTCAATAAGACCCAATATTCATTCTTAGGCATGTTCTATTCCTTGTATCTAAATTCCCTGATCTTTAATTTTTCGCAGTTAATTTTTTTTGTCTCGGAGTATCTTTTAATCAAATAATTTGTTCTGATTTGTTTATTATCTAAACCATTCTTTCTCTTTTAGAACTTGTTTTACTTGTTTAAATCTTGAGCCCGAAGATTTTACTTAAGTTTCCCTTGCTGTTTGAGATTACAGAAACTGACGGCATAATACTATAATAATAACCTTGCATTTGATATAGCGCCTTATCACTTCTTCGAGACGTCTCAAAGAGCTTCACAGAATATACTGTAAAGTGAATTGACTGTATATTGTGTGGGCGAAAAATAGGCTTATTTCTAGGATGCTGGCAGGGGTTGAGGAAAGGGGAGTGGGAGAGTGTTCCAGAGGTTAGAAGTGTAGTGGCTGAATAAGCTTGGGAAGGCTGTTTTTCGGAGCTCAGAAATGATTTTCACTAAACGGAATCCAGGGTTGCAGCAATTTTCAGCTTGTACGCAGCGCTACAATCATTCAGAAGCGAGGGGATTGTGATTTCAAAATATATTTAACTATTTGTTAAGTAAGGAGCTTTATGTGTTGAGGAATATCTCAATTTTGACCCATTTGTAAATCTACTTTGATTGGCGCGGGGTTCAACGCTCTGAGGTAGTTGAGGTTTGATTTTGTAACAAAGGATAAAGTCTAAAAATAACTCCTGTCTGAAATGGGAAATTCCAGTGCTGCGAGAGTAAGTTTTGGGACATACTTTTCAGTTGAACATAGTTGGATCCTGGTGTGATCCAGCACTATATCAAATACAAGTATTAGGGTTGTGTGTGTAGTGTTTAAGTGTATCAATGGAAGTATTATAATAGTATTTTAAACTTGTGCTCATATCCTAGGTGGAAGCGTTGCAAGGTTATCGAGTGATCGATGTTGCGTGTGGCAGTGGAGATGCACAGACTCTCTGTCTGACTGATGACGATACAGTTTGGTCCTGGGGAGATGGAGATTATGGCAAACTTGGAAGAGGAGGCAGTGATGGCTGCAAAGTCCCCATGAAGGTATTGAGAGTTCATCAGTATTTTGGCTAAAAATTTAGTTCAATGGGAATTTTTAAGTTTCGCTAAGGGTTTGCTTAGTTCTTCGTCCTCTAGGGGTAAAAGATGTAGTATGTGTGCAATAATTCTTTTCAGTGATAATTGTCACCTCTTTCTGTCATTGGAATGCCTGCTCTTGGCGGAACATTAATTGGAATAGCATTCGATTGCTTATTACATTGCTCGTAATAACTATCAGATTCCACTTGTTAATGTCTCTTTCGCTCCTCTCCCAAAATAGATTGATTCTCTCACCGGACTTGGGGTGGTTAAGGTGGAGTGTGGATCCCAGTTCTCTGTGGCCTTAACAAAGTCTGGAGCTGTTTATACTTGGTGAGTAAGGGCGTGTTGATGAACTCTGTAATTCTCACTTTGAACAATTTGTGTTAATTATTACCTTTAGGGCTGTCATATGGGATGATTGGGTGGAAGGGGAGAGAAATTTTATATTAAAATTCTGAACTCTTCTGCCTAATGGGAGATGGCATATGTTCTAATTGTGAGCATTTTGTCCCTTTTTCCAATTGTCAGTATCAATGTTATAATTTCCACAGAGCCCCATCCTGCTGTTCAGTGACAATGTCATTAAAGACGTGCCAGATGCCAACATTGTCTGGCCCATCTCATTGGGATTTAAAAAGTAATCATTGGGAAAACATACTGCTATTTACATGACCTTTTTCATAGCAAGTCCTTTTTTTTTTAGCCTCCTTCTTTGAAGTTCAGCACTAGAAATTTTCAAACAGCAACAACGTGCATTGGGAGAATGGCCCTCACGCAGAACGCTTATCACTAGCTGTCAGATTCTTAATACAACAACTTGTGTATTAATATAGCGCTGTTCACTTAAGATAATGCCGCTAAGTGCTTATAGAATGTAACGTGTGACTTGCTTTACAGGGGTAAAGGTGACTATCATCGGTTGGGCCATGGTTCTGATGACCATGTCAGAAGGCCTCGGCAAGTTCAGGGGTTGCAAGGGAAGAAGGTCATTGCAATTGCAACCGGATCATTGCACTGCGTGTGCTGTACTGAGGACGGTGAGACGTGACTTATTTTATAGAGAGGAAGCTGGTTCAGCCCAAGTTAACTATCAAGCTTCAAAATGTATCTGATGTAGTAGCTAGATCACTTGCCTCTGGGATAGATGGTTGCAGTTCATGCCTCGCGTCAGGACTTTGAGCTCATGGTCTAAGTTTACACTCCAGTGCAATGTTAAGGAGCACGGCATTGCTAGAGATGCTGTCTTTGGATGAAACATTAAACTGAGGACAGTCAACGTGGTCCAACAGCTTCACATCGTCCTGACGCCATTTCCCTCCCCACTAAACGTCCTCGCATGGCGGCAGCAGCAGGAGGAGTCGGCGGTTGTAAGGACGCAGCGCGGAGAGTGGAGTCCTGTAGCTCAGCGGTTAGAGCACTCGCTTTGCAAGCGAGAGACCTGAGTTCAATTCCAGGCAGAGGGCGAAACCTTGGGCAAGTTTCCTTACTCCACACAGAGCCTAATAATAATCCCTCCAAAACCAAAAACAATAATAAATTGGTCATTTTCAATCTACGACTGTTTGTGGGACATTGCTGTGCGCAATTGGCTGCCGCGTTCACCCACAAATATACAGTCAATTCACTTTACAGTGTGTTCTGTGAAGCACTTTGGGATGTCCTCCCGACGTGAAAAGCGCTATATCAAATGCAAGGATTATTATTATTATAATGCCGACAGCAAGCATGTCTTCTTACTAAATGTACTGCTCCATTTGTGTGCAAATGCTATATTTAACAGGAGTTACTCTGAATTGCTTTGAGGTGTTTATTGGAGTCTGGACCAATTCTGTTGTTTACTTTTCCACCTTGACTAACTGGGGGAAAAAGCTGTTTTTTGTCGTCACCCAGCTTAAAGTTGCTGTATTTAGAGAAGGAGCATTAATTTACTCCTCCTTGGAGTAAATTTTATTTGATGTAATAATCCTCACATTTGATATAGCACCTTATCACTTCGTCGAGATGTCTCAAAGCTCTTCACAGGGATCCGATATTGTGAAAGATATGGAAAATGTTGTTACCAACATGGAAATTTTTAGCAAAGAAAGAGGACTGTATTACAAAGTCATCGTGTGACCTTATAATATATGGAGACAATGTTGTATCAAAGGTGGTCTTGTGCAGTATTATCCTATCAATCAAATCTCACCCTTTCCCTAACACAGGGGAAGTGTATACCTGGGGAGACAATGATGAAGGGCAGCTTGGGGACGGGACTACCAATGCCATCCAGCGGCCCCGGCTGGTAGCTGCCCTACAGGGCAAGAAGATCAACCGTGTGGCCTGTGGTTCAGCCCACACCCTGGCGTGGTCTACCAGCAAACCTCCCAACGCAGGAAAACTTCCAGCACAGGTTTGTTCAGTGTTCAGCATCTTGGGACGTCCTCCTGACGTGAGAGATGCTCTACAAATGAAATTTGTTGTTCTCATTGGCTTTAATGCAGATTTCGTAAGCTCGCATGTAGGTGAAAAAATCACCTATGTAGAGGAAAAAATCTTATTTAATTGATAACTGATGAGATGTTAAACTGAAGTCCAGTCTGCCAGGTCTTGCGTTGCATGTTTAATGTCTCGCAGCAGAATTTAAAGTGAATACAGCCCCCACTCTCTGGAACTCCATCCCAAAGTCCCACTGACTCCTCACTCTCCCTCACTCTCTGCTTTCAAGGCACATCTGAAAACATAACTCTCTGACCAGCATCTTTTCCCTCCCCATCTCTGGTACCCATTCAGTGCTTTGAGAATTCCGGCCGATATGCAAGGCTCTATGTAAATGTATTTACCTCTTGGCTGAGTGTGGGTTTTACGAGCTCTTTTGCTTCCCTACAAAAACACTCACTACATTTGACATTAATTACTTGTGAGGTAATTACTTTCTGTGCAAGGTGCTTTAAAAATACAAGCTTTTTTTCTATCTTTTAAGATTCCAATGGAATACAACTACCTCCAAGAAATCCCGATAATTGGTTTGCGGAACAGACTGTTACTACTGCACCATATCTCGGAGCTATTCTGTCCTTGTATACCAATGTTTGACCTTGAAGGCCGCTTCGACGAAACTGGCCAGGGCCCATCTGTCGGGCTTGATACTTTACGTGGAATATTAATATCGCAGGGCAAGGTAAGACGTTGTGCTCAGAATGCTCATGGCCTTTGTAAAATAACATACTTGATCAATTGGAACACGGAGTATGAAATAAGAGAAGGACATCTTAGCAGTGGCTCTTGTGTGTGCTTCAGTGTGTGTGTGTGTGTTCTATCCTCATAGGAATATATAAATCCAGAGGACTGCTGTTGTCATCTGACCATTCCCAAATTGTCCGTTGTCAAAAGATTTTTTTTGATCAAATCATAGAAACTGTTGACATGTGTGGAACCTATCGCCTTGCTTGAGAGTTCCACATCTAAGACACTTACACATGAAATGTCTTGTGTTTGGAATGGAACATGCACGCTATCAGTGGAGCTGGCACCCTACTGAATTCTGAAGAGTAGAAGGTGGAGGTTGGCAAGAGGCAAGGCTTGAGGACCCCTGAGTGTCAGTTTGGGGTATTGCTGCAATTTGACCAGCTAAAACCATGTAGCTTCCCATTGAGAGCACTGTCGTCTCTCACTGCTTGTTCCAGTTAGGACCACCCCTACCCAATAGGGCTTTCGGGTTTAGCATAAGCTTGCAGTGTCTGCCCTCCCTTCCCCTATATTCTGCCGGTAAGCCAGGCTGGCTGATCTGTCAACCGTTTGAGTCCTTGTCTGTGACCATATTAAACTTAAACACTTTAGTAGGATTTAATTTATCTGCACTCTCAAATAAGGCCACCTAATCCATTGTTACTGTTTGCTTCACAAGCCTTTACTATTCCTTTTTAAGCATATATCTAATTCCCCTTTAAATGAACTTGTGGTCTCTGCCTCAGCTCAGCTCAAATTTGTGGAAGAAAATTCCTTACTCCAGCACCTGCCGTGTATTTTTTTTTCTAACCACCGTTTGAAGGCCTTAAGATTGATTCATTAGAAATTGTTGAAATCCAGTCGGATTGGCTAGTCCTAACCACCTCGCCATTTATTTATTGCAGGAGGCAGCCTTCCGCAAAGTAGTCCAAGCTACAATGGTACGCGATCGACAGCACGGACCTGTTGTGGAGCTTAACAGAATCCAGGTACTTTTATTGCAAGTGCAAATGCAGTGTGAAATGTTCAGTTTCTCCGCATTGCTGCCCTAAAGTTATGCAAGCAGTTCACGTGGATGGCACCACATGATAGATTTGGTAGGTTTCCAAGTTTGCACAGTGACTTGGTTTCGCTCTGAATTTAACTTCAGCTTTACAGTTTGTGTGATTCAGTTGTGTGGTTTATGTAACGATGTTTCCTCAAAAGAATTATTTTTGTTCTCAAATAGGCTTGGGTGTTAATTTAATGTAACGAACAATCTCTTCCTTGCTTTTCAGAACGTGCATTAAATTCATATTTATAATGTGACTAGCCAAGATAGTAACCTGCTAAATGCTGCTTGCTTACAGATTTAGTTACTGCCAATTTCCCACGTCACTGGAATGTTGAGTTTACATTTTCTATATCACATTTATAGGTTTTTATAATTGGCAAAGAATGATTGTAGCAATCTTGTTCATATTATGCCGTATGATTTAGTGCTTGCATAACCAGTGTTGGAAGAGCACTCAGTACTAGTCATTTGACACTATCTGACTTTGGGATATACATCACTACCTTTATTACTCTTTTTCTCCCTCTCTAGCCACGAGAATAAGCCTGAGAAAGGTCACAACTATTCAAAAGAAACATTATACCATGATTTCATGTGTTTTAGGAAGTAATTTGGTCTCTGAGTTTTATTGGTCCTGTTGCAATCTACCACTTCTGTACTACTCAGTTTTATACCAGCTTTTTAAATTTACTATTGCCATCCATTTGTTTGTATTGGAAAGAAAAGTTTGACTACAGTTGGATTAGATTCCTAATTTTCTACATATCTCTGCATTTGCTGCATGAACTGCTGCATTATTTTCTGTCCTGTGCTACATCATCCTGCACCGTGAGATATGCTTTGATTAGTGGCTTAACTGCTTACAAACGATGTACAGCACGGAAACAGGCACTCTGCCCAACCAGTCTATGGTGGTGTTTATACTACACATGACTGATACTTGATCCACTACCACTAAACTTAGACCTTGGGATCACTATCATATCTCATTCATACATGATCCTTAAACAAGCAGACTAATGAATCTGCAAAGCACCATTTCTTTAACTGCTTAGCCTGGCTCAGTGGTAGCACTCTCGTCTCAGAAGGTTGTGGGTTGAAGCCCATGTTTTAGTACATCTTTGTTCCACATGTTCCTGTTCTCTTCCTCACTCTTGTTATTTTGAATTAAGAGTCAAATGACAAATCATTGAAAGTTTCAGCATAGAAATGGGCCTTTGGTATATCAAGTTTGTGCCGTGTTTTTCTTCACTTGAGCCACTTAATGAAGTTCCACTCTCCTGGTTGCTCCTCAAACTTTTTAATATTCCACTTTTCAAGCATCTGTCCAATTCCCTTTTAAAAGAATGGAGGCGCAGATGTGGTTTGAATTCCACATTTCACCCATCCCTGTGTACATTTTGTTTTTGTTAACAACAGCAACAAAATTATATTTGTATAGCGCCATTCACGTTGGGAGGACGTCCCAAGGTGCTGGACAGTCAGTGTTTCGGACCCGAGCTGGGGGTTGGGATTGGGGAGAGTGGAGGGTACTGGTGGAAGCAGGGTGATCGAAAGCACGGTTGAAGAGGAGGGTCGTGAGATGGGTCTTCAAGGACCCATGGATGTTAAAACCTCAATCTGCAATCAAAAAATGTGCAGCTTAGAAATCTCTGCGTTGAGGAGTAAACATTTTACATTTCTTTTCCAGGTGAAACGCTCCAGAAGTAAAGGTGGATTAGCAGGTCCCGATGGCACTAAGTCTGTCTTTGGTCAGATGTGTGCAAAGATGAGCTCCCTGAGTCCTGACAGCTTATTGCTACCTCACCGTGTTTGGAAAGTCAAATTTGTTGGTATGTTCTGCTCGGCGGAAACTATATGTACATTATTTGACTGAAAATTGTTCTTCTTATTTAGTTTTGTCTTTCGTCATTTTAATACTTTTGTAATACAGTACAAACTTACATTCATGAAGTGCCCTTCATGTCGAGAGGATGTCCCAAGGCGTTTAACAGTCCTGGTTTGTCACTTGAGCTGAGGGTGAGAGCAGAGAGGATTGGGGAAGGGAGAGATGATCAAATTTTTTTCAGTTTATTTTTAGCTTCATGAAATCTTGAAGGCATTTCTGATTTAAACAACAGAAAGGCAGCACACTTAAAGTGATTTGACATTGTGCTATTGCGAGGTCTTTAAACAGATTGTTCTATAATACTCCTCCCATTGTGCAGTTCCACGATAGGGTTGTGGCAGATTTATTCACCTAAAAAGAATGTACCAAAGGTGTTTTAAAGATGATGTAGTTGTAACGTATTCTACTGTGTATTCACATGGTGTTGAAGCTGAAAATCCCTGATTTGCTTGAGTGTGGCATTTAGAACTAGGTCAGTTGATCTGGACCTGTTTATGCAGTTTAGCTACTCTGGACTGCAGGCCGGTCAGACAGGAACACCTGTCTCTATGAGGCAATCAGATTAATGTATTTCTCCAAACTCCCTCCACTGCAGTGGTATTCTTCTTTAAAGATCTCGTCTTACTAAACTAATGTAAACTTATTTTTTCATAAATAATTACAATGATTTAAAACCAGTTTTCTAATATATTAAACTGGTTCATCAGAGCTTGATTAGAAGCGTTTTCATCAACAAGCTGAACTGATTGCCAAGTAATCTTGTTCCAAGGTCTTATCAATGCACTTGAGACCCAGTTAACTCTTCTCGGATTGTGGCAGATTTGCTGCTATGTGATTATTCCTATGTCTGTTTTGTTTCTTACTTGCAATTCTACACCATGGATAAATCTTCTGCGGTTTCTCGCCTGTGTGTGCCTCATTACCATCATCACTAGGGAAGGGAGCTGCTCAGTTCTAATACAAGTTTAGTTCTATTAGCAACTCCCTTCCCTGGCGATGATGGGAATGAGGCATGCACAGAGGTGAAAACACACATTAAATATGGGCCAGCTAAAATTAGCAAAGAGAAAGCAATGTGGTACAATGCACAAAATAATACATATTGACAATCAATTAGTCGCCTCTGACTGCAATCTGTTGCCTTTTGATCCAGGAGAGTCTGTGGATGATTGCGGTGGAGGTTACAGTGAATCAATTGCAGAGATGTGCGAAGAGCTACAAAATGGACTGACCCCATTATTGATTGTTACTCCAAATGGCCGGGATGAATCGGGAGCCAATCGTGACTGCTTCCTGTTAAACCCAGCCGCCAAATCACAGCTACACGTCAACATGTTCCGTTTCTTAGGTATGTAGTTTATTCGCAGGACTTTTTAATTGCTACGTACAGAATATTAGCATGCAACGTAAAAGGAGAAAGCAAGCCCAGAAAAGTGCTTTCAGTAGAAGGTACTTGCCATTTAACCTACATTGGTCATTCTCTTCATGGCTGTTTGTGAGACATTGCTGTGAGCATATTAGCTGCCACAGTTGCCTACAAATATTTACTTTATTTATTCTATTTACTTAGTGGTAAGTAGGAACCTGGCTGTTAGTCGATGGCTGGATCGCTTCCCGGGGGTAATTATCTCCCTCCACCCCAATGTGGTCTCTCAATCCACGATTGTTTGTGGGGCATTGTTGGGTGCAATTGGCTACCGCATATGTCCACAAAATATGGTCAATCCACTTTACGATATATTCTGTGAAGTGCTTTGAGACGTCTCGACGACTTGATAATGTCCTTTAGGATTATTATTATTAAATACACAGTTGCACTTGACAATACATGTGAAGTGCTTTGAACTATTTGACATTGTAGGCGCTACAAAAATACAAGACTTATTACACTTTTGTATGCATTGCTTTACTGTAAGTGTCTGTTTGGCTGAGTGGATGGCACTCTCGCTACTGGGATTGTGGTTTCAAGCCTAAAACGATGACTTGAGTTCATAATCTACATCATTTAAGGGATGAAAGAGCGTTGAATTAGTATTAAAAATAATAATAATTGTTCTTCAGCTAAGGCAAACTGATTACTCGTTCGCCTGTTCTGTTGCCTCAAAGATCACATTAGCAACTGCTTGTTTGTCTGCATAACAGTCCGTACACTACAGAGTAACAAAGTTTGAGATGTTCTACATTTTAAGGCACTATGGCACAAGCAACATCAAATCGAAAGCATTTTCTTAATTTAGCTACATTCAGTCTCTCTCCTGGGGAGACCTGCCATTTCACATCCACATTCCCACTGCGCCAAGCTGTTCTGATTTATGTAGTGTATGGTAACAGCTTGGAGAGGCTAATACAGAAGTCAAGGCTGTTGGCTGGATCCCGATTCGAAGGAGTCTAAGCTGTGAAATGTTAACGGCAGTAAAGCACACAGGACTTGAGGGCACAGAGGTAGCTGTCTAATACTATTGTCTGAATTTGAGATCAGCAACTATAACTTGCATTTATATTGCCATTTCATGGGAATGCAATGCCTATAAAGCAATGAGCTTCATAGAATTAGATTAATAAAGTGAATGTAATGGAAGTAAATGCAGCAACAAATTTGCACCTGCAGAATCCTACAAACAACCATGAGATGAGTCGCCAATTAATTTGCAATTGAATTGAATTTGGAAGACGAGGGAATATGAGTTCAAGCCTTCATTGGTGATTCACGTTCATAGTCTAGGCTGACATTCCAGTGCGATGCTGGAGAAGTATTGCATTATTGGCACCATTATCCTTTGGATGAGATGTTAAACTGAGGCCGTTTATTGGCTCAGTTTCACATTGAAGTCCCGCCTGAAAACCTTCCTCTTCGACCACACGTATGGCCACCTCCCCCAGCTAGGAGTTGGGCTCCACCACTGTTAAGCGCTCTGAGACGCTACCCTGTGTAGAGGGTGCTATATAAGTACAAGTTGTTGTTGTTGTAACAAACAATCCCCTCCCCCCCGGATATGATAAAATTGCCAATTGACTTCATGCCTGTTTTGTAGACATTGCTTTGGCTTAATTTAGCTGTTGCATTTTGTCTCAAAAAAAAACATTTCAATACACTTTAGAGTATATCCTGAGAAGTGTTACAAAACAAGTCATTTTTTGTTTTCAAACTATTACAAGTTCTTTGTATTGAGCATAGTATATATTCCTCATTTTTGGAGGAGCATTGAGATTGAAACAGCACTCATCAGGAAAGCAACAACATGAATAGCTCCTTGATGTCAAGGTGTCCCAACATGTAAAGGTCTTGAGGTCTTGCATGTCAACGTGACGTGCATGGAATTCCCTGAAGGAAAGGCACTTTACATCTCGAGCAAATTATTCCTGCATATAGATGCCACCTGTATATGCGCTATTACAACCCTATTGCCTTAGTTGCTGAAGGAATGAGAATAGCAGAGCTGTTTGATTATTATTCTTGATGTAATTGTGTGTCCTGGCCGAAAAGAGCTGTGCCAAACACTTTGTCATTATGACAGTGCCCTTTTCAACAGAAGGTGGATGACAGAACGAGAACATTTAAAATGACATGTGACCTTCTTCATTCTCTACACAGGCAGATTTGCTCCACTTAGATCAGATTCTTTGATTATAACAAAGTGTTTTGACGGGTTGTATATGGCTAACAAGATCATCTTGTGTTTCTCAAACAGAAAAAAAGTCATTTTCTTGCGTACACAAGCACAATAGGCCAAGCACGCACTCACTGCACTGAAAGAGTAATTTGTATGATTTCAATGAGAGAAAATGCACCTTGTGTAGCTGAAAATATCGTATTTTTAACCTCAACACAACTTGGGTTTATCGAAGACGAAGCTAGTTTATTTTGCCTCTGTATTCAAAGATGGTTGAATCTTGTATTCAAAGATGTTTGTCAAAAGGGTATTTTGTGAACTGCTTTGAAATATTTCAACAAGATGAGGCTGATCGCAACCTGGCTGTCTTGGAATGTTTAACAGTGGAGCTTGATGCCAAGACTTTTCTGTTTTTTCTATGAGTAGAACAAAAAAAGGAATCAAATACTTTCAGGAAAGGAAAGAATGGAAACCTAGACTATTTGGAACGTTCTGTGCAGCACGTCCTAACTACAGTCAGACGTTTGGTCCAGAGTTGATGTTAAATAAAAAACGTCACAAATGGGTGTATTTCTTACTCTGAGTAATGTTAAAAGAGACGACTTCCTTTCGCTTGAAACAAATAATTTGTTATGAAACTTTTTTTTTAGGTGTGCTTTTGGGTATCGCTATACGTACTGGCAGTCCACTCAGTCTCAATTTGGCAGAGCCCGTCTGGAAACAGCTTGCAGGGATGAATCTGACTATTGCTGACCTGAGTGAGGTAAATGCTACTCCTTTGCATCTAATGTACAATGTGAATAACATGACTCATTTACATTTTGTGGTTTGACTATGTAGAATCTATTGCAAGTACCATCAAAAAAAAACTTAATATTCTGGATGTGGATTTTTGAGTGGTGTAACCCATGTCTTACGTTTAGGTCGATAAAGATTTTATTCCTGGGCTCATGTACATCCGAGATAATGAAGCAACTGCTGAGGAATTCGAGGCCATGTCTTTGCCCTTCACAGTGCCAAACGCAAGTGGTCAGGATATTCAGCTGAGCTCAAAACATTTGCATATCACACTGGAGAACAGAGCGGAGTATGTTCGATTGGCCATCAACTACAGGTAAAGCAACAGATGGTTCAATAGTGTCATCATTCCATGGAAGCATTTCTACAACAGAAGGAAGTGAAAAAGTGTTGGGTGTGAAATTGGCTCGCAATAGCCTTTGGGTGTTAAGCTAAGACATTAAACCAAAGTCTCAGCTGCCAGTTCAGGGGGGTGTTAAAGATCCATTGGGACAAGAAAAGAAGAGTTTTCTCCCTGGTGTCCTGTGCAACAGTCCCCCAGATAAAACTGGTCATTCATTTCATGGCTGTTGCGGGTCATTGCTGCGTGGGTCAGCGCCTAGGGACGTCCTCCCGACGTGAAAGGCACCATAGAAATGTAATTTTGTTATGCACAAATTGGCTGGTCTTCGCCTACAAAGTACACAGCCACTGCACTTCACAGTAAAACCAGATGAAGTGTTTTGAGACTCCTGTCTCTCTGACCTGCTGACTCCCTACCAACCTGCCCGCACCCTCCATTCAGCGGGCTCCGGCTGCTCCATGTCTCCCACCCGACCCACCCTACCATTGGTGGCCGGGCTTTCAGCCTCTCTGTCCCCACACTCTGGAACTCCATCCCACAGTCGCTTTGCCTCGCTTCCTCCCTTGCCTCCTTCAAGGTCGTTCTCAAGACCCTCCTCTTCGATCGTGCCTTCAGTTGTCCTCCCATCTCTCTGCCTTCTCACCCCTACACCACCCCTCCCCAATGCTCGGGTCCTGACCCCCGACTGTCCAGCTTCTTGGGACGTCCTTCCGACGTGAAAGGCGCTCTATAAATATAATTTTCTTGTTGTTGAGACGTCTCACTGACACAATAAAGCTCTATATCAAATGCAAGCACTATTATTTATGCAGCCAAAACCAGATTTTTGCATAAAGCAATTTTGTAATGCTGAGGTGTATTTGCTTTCCCAAATTCCTCCAATACGTAGTAGAAGTATAGAATATTTCACATCCTCTCAGATCAGTGCTATCCAATTGGCTACTGAGAGGTGTGGAAAAAAGCCCTTTGGTGTTCTTGTGAAATCAGAAATTGCTGATTGCAGAAAATATTACTCAAACTATAAGAGAGAGTCAACTTCTGAGCTGTTTTGACACATTTAGGAAAAACAGTGTATTCAGTGCCCTCTGACTATTTGATGTGTGATAGATTACTGTTAAATGAGGAATGTTTGGAATTTGGCAGTTTTAACCATTAAAGCAGAACATTGTTGGAAGTGTCAAAGTTAAGCTTAGAAAAAATGTATCTACACAGAGGGTTATTTGAATATCTGAGCTAGCATTTCGCACACAAACCACCTCTTTTAATCCCACGGTCCTGCTCGCTTCCCATTCCCTTTAATATCACTTTTTTGAAATCTTTCTTGCACGCTCCTCGTATTTTTTTTATTCCTAGGTTTAAAGATTCTATCTAATCTCACTTAAAAATAATGTCTCCTCAATAGCTTGGATTGCACTGATTATCTCCTCAATAGCTGTAGTTCATCATCCTTGTGTAGGCGACTAAACTTCCTTGCAAAAAAAAACAATCAGAGCTCCCTGATGTATCAATTATTAGTCACTACTTTTGAGTAAGCGAACTGTTGTTTAATGTAAACTTCAAGTTTTGGTATCTTTCATTTGTTTGGGCTTTCATAGGTTGCACGAATTTGATGAACAAGTTTCAGCTGTGCGAGAGGGCATGGCAAGAGTGGTTCCTGTGCCCCTTCTTTCTCTCTTCACTGGCTATGAACTGGAAACCATGGTATGTCTTCTGTCTGTCTCATTGTAAGCTAAGCTGTTTCAGTTTCATAGGAAGCTCCGTGTAAATGATTAGATTGTTTTACTTTGTCACTTGTTGAAGATTGAAATATTGAACTGTTGCAACTATCACATCTTTCTTTCTAAACTTGATATCTGGTGCTGCTGCTATTGCTCTCTCAAAATTTAACCATAAAACTGCATCGGAAATTATTCAGAAGTGGAAACATTTGCCGACTTAGCAAATGTGTCTTATTTCAAGATTTAAAAAAAAAAGGCTTGAGATTTTTTAAATGTACGTGGAATTGTGCCGGTGCAACCAGCTGGTTCCATCTTTAGTGTGCGAGATGACTGCTGCTGTAATGAATTTATTCGGTCTTCCCTTTGCCATTTGCTTGCTTGGGAACTGTGTTAGAATGACATGGGGTGGCAGCAACCCATTTGTGACCTGTTTGATTTGGCCAGTTTAATTAGTACTGTTTGAAACTGCATATCCAGTGACTCTCAAGAGTTGATCTGTAGCACTATGTAACTTTGGAGTGTTGAGGGCAAAGGAATTTAAACTGGAGAGTTTGATATAATCATGAATGAATTGTTTATATGCAATTGACAATAGAATTACAGTCTTAACCATCAAAGAGCAATATTAAATTGGTAACCTATGGAAAAGATTGGAATTGAACTAAATATCTTGTTTGTTCATAAAGTGTACCATTACTTTGTGGCAGGTATGTGGAAGCCCTGATATTCCGCTGCATCTATTAAAATCTGTGGCCACATATAAAGGAGTGGAACCCACAGCTCCATTAATTCAGTGGTTCTGGGAGGTGATGGAATCCTTCTCCAACACCGAACGCTCTCTCTTCCTGCGCTTTGTGTGGGGAAGGACGAGGCTGCCCAGGACAATCGCAGACTTCAGAGGCCGGGATTTTGTTATTCAGGTAATGTCATTAAATCGAGAGAAACCACAAACTGATCGTGTTTATTAATAATAATAATCCTTGCATTTGATATTGCACCTTATCACGTCTTTGAAACTATAGAATATACTGTAAAGTGTAGTGACTGTATATTTTATGGGCGAAACATGACAGCCCAATGCGCGCAGCCATGCCCCACAAACAGTCATGGATTAAGTGAACAATTTAAATAAAAAAATAAATTGGAGGGATTATCATCCCCGGAAAAGCAGAAAATCTGCCAATCCATTTTTTAAATTGTCTTTGTCATGGAATCGAGTTATAAGTGGCCTTTAAGGAAAATGTGCAAGTAAGCCAATATCTTAGCTTTGGCTACAAAATTCACAAAATTAACTCTTTCCCAAATTACATTTAATTAATAATTATAAATAATCCTTGCCTTTTACGCAATTGTCAAAACATTTAAAGAGTTTGCCAGATTTTCTGTATTCTATAAGGAGAGGCTCAAAATGAATGTTATGTTGCAGTATATTCTTCGAGACGTCTCAAAGACTCGATAATGCGCTATATCAAGTGCAAACATTATTATTATTATAATAAAAAAATTTCTGTGTGAAGTCGGGAGGGAGATGCGAGAGTCAGACTGATTTTTAACAGTATCTTTGTCTCGTTGTAGGTACTTGACAAGTACAACCCTCCAGACCACTTTCTTCCTGAATCGTACACGTGTTTTTTCTTGCTGAAGTTGCCCAGATACTCATGCAAACAGGTGCTCGAAGAAAAACTGAAATACGCCATTCACTTCTGCAAGTCGATCGACACCGACGATTACGCTCGTATTGCACTAACAGGGGAGCCTGCCGCTGACGATAGCAGTGAGGACTCTGACAACGAGGATGCAGACTCTTTTGCTTCTGATTCTACACAGGACTACTTAACAGGTCATTAAATTCAAACAAACATTTAATATCAGACACAGAGCCTGTTGTCAGGAAAGTGGGGAGCACTTTGGAGAGAAGGGGGCGAGATTTGAAGAATGATAGTGTGGAAATGTTCTGCAGGTATTTCGATTCTCTTTAAAGAACAAACGAAGATCAGATTGTAGAATAATGTGAAAAATTGACAAGAGTTCTCACAACAGAACCACGGTGGACAAATGTAATTATTTATTGCTTACATTAGTGGACTGGTAATACTTTAGAGCCAATGTGTAATTAGAAGATGGTACTGTGTCCCTCACAACTTCAGATGCATATGTTTTTGTTCAGTGAGGTTTTACTTTTGTTTCCTAATGCTGCAGAAACCATAGGTACAGGGTTAGACCTGAGTACCTCCTCTTTGTGTTTACTGCTTTTTTTTATGTCTCTTTATTCCCGAAGTAATACAATAAACAGTAACACAAAGTAGGACCCAAGGGCAGTAAGCCTTTCACTGTGGTAGGGCGTAATGTTAAAACATTTTTTTTTGAGGGGTGGGGCGAGAAAGGTCTCAAAGTGAATGTTGTGTTATCTGCATTTTCCATGCTGTATATTGAGATAATGTGCACCAACTTGAATCGTATTATAAATACTACATAAAATGACTTTATTAGCAGTGTTTGTGTACATGACAATGAACATTTTGATTGTTACATCATTTAAAATGGAATATTCTTAAATGATAAGACATGACGCAATGTCTCAACTCTTTTTTTTGTGTGACATTTTACAACTCTGCAGAGTAAGTTATGAAGGCAGTCAGTCCCCCATTTGCATTGACAAATGTACATAATTTGAAACTGTGCCACACACCAACACAAAGCAGTATTTTCATTTACTTGTGAATAAAAAAAAACAGTTTAAATGGCTTAAATTAAATCAATTCTAATTTTCCTTAATTCATTATGCTGTAACTCCGCTGGAAAAAAATTGCAGCCTGAAATTTAGGTTGGATTTAATGTGCAATGCAGTCATTAGTTTATTCGCACTCTGCTATTATGATGTCTGTTGCAATAGTATCACAATAGTACTGCACATTTCTGCTGATCAGTGTGGCTGAAATCCTTTAAGATTTAGCCAAGTGTGTTACATTGCAAAATATTTTTCCTTTTTTGGTCAAATTCCACATACAAACAGGAATTGCTCTCATCCCACTGTGAGGGAAGCGTAAATACATTGTGATCCTTTAAGAGGTTATTAGGCTTTAACTCTGAAAGTGACTTCCTTTACTTTGCTGTTCTGAACTGCACTCTTATTTCAATTAATCATAGTGTCAACGTTGTTCATACACCACCAGAAAAGGTAAATCTTTTTGTTTCACAGTGATTTATAGTAATGAATTCTAGGAGTTGGTTGAATGAATAATTTCTTTGGAAGTTTCTCTTAACTCCTGTTTCAGTTTCTTCGAATCATAGACTCAAGAGAGTCTATGGGATGACAAGGACAGAAAGGAGCCATTTTGTCCGTTGAGTCTATGTAGTTTTCCTCTACATAAAGCATCTAATTTAATCCTATTCTGCTCACTCTCTCAGATGATCTCTTATCCACACAAGCCTACTGAAGTTTACTTCCCTTTTGACTACCTCTTAGTCAGTGCCAGCTCCTGGCTTTGTGTTGAATGTTAGTTCCTTCCCACTGACTTATGTCGCTGTCTCCTCAGTTTGCCTGAGTTTCAGAAGGGAGAAACATAGTATAAAAGGGATGACTGGCAGTTTATTGCAGGGTAATGCCAGTAACAAAGGTCTGAAAATTTCATTCTTTTGCACCAATTAGCACAGTTCTCATTAGATAAAGATTATTTTGGCCAGCTAGGTATCTGCCACATCACCATACTTAAGAGTATCCAAACCAGGCTGAGAGTTCCACATATGTATGCCACCAATACCTAGAAATTTCCCTATGGAGGGAATGGAACCTGCAATCTCTCTTGGGGAACACCCTGCTTACCTAATTCTGGAGAGTATTAGGTGTAGGTTGGCAAAAGCCAAGGCTCAGAGACCCCAGCGTGTGTGTTGCAGTACTGCTGGAATTTACCCGGCTAAAGTTTGCCATTGATAGCACTGTCTGATTCAAGCCTGAGGAATTCAAATCAAAGTTGACTGACCTGTTGTCAATTGTACCTTGGCTATAGTCCATAGCCAAGCATGTCACCAGCTGTAAGGCGACTCCATTCACTTGCCTTCTCTTCTCCTGCCCTACCATCCAGGAACATATCGGCTGCTAGGATAGATGGAGTTGGGGATGAGATTTATAAAATGTACACCACCACAAAACACAGACAGTAGCAACTTGGAGACGAGCTCACAAGAAGATTTCTGGAGTTCAGCATAATCTCCTCCAACATTATTCACAGATCTGCTCAACGGCCGATTCTGAAGTCCAATGATTCTGAATGTTCCAATGTTGCCTGACATCGATGGCCGTTTAATGGCTGGTCCATTGCAAACAACAACTTGCATTTGACATTGTGCCTTTCACACCTGAAAGTGCTTTGCAAAGTAAATGGACAATACCAAGCAGGGAGGGAGAGGAGCAAGGAAAGGCTATGGACCAAAAGTAGTCAAAGTTGGAGGTTTTTATGAATGGTCGATCGCTTGTATGGCGAGCCTCGTGAACGCTCAATAAAAAAACAAGAGGAAGCAGCAATGTGGAGCTCAATTTAAACAAAGTGTATATTTTTTAATTCCAGGTGCGTGAATTACTACATGCATCTGACTTTGATTTCAGTTAGACTAAATAATTATGGAGTTCTATCATTTCTTTCCTCTTGGTTTTGTGATCATTCTCGACGTCACCACCTAGTGGCGATCGAAGGGGTGGAGACACCTACTCTATCTGGTTAAATCACCCCATCAAAATTCTGTCCTGGGACTGAGAACATATGGTCTCCTTCAGGCGAGAGACAAGTCTGCAGTCATTCACTCTGTCTGCTTAGCATGGTCTACCAGCCACATCGCAACAGAGTCCAGATGACCATTTTTTNGGTGCCTGACAAAAATACCTTCAGAAACATTTTGTTGTCGAATCTTCCCACACTCAGGTCACCAATGTACTGATTGATTAATAGAATTGCACAATGACACGATTGCATTGAACATGTAAACAGATCAATCTCCAAGAAACAGGAAGAGAGTTAAGTAAGTACTCTTGTTGGTGGCCTCAGAGCTCGATTGCACTTGAATGATTAAATGGGTCCACAGCCACGGCACTCAGAGGATTAAGAAATGAACATCTTGCAAAGGTTTTGTGCCTGACATTGGAATTTTTCTTTTAAACTTGCTCTATTATTTACTGTCATAAGCCAATTTTGTTCTATCTTACACCCACCTCAGGCTCGAGTTCTGAGAACTCAACAGAAGCTGAGCTTCTTTGCCAGTGTGCAATCTCTCCCTCAGGTGGGGGTGGGGGAGGTGTGGGAATAGGGGAAGGATGCATCCGGTTGTCTATATCAAGACAATGCTGGTTTGCACAAGCCAAGATATTTATGATAATAATTCTTGCATTTGATATAGCGCCTTATTACTTTATTATGGGTTTGAATCCCTGGCAGGGCGAAACATTAGGTAAGTTTCCTTACTCCACACATGCACACGCCTCTGTTTCCCCAGCAGTAGGTAGGAACCCGGTTGTTAGTGGATTGGCAGATTGCTTTTCCGGGGGTAATAATTCCTTAAAAAAAAATTATTCTGTTAAATGACTGTTGGTGGGACACTGCTGTGTGCAATTGGCTGCCACGTTCACCCACAACATGTACAGTCAATTCACTTTACAGGATATTCTGTGAAGCGCTTTGAGACATCTCAATGACATGATAAAGCACTATATCAAATGTAAGGATTATTATTGTTGTTTTCACTTTGGAGACAGCTCAGTCCTAAGGGCACCATGTAACTCTCCCCTTCTTCCCAGGAGGATAATTGCAAGTTGATTCCCCCCACTCTTCCCCATAGAAGTCCCCACAACACGCTGACAGTGATTGATTGCTGCCTGCCTTGTCTCTCCCAGTGTTGGTGGCCAACTGAACCGCAAGAAGCCGTGTCAAGGTGCTTCCCCTCTGATACTTACGTCGATCCTTTTGCCATAACTGAAGTGCTGAGTGAAAAGTATACTCCCCTCGGTTAGAAACAAATTAGCCTCTGCTCCCTGTCAGTGGGTCACCTCACCTGCCGCTTAGATCTCTAACCTTGGAGGTATGTATATGGGAATAATAATAATAATCCTTGCATTTGATATAGTGCCTTATCATATTGTTGGTACATCTCAAAGCGCTTCATAGAATATACTGTCAAGTGTAGTGACTGTGTATTTTGTGGGCGGGATAACCCAAGGTAACCAAAGAGGATAAGAAAGCATGTAGCAACCCCATTCCTTCCGTGGCCCATGTGCAATCCGTTCCACCACAGAGCCCACCCAATCCTATTTGTATCCTGGGGAAAAATGCTCCCGTCCACCAAAGGTCAAAACAGCAGAACGCCTGCATAACCTTTCCTACATTATACTCCCTTGACAGGTTGCTTTCCATCTTGACGTTCCCATGGTCCCAGCAGGTGAGGAGCCATCTAATTGCCACACAAGCCTTGGTGTTGGCCCTTTCACCTCCTCCCCACACCTCCCGCAGAAGCACTTGCAATATATTCACTGAGGCTGGGATCTCAGAAGCCAAGCTGTGGATGTTAAACCCGTTAGCTACCATAACTGTAAAGAACAGTACTTTACGTTAGCGTGTCGGGGAGCCAGCCAAGGCATTTCAGCTTCACACAAGCATTGATTATAATTGATTTAAAAAGACATGTCAAGCCCCAGCTCCAGCTCAGGTGCCCAGCCGGCAGCGTCGAGCGCTTTGAGATGTCCTTCCAACATTAAAAAGGTGCTGTGTAAACGTTGCTATGATTCTGGAAGGGAAACACCAAATATTGTGGTGCACAAACCTTTCTCTGATAGGGAATCTGGTGCGTGGCAGCCAAAAGGTTGGACGATCCTGGGTCTAGATAAAGCAGCATTAAGCTACAATTAAAAACTTTGGACATTTTGTGTCCTATTATTCCCAGAGATGTAAACTATGCACTAATTCTCTCCACAGATAGAATCACTGCGCCATGTAATCGGCGTCTTTCAGCCTCAAACCCCTTCTGTTTCCCTCCCCCAGCGATAACAACATAAGAACATCTGGAGAGAGTGAGGTTGATATGATGGGACTGTGCAAAATTACAGAGTGAAAGAGATACTCGGGGGGAATGTTCCAGGAGAAATCTATTTGTGAACCGTCCCTTATGTTCAACATCTGCTCACAGTATTTGATTTCATCTTTTCTACCTTAACGTGTCTTTAAATTATTAATATTTCAACAACAGGCCCACATATTGAAGCAGGCAGAGGATCGTCTGGTTTAGTGTTCCTATTTTCAGCGCTGACTTAGACGAAGGTAATAATCCTTGCATTTGACGTAGCACCTTATCGCGATGGCTGAGACGTCTCCAAACAACAAGATTGAAGTGTAGTGAATGTGTATTTGTAGGCAAAAGCATCAGCAAATTTGCGCGCAGCAGTGACGACAAACATTGGCCAAGTGAATGGCCAATATTTTTACCTGACTAGCTTTCGTGAAGAGGTGCTGAGGCAGTCAGTCAGCCCGGTCTTGCAGAATTTGTTGTACTTTCAACTGTCGGCTATCCTCCCACTGTTTGGCACTGTAA